GTGATGGTGATGGTGATGGTGATGGTGATGGTGATGGTGATGGTGATGGTGATGGTGATGGTGATGGTGATGGTGATGATGGTAGTGTAATGTATCATGGTTGGCACAGATGGGCGCAATTTGCAAAATGTACTATATATACGAACATTTCGCGATGACTTCGTGACGACTATATAGGTGGTTGTCTAGTGATCGTACACGTTCATGTGCAGTGTACCCAAGTAATACACCTGGGCAGTAATGATAATACGTGAGACCCTGGAGGATTTGACCATTTCCCAACTGGGCTTTGTTCTATTATTATCCCCAACAAACTGCAGTTCACCATCGCAGATACGGTCCCATCCAGTAAAGTATTCTTGAATTGAGGACAGTCATTGCTCCACAATATACCTGCGTATTCCGGACAATACAATATCTCGGCGGAAACACGATTGCTATAGACCATGGCAGGCGTGTGCCCGTCGACATAGATAAATAGACAACTCGCGCTGGAGATCCGGCCCGAATCCCTGGCCATGGATGCACAAGATGGCGTGCGCTCTGATTCCGCAGGCAGGACATATTTCCACTTAGCGGAAGAAGACCATTTCGACCAGAAGGCGCAGAGTGCTAGCGGTTCAAGGGAATCATCTGGCGACTATGACCGTGCATATGCGGACGACGAAACCGAGATTCGCACATCGCTCGAACGACGACAACATGATTACGAAACTCTCACCGCCGAGGAAGAAGCCGAGCGATTGATTCTCGGTGGAAACGATGCTACCTCAGACAGGAATTTCAAGCAGAAATCCTCGAGGCAGCGGAAGAAAGGTCTCATGGGCAGGAGGAAGCGCAGTAGCACAGCGATGGACGCTGAAGGCGAGCTCCTCTTCAAGGCTGAAAAGGGCGGGCGTTCATCGAGCGAAGACAGCCATGATTCGGACTCAAGACGTTCAAATGGAAACCCGCTGAATCAGAAGTCAGCAAGGGCGAAGGTGAGCCATGCTGGAGAAGATCGCAATTTGACCCATGCAATACGTACTGACCATGTTTACTTCAGTCCAAAAGAAGGTGCTGCTGTACCGTAACGGTCGGTCTGACAGCAGTCGTGATCGTGACAATTGGAATACTATTCATCGCCTACATGATTTCGAATGCTATGCAGGAACCTCCCGCATCGAACATGGCGAAGACGTTGTCGAACGGGACTCATATTTTCAAACCGACGACCATCCTCATCTCTTTAGACGGCTTCCGAGCCGACTTTCTCAACCGAGGTCTCACACCAACGTTGCAATCTTTCATCAAACAAGGCGTCTCACCCGAATACATGATGCCATCATTCCCCTCAGTGACATTTCCCAATCACTTCACACTTGCGACTGGGCTATATCCCGAGGCGCACGGCATTGTCGGAAACACCTTTTGGGATCCCACATTCGAAAAGGAATTCTATTATACAGATCCTGCCCGGAGCATGTCACCGGAATGGTGGAACGCCGAGCCTGTAAGCGAGAATCTCTAATTTGAAACTCTGGCAGCTAGCTGACCTATATCTCCTGCAGATTTGGGTGACCGCCGAAAAGCATGATCTTCGTTCGGCGATTCATATGTGGCCCGGTAGCGAGGCACATATCGGTGGAATTGAACCGACTTACCTCGACAGATTCAACAGTAAAGAACATTTAGACAATAAAGTGCGCCAGGTGATCAATTGGCTCGACCTTCCGGGCCCTGAAGACCCCAACACATCCAAGGATACTCCGAGACCACAATTGATTGCATTTTACGTACCGGATGTTGATAGCGATGGTCACGCGTTTGGACCCAACTCAACCTATATTCGATCGACCATTGCCGAAGTGGACGGCATGCTCGGAAAGCTCGTCACCGCCCTGGACCAGCGCAACCTGACGGATATTGTGAACGTGGTGGTCGTTTCGGACCACGGCATGGCCACGACGTCCACTGAACGACTGATCCAATTCGAAGACCTCATAGACCCAGCCCTCATCGCCCACACCGACGGCTGGCCGCTCTACGGTCTCCGACCCGTGGACCCGTCCCCCGAAAACCTCCAGAAGCTCTACAACGACCTCCTCGCCAAATCCCTCCTGCCAGAAAACAAAGACCACTTCAAAGTCTACCTCCGCGACACCAACATGCCCCCCGAATACCACTTCTCCCGCAACCCGCGCATCGCCCCCCTCTGGATCGTCCCCGCCGTAGGCTGGGCCATCGTGACCCGCTCCGAATTCGACCTCTCCTCGACATCGTCTTCGGCCCAAGTCTACCACCCCCGCGGTCTGCACGGCTACGACCACACGCACCCCCTCATGCGCGCCATCTTCGCCGCCCGCGGCCCGGCCTTCTCCCATCATCTCCCCGCCGGCACCCGCCTCGAGCCTTTCCAGAACATCGAAGTGTACAACCTCGTCTGCGACAGCCTCGGGATCCCGCCCGTGCCGAACAACGGCACTCTGCGCCTGCCGTTCACATCCGCGCATTCGGCTCCTGCGGGCCCGGCGTCGACGACGGCGGCGGCGGATTATGAGGATGGTGATATCTCGGCGGCGCTGGAAGTCCCGCATGGTTCTTCTTCTTCTGCTGCTGCCCTGGATGACTCTGCGGGACAGATCCTCCCGCCGACATTTCCCGTGGTGGGCGTCCCTGATGCGGAGAAGGCGCCTGGTGGTGGTGGTGGTCATGACGATGCGGCCAGTCCTGCCCTTTCCACCCTCACCGGCGTGTTGGTGGGTGCGTCACCACCGTCGTCGCTGCCGTCGCCGTCGCCGCCACTGCCTGCGCCCGTGGGAGGGGAGAAGAAGACCTTTTGGGAATGGATGAGGGAGAAATTCAACAGCATCAAGAACTGGGGCGGATGAGGTGGATGTTTTCTTTTTACTTTTATCGGGCTTTTTGGAATTCGAAGATTAATGATCGGAATCATAAGGTGTGTAGGATATCACGACGAACTGCGGCATTCACGTGAAAAAATTGGATAGAATTGACCCTTTCGCTTTTTTGGGGTATCAGCTGGACGATGGGTATGACCTTTTCTGTTTTTCTGTCTTCCCCGTCGCAAGATTCGTGATGAACCCGCCAATCATCTGGTAGTGTTCAGACGTGCTTGCATTTCTATCAAGAGGAGATCGCTTTGGTCCCCGAGCACTTGGACTTGTGCTTGCCATCTTCGTGGCGACGCGACGGCGTGTTGCGTAGGTCTGAGGAAAGCTTCTCTCCAGGTTATGCTGACATAGAAGGGAACCCACAGCTCTCGGCTTGGCTCTACCTTGAACGTTCCGGAATCGATGTCTGCACCTCGGACTTTTATGACCCCTCATAGTTCCACCGCCTTGCCCGCCAAGGCAACCACACCTTCATAGGTCTGGTTTCCACCAATAAACCCACTGGCATGGATAAAGACCGACCCGGGCACCCCGCTGACGGTACTCAACTCCTCATCCCTCAGACCCCGCCAGGCCTCCGGAAGCGCCTTACGATTCTCGAAACTGCCATTCTCCAACGAGACGGCGCGGATCCTCCATTTGCTGTCCTTCTCCCCAGACTCCGGGAAGATCGCATAGAGGATTTCGCCGGATTTGCCCTCCGCCTCTTCCAGATTGTACAGGTGCTCCGACCACGGCACGCCCTCGGGGCGGTGCGGGATCAGAATCACCCGGCCGCTCGGGTGCACCTCGCGCCGGGTCCGGAAGGCTTCGGCGACGACGCCCCGCGCGGGCAGCCAGCTGTGAAAGGTGTGCGAGAGCTCGAACGCGAACTGCTGGCCCACGAAGGCGCTCGCTCGGAGGAATCGCGCGTCTTCCTCCTCGGCCGATGCGGCTTTCTCGCTGGTGCTCGTGGCGCTGGGGTCGCTGGGCGCGAAGTTGAATTTGTTCACGACGCTTGCGAGGCTGAAGCTCTTGTCGGAGAATTTCTTCTCGATGCCGGCGGCGCGCAGGGCGGCGGGGTCGTAGGGTGCGATGCCGTTGTCGTTGCCGTCGAAGGCCTCGATAAAGTCGGTGTATGTCTTCTCGTAGAGCAAGGCGTTCTCGGCGGAGTCCACGGCGAGACCGGTCTGCGAATGGATGATCTCGGGACCATAGTGCATCCAGACCAATCCCGCGCTGGACAGTTTGGTGTGGTGGCCTGGGAAGGTGGCTGTGAACTCGCGCTGGTGGTGGTCGTAGCGGCGGGCGTTGTGATCATGTACGGCGCCGACGTCGACGACGATGTCGCAGGTTTGGAGACGCTCGGCATCGCGGGTTCGTACTAATTGTGCGGATTGGTATTGTGGGAGCTGGCGGAGGAGATAGACGGCCAGAGCCTCGTCGGCGTGAAAATGGCCATTGTGGGTTCCGATAACGGGACTGCTGCTCCCGTCGGACATTTTGACGCGTTTGGAGGATGGTTCCAGGGTTGACATTGGTTGGTGTTGTAGATGGTGGTGGTGGAGGTGATTGACGATAATTTTGGGAAAGATTTCTTGAAGCAATGCCCCGCGGTGGTAACGGTGGCGGAGGAGAAGACCTGGCGTCCCACGCGTTCCGCTGCGATTGACGGCGAAACCTCGGCGAATAACTACTGATTGGGAGTTTGCCACAAGCGATGGTGCGATGAGGGAAGTTCTCCGACAAGACATTCGGGAAATACGAAAGGAAAAGATGAATTGTAGAGGCGAAGCACGATTTCTGATTTGTTCGTTGCTTACCCATCGCTGAACATTGGATGCCAGCAATTCGGCTTCGCCATTGACTTGCCGCCGGCCCGTGACACGCCGTCGGGCCGTCGGTCTCATGAGTCAGCATTGGCGTTCTCCGAGAGCTCTTTATGATGACGTCGAAATGCAAGGCATAATTCAGGCGGCTCCTCTGCTCCGAGGCTATGGGATTTCGTCTCGGAGACACCTCAAATATCCAAAGAAGATCGGATTGATAAGCGGACTCATAAATTACAGCAAGCAAGACGATCGAAATTCATAGTACAAGGTTCACTATTAGAAGCGTTATGTGGTGGTGAAGTCGCTCGAAGCAGAGGAGTGTGTTTGCCGAGTTTATTTTAGTCTGCGGGCGAATTTCTTATTTTCTCGGACCCTGAAGGCGCCGTTTTGGTGATGTCGTCCCTTGGCGTACACATCATCTTGGGTATAAACACGAGGTGTTGTGCCCCATTGTTCATGAGGTGGCGCTCGACAGTCCTCATAAACCTCTGGCCGCGAGCTGAGGCACTTTTGTTTTCTTTGCAGCCCTGCGTTCTGCGGAGATCATGAGATATTGTTGAAGAAGAGAGTTCATATCAGTCTCGCGTAAACCTGCTCCCGCGCGGAGCTGCCCTTACCATCCTAGGGACTTTTTGGCTTCGTTCTTCTTTAAGAATAATTGGGAAAACCAGATACCGATCATGGGCAAGAACAAATCAGAAGATAGAGGAGCAGATTTCTCCCATGACCCCTACTCGTGGGATGGTGTTACCGGCTGGAGGAGCCAAAGAGTGCTCCGACCGGGTCGGGGCATGTATTGGGATGTCCGACGGCGATTACCGTACTATTGGAGTGACCTCCGAGATGGCTTCACCTACCGAACCATGGCCGGCACAGTTCGAATCTTCTTTGTCAATCTCTTGCCAGCCCTGGCCTTCGAACTGGACATGTTGCGCCAGACAGGCGGATTCTTCGGCATCAATGAAGCACTTCTTTCCTCGGCGTTGGCGGCTTTCGTCTTCAGCACCATGTCCTGTCAACCTTTGACTGTGGTTGGTATCACAGGTCTGATATCACTGTTCAACTACACCATCTACGATATCGCCGTTGCGCAGGGTATCGTGGACATCTATCCTCAATTCATCGCCTGGGTGGCCATTTGGGCAGCCATCACTCATTGGATGGCGGCTATCTTTAATTGGTGTGATTACATGCGCTATATCACTGATTTCTCGACCAATTCGTTCGGCATGTATGTGTCCATCATTTACATGAGTAAGTTAAATGACGTCGGCGAAGTGACCAGAACAGAGACTGACTTCAAGCAGTCAAAGGAGTCGAGGAACTCGTTGCCAACTTTGATGAGTCCAACCCAGCAGCAGGTTACCTCGGAATTGTCATTGCTCTTTGTTTCTGGTTCTCGGTCTTCATCCTCGAATATATGGGGTCGACCCGGTTATTCCGTGCGCCGATCCGCAAGGTGCTTTCTGATTATGCATATCCGGTGAGTTCCTTGATGTCGTTTCCTTCCTGTGATTGTTTACTGAACCGAAAGGATAGATTGCCACCATTTTCTGGGTCGGCTTCTCACACATTCCCGGCCGCATCAAAAATGCTGATCTGCCTCGCATTCCCGTAACACGCCCCTTCTATCCAACTGTAGACCGACCTTGGTTGATCGACTTCTGGAACCTTCCTGTCAAATGGGTCTTCGTCGCGCTGCCTATTGGCATATTGTTGACTTTGCTATTCTATTACGACCACAATGTCAGCTCACTTACCGCGCAAGCCAAGAATTTCCCACTCAAGAAGCCCGCAGGCTTCCACTGGGATTTCTTCTTGCTTGGATGCACCTCCTTCGCAGCCGGCATCATTGGCATCCCACTGCCAAACGGACTCATCCCGCAGGCACCAGTTCACACCGACGCATTGACAGAGTATCGAGATGTTTTGTCCGTGAGCAAGGAAAAATATGACGATGAAAAGGATTCTGAACCGATCGTGCATAACCATAAGGTAGTCCGAGCGGAGAGAGTCCACGAGCAGCGCATCTCACACTTCCTCATGTGTCTCGGCTTGGTCGGCTGCATGACTGGACCTCTACTCACAGTGCTACAGACCATGCCTCGAGCGCTCTTCGCAGGCGTCTTCTTCGTGGTGGGCTTCAGCGGCATTCCCAGCTTCAACATCACCCAGAACCTCCTTTACTGCATGACGGAGCGCCAATTCATCGATTCGGGCGATGCACGCCTGACGCTCACGAAATCACGCATCTTCTATTACACCATGTTCCAGGTCGTGGGCGTTGCCATCAGCGTGGCCATCTCGCAGACCATCGGTGCGATCGGATTTCCCGTCATCATTGTTTCGTTAATCCCGCTGCGCTGGTGCATTCTCCCGCTGATTTTCACCGAGCATGAGCTTCTTATCCTGGATGCTCCGACGGCAGAATCCGATAATGTGCTCTGCTCTTTGGGTGGTCAGCCTGAACGTCCTGAGGTCAAGCGCGCCCGGGCGAAAAGAGAGCAACAAGATGGCAACGGCGAGACTGGACGGAGTACAGCCAGTGCGCAAAGCAGCGAGGCTTCTCAGGCAGGTGCGGTCCGGTCAAGAGAAGGCTTCAAAGACGCAGAAGAAGAAAATGTTGAAATGGACAAGGAGCGGGTTCGTCAGCGTGAGGGAGTTGAGCCGACCTCGAATACTGGTCATGACTGAACGTGTAGATAGATCGTGATGTATTTTCTGCGGGACATGATGAACGAATTCCAATTGGTTCGTACATGGAAGACGCTCACTTTTCATGGATTTTATTATGATGTTGCTGAACTTCTCAATGTTTTCGGGAGGATTGCGCCGAGCTTGGTAGATTCTCGAAATGCGATTGCACTCTACCTGCACCCCACACGTCACGTCTTCTACAAATGCGATTTTGCGACGCGACTTTCGCGATGAGTGAATGTTTGCGAACATCGATTGCGACCATATACGAAAGATTGGAAATTGATACGGCATAGATGTTGTCATAATAAAGACACCAAACTCACCGCATCACATACCTAGCTAGGCTATCTCCGCGATCGCTTACAGACATCACACGACAATTTCCGGCGCATTGGGTGCACACCCTCTGGACTGCGCACGGGAATCACCCGTGAACCCCCACAGTACAAGACAAGACCTTATAGATCGCAATCATGGCTTTCGACGACGAAAATGACGAGAACATGGCTTCAGACGAGGACCAGGACGAGGACATGGACATGGAAGAGGACGCAGATCAAGATGGAGACGGCGGAGACGACGAAGATGAGGAAGAAGGAGAAGACAATGCAGACGATGACGATGACGATGAAGATGCCAACGATGCTGACTCGCCCTCTCGTCGGCCAAGCCAACATAATGTTACGCGAACATCGGCCAGTCCAGATCGACAGGCGCAATCATCAAATCCATTGGCGTCCTCCACGTCAGGTTACAATGCGACGCAGAGTTTGGAAGGCCCTATCAGAGCATCATTTCGCCCTCCTGTTCGGGACATTGCGCTCAATGCGCAAGCTTACGATATTGTTCCAACTATGGCTGCGCCGCAGGGCACATCAATCAACGCTGTTGCGACGACGCCAGACATGCGATGGGTATTCACAGGAGGTACAGATGGTTATGTGCGGATGTACAATTGGGTGGAAACAGCCAATGGCAAAGTACCCTTGACAGTGGCGCAGAAGCACCCTTTCGTCGATAGTGTCATGAAGGCTGGCTCTTTGGTCACCTACTGGGAGAATGAAGATTCGACCCTCCGGACGCCGCCTACACATGCCGACGAGGGTAAGTGGACGAGTCCGGTATACTCGTTAGCAGTCCACCATGAAGCGCTATGGTTGCTGTCGGGGTTGGAATCTGGAGGCATCAATTTACAGACTTGCCGGCACCAGGCTGGCACGCGTATCACCACTCTCAAAGGTCACACCAATGCCGTGTCGGTCTTGTCGCTATCGCAGGATGAAACGAGCCTGCTCTCGGGAAGTTGGGACAAACTTATACACGATTGGGACCTGCAGACCGGAGCGATCAAACGCACGTATAACGGATCCGGAGGTCAGATCAGCGCTATCGAGATGAGACCTCTGAGTGATATCCCTGTTCCAGAGGTGTCGCATCTACAATCTGACGATGCGGACGGCACCTTCTCGAGCAACAATGCTGATAAAGACCTCTCCGATGGATTGTTTGGTGGTGAACTATCTGACACGCGGATGGAGAACAATGACGCTGGTGAGCCCGCGCTCGATTCTCCCCCCGATGGCAGTCTTTTTGGAGAAGGAGATCATGGGTCATTATTCGGAGAGGATATTGGCGGTGGCGGTGGAGGCGGAGGAGGAGGTGGTGGTTTTGACGACGATGACGATCTCACACGAGCTTTGGAAAGCGAAATGCAGGGCGATGCCGAGCCCGGCGCTCCTGGCGAATCGACCGTCGATCCGGATGCCATGGAGATTGGAGGACCCGTCCAACCTCCAGAAACAGAACTAGCGGAAACGGCCGAAGACACAAAATCTCCTTCAAAAGACGAAGCTGCCCCAGCCGCTACAAGTGTCACCGCAGCTGCTGATCCACAGGATCCAGTTCCAGACGCAGACCTTGAACCCACCAAACCTCCACCCGGCGAAACCGCTCCGCCAGCTCTGACCAATGGCCTTCCTCACTCCGACGAGCCACTGACCGCCCCTCCCACCGACACCTCCACCGCTCCCAACCCCGACAATACCGCCAGCACCAGCACCACAACCACCTCGGACCTCCCACCCCAATCCGAATCCACCTTCCTCGACGCCGCCCAGGACGGTACCCTCCGCATCTGGGACCGACGGGCGCCCTCCCCCGTCGCCACCATCGCCCCTTACGCCGGCACCCCGCCCTGGTGCACCGGCGCATGCTGGAGTCCCGATGGGAATTCCTTCTACGCAGGTCGTCGGAACGGCACGGTGGAAGAATACTCCATCCACCACCTCGGGACGAAGCGCTCGGAACCCAACCGCATCTTCAAATTCCCGCAGGGTTCCGGACCGGTGTATGCGGTGCGAGCGATGCCGAACGGGAAGCATTTGATCTGGTACGTTTTGCGTCAACGGGACAATCCCTCGAATTTCCTTCTCGAGCCTCTCTTCTTCTTCTTACCCATTTGTGTCGTGACTGACTCCCTTTCTTTCTCCTCATCGCAGCGCCTCCAACGATATCCTCCGCATCTACGACCTCAAGCAATCCGCCGACGCCCGCCGCCACAAAGCCGTCCCCTTCACCATCGTGCCGGGCCATCGCGGCGGCGTGATCGCGGGGATCCACCTCGACCCCACATGTCGCTTCATGCTCTCCGCGTCGGGCAATCGGGGCTGGGATGGAGGCACGGGGACGGAGGTCCTGTTGGGGTATGAGATCGGGGTGCAGGATGAGGGCGGGACGTGGCATAAGTAATTTTTAATTCAAGACGAACTTTTCCTCCTCCACTGAGAATTGATGATCCGATCACAATAACGATTCACCTCTTGACGCTGGGTGGGGAGGGACGATGTGTCGGGAGGCGACTGTTGCCCCCTTTCCTTCTTGTCACTCGCTTCTGTCCATAGGCCTACAGCCGAATTATCCAGCGGTCTTTCTCTGACTTGGAGAGAGCCTCTCCCGCGAGAAGAAACTTTTTATTTTCCTCCCACCTCGATATCTCTCCATCTCGCATCCACCGGGCAAGGGAGAAAATGACAGGACTTTCAAACAAGAGAAAAAAAACCCAACAACAAACAGACAGCCAGAACCCCCCCTTTCCCCATCACGTTCGAACCATCTCTCCCCAGCACAAACACCCCGCTTCTATAAATCCAACTTCCGATGCGTATAACCCCTCGCCCCGGCCCCGGAGTAACTCGCCGCGACCTGTCCTTGTCCGCTCAGGCGATACTCATGGATGGTGAGGCCCTCCAGGCCGACGGGGCCCCGCGCGTGGACCTTGTTCGTCGAGATGCCGACCTCGGTGCCGAAGCCGAAGCGCATGCCGTCGCAGAAGCGCGTGGAGCAGTTCCAGAACTTGCACGCCGCGTCGACGCCCGCGAAGAACTCCTCCGAGACCTCTCTCGAGGCGGTCAGGATGCACTCGGTGTGGTGGCTGCCGTGCGTGTTGATGTGCGAGATCGCGAAGGATAGCGAGGTCGAAGGGGAGGTTTGGTCTGGAGTGGTCGCCGGGGAGGACGGCACCGTGCGCACGGCGAGCACGATGTCGAGGAACTCGGTGTCGTAGTCGGATTCCGTGCTGTCCTGGAGGAGCAGGTGGGCGGAGCCGGGCAGGGTCGCGGTCAGCGCGGCTTTGGCGGGCGCGTCGCATTTGAGCGTGACGCCCTTGGCGAAGAGGGCGGTGGCCACGGCGGGGAGGACGGTGTGCAGGACGGATTCGTGCACGAGCAGGGTCTCCACCGCGTTGCAGGCCGCCGGGTAGTCGGTCTTGGAGTCGACGACCACGGCCGCGGCCATCTGCGCGTCGGCGTCCGAGTGGATGTAGATGCTGCAGAGGCCGTCGGCGTGGCCGAGCACGGGCATGTGGGCCTTGCGCTGGCAGTGGCGGACCAGGTCGTTGGAGCCCCGCGGGATGACGAGGTCGATGTACTCGCTGAGCTCGAGGAGGGCGTCGACGGCGTCGCGGGTGGCGACGAGCTGGACGGCGGCGTTGGGCACGGCGGTGGAGGCCAGCGCGCGGGAGATGACGGTGGAGATGGTCTGGAAGGACGCGGTGGATTCTTTGCCGCCTTTGAGGATGGCGGCGTTGCCGGATTTGATCGCCAGGGAGGCGATGTTGGCGATGACCTCGGGGCGGGCTTCGAAGATGATGAGGAGGACGCCGATGGGGCAGGTCTGACGTTGGAGGATGAGTCCGTCGTCGAGTTCGGTTTTGAGATCGACTCTGCCGACTGTAGGAGATCGACGTCAGTCTGCTGTGCACCCCCTTCACGGTTCCCTTCGCTCCTTTGCTCTGCTCTCCACAAACCCGATGGGCATTTAAAATGAATTGCCTTCGTCGTCCCCCAATCGACACGATACGACGAAGTAGAGAAAAGGAAAATAAGAACATTCAGACTCACCAGGATCGTCCAACCTCTCCACATCCTTCACGCCAGCAAGCATATCCTCAAACTTGCCGGGCCGGCTCAAATCCAAGCGTTTGAGGATACTCGGGTTGAGCGAACCGTCCGCGGTCGCCAACTTCGCCGCCTCGACATCCTTCGCATTCGCCGCGAGGATCTCCTCCTTGGCGGAGAGGAGGGCCTCGTGGATGGCGGCGAGGGCGGCGTTCCGTTGGGCGACGGGGAGGGTAGCCAGCGTCCGCGAGGAGAGGCGTGCTTGGCGGGCGATTTCGACGGGGGAGGCGGTGGTCAGGGACATTGTTGTTGGGTTTGTTGCGGATCGCGGGTCTTCTGCTGCGGTGGATGATTTCTCTTGGCCGCTGCAGCTCTGGGGCCCTGTCACGCCGAGCGCCTTTTCTTGCGGTATGCGTTTACCAATAAAATGAAAATTGGGGGTTTGTGTTTTCCAGTCTTGCCTGCCCGGAGATGTGTCGTCTTTCCAAGACTACGTTCCTATCCGATGCCGGCAGAACCCTCGCCCGGATTCGGAATGACGAAGCACAATGGCCCGTCGAGCGATATCTTCGTTCGGCAGGGGGGAGGATTTATCTCTTCACTGTTTTCCGAATCTTGGTGGAAAGTCTTTTGGTGTCGTTCGATGAATGTCTTTTGGATCGAGGAGCCATTGGCTTGAATGGATGAGGGGGAGTCATTGGATGATTTTGATCAGCACTGGAACCCCCTCCGATATCGTTATCGATAACATTCCCGGATTAGTAATCACATGCACTGTGGTTCAATGGCGAAGACGAGATGGATCTGGCGAGTTGAGGCTATGATACCATTGCATGACAATGGTTTTATAATTCACCGCCCGCAGACCACGATTCGACACGTGTAGCGATTTGACATGGTTTATTCACTTGCAGGTCTGCAGGTCGAGAGACGGCTGACCGAAGACGAGATCGAACGAAATGTGAAATCGCTTTTTCATAGATGGGACGAAAGAGTAAAATGAAATAGATGCAAGGTATATGACAGGAGGAGAAAAAGAAAATCCGTAAGGAAGATTTGATCCGGTTCAAGAAGCAAAAAAAGTCTCTGGCATCAAATCGTGCCGATTGGAACGTCCGAACACGACATGGTCTAATGTCATATCCCATCGAGTTCGTCCTCACCCCTTCTCTCCCTCTCTTCCTCTACAGCTTCGACTTGGGCGCCGGCTGCTCCGGGGTCGCCTTGATGACCTCGGCCTCCATCTCCGGGTCGTTCGAGGCGACGAACTGGGCGAGCCGGCGGAAGTCGGGGTCCCGGAGGATGTTCTCGTGGGCGTCGCTGGTGGCGAGGAGCCAGACCTCGATGTCGCCGTTGTTCAGCCGCGGCGCGATGACGACGTAGGCGTCGGAGAAGGCCAGCTCGGTGACCCGCCACGACTTGACCATCAGGCCCTTGCCCCAGGAGTTGCGGTAGAAGGGGAAGGTGGAGAGGTTGGAGAACTCGACGTCCGGCCCGCGCACGCGGTTCACGTTGGGCTCGACGTCGGCGAGGTTGGGGCACTCCTCGATGGAGCCCCAGAATTCCCGGATGGTCTGCTCGTTCCAGCGCGCGGTGCCGGCCTCGATGCACTCGCCCAACTCGCCGGTGTGGCGCTCCAGGACCTCCTTCGCCGTCATCTTGGCGCGGCTGTAGACGAGGGCGGTGCCGGCCCACATCTGCGGGAGGTCCTTGACGCGGCCGCGGGTCTGCACGGGCGTGAAGCAGATGGTCTCCTGATGGGGCTCGAGCTCGCGGGCGCGCACGTAGACCTTCCAGAGGAAGCTGTGCATGCACGAGGCGAGGGAGAGCTTCTTGCCGCCCGGGCGCTGGCCCTCGGCGCGGAGGATCTCCTGCGCGGCCTTGTCAAACTTCCAGCCGCTCATGCGGAAGTCGTCGCAGGTCGCGATCAGCATGTCCCAGAACTCGTCGTGCGTCATGCCCTCGGGCTGTTCCAACGGCGGGCCGGCCTTGCGCCAGTCCTCCCATTCGAGGATGGGCCGCGCCGGGTGGCTACCCCAGGCGAGTGATTTGTCCAATGCTGCGGCGTTGATGATGCCCGAGGGTTTGTAAGGCTTGCCGTCGACCGCGCGGCTCAGGTGGTGGGCGAAGACCATCTCCACCATGACGTGGCCGATGCCGTCCAGGTGGACGTGGTTCATGTGGATCCCGAGGAGGACGCCTCCCTCGATCAGGTTGGCCTGGACGGCGAAGTTGTAGGTGTCGATCCCGTAGGTGGGATACTTCGAGAGGGTCAGCTCGGCGCGCTTGAGCATGTACGGCGGCCAGTTCTTGGACTCGAGGTCATCCGCCGTGAGGTGTGGCTGTCTCTTGACCACCAACTGAACCGTGGTGTCCTCGGGGATCTCGAGCTGGACCCGTCGAGTCGCCTTGTCGGCCCATGTGATTTTCCCGCAGAGGTGCGGGAAGTCGGCGATGGAGTCGGCGATGGCACGTTTCAGGGCCTCGACGAAGCGCTCCTCGGAGAGGATGCTCTCATCCCGTCGGAAGCAGGCGATACGAGGGATGATGATGGTCTGGCCGACCTGGTCGCCGGGTGGGAGGAAGGTGGTCTGCGCGGGAACTGGGGTGCTGGGTCGGATCCAGAAAGTGCCCTCGATGTCGGAGGATCCCATGATGAGTGGATGTGTGATGAGGTGGAGGACTGGAAGAAGTGCGGCTCGATGCCTGGTCGATGAGGTGGTGAGAGTTGTTGACCCGTGGTTGAGGAGAGGAGAAGAGCAGTCAGTGGAGAGGAGAGAGAGAAGAGAGAATGAATCGTGTAAGGATGGGGAAGGTGAGGAGATGGACGAGAGACGAGGATGAGACAGGCGCAGGCGGAGAATGAACCGGGGGATATTTATCTGATATCTGATCGGACAGCGTTGACGATCCCTCCCCAACGGTGGTGGTCATCATCCAGTTTACGACCCTTTTTGGCTTTTTGACTTTGGATGGACTCACACGGCTCACACGGGATTCTGCTACAGTAGATTGATTGCTATGTAATAACTACCCCCGACACGCGGAGAATGGTAGAATATTGATGATGATAATACGTAGTAACCTTGGAATGTATGTACTGTACATGACACCCACCGGGCTACACTATTATTGCTGTCCTGTACCGTAGACACTGGCAAGACTAAACCTTCGCCGCCACTTCGCTTTCCACCTCCTCCTCCTCCTCCTCCGCCACCACTACAGACAGCCTGCCTCATGCTATGGACTGTACGGTATCGTACAGTCCCGGACACGATACGCAGATCCTCCCGCCACATCCTGTATACGGATCGAGTTGTTATTCCTGTGATGCTGTACGCCGCCTCCCACGGCCGATGATGACCTGTGGAGAGATGATGATTATTACTATATAATATGCGAGATCTTCTACACACGTGTCACCTCGATCATCATCGTTCGGGACGGCGAAGGGACTGATCCGCGCTTCATGGGAGAACAAGGCTCATACAGGACATGTATATCCCCGAGACTCTCGCGGACCATCCATCGATATCGACGGCGAGGATTGTCCCATTTCCTCCAGACCTCCTGCTGGAAATGTCCGAGGAGCAGCACGGTACTTGCTACTGACTGTAACATACATGACTGGAGCTGATGAAAAGCTACAGCATCGTATCTGTATAGTTCCTGCATAATAATCAATTCCTTCCTCCCGTCGTTCCTAGAATCCATCCCTGCAGGTCCGCCTCCCCATTCTCTCCACTTGGACCACACCACACCAACCTGGGCGGCCAGAGAAGAAAGAAGGAAAAAAAGGTCCACGAATCGGGCAATTCCCTCCAGCTCTCATCCAACAAATCCACCACCACCACCACCACCACACTTCTTCGTCAATGGCGGCGCTGGGAGATCCGGCACACACCCTTTCCCCCGCATTTCCCTTGTTTTAGTATGCTCGACTCCCATCTCTCGGGGGATTTCCTGGGGAGTGGGATAGATGTCCTACCCGTACTGTCAATTTCACCATCAAATTTGGTATTTTTGTGATGGATTGGATGGGACAGAACTCCCGCCACCGTCACGACTGATGTCTGACTTCGTTCCCGTCGTTGTCGTTGCCACCGTTGGACTGGCACGACTGGACACATCTACTGTACCGTGTGAGGCGGACACGGTCCTGTCTGTCAGCCGGCAGGTACAGTACCGCAGTACAATCGACATGTACAACACGACTCTCTTTCTCTCCATCTACCTCGCAGAGCCTCGGATAAATAGTCTCCTCCATGCGCAGGGAAAGGCAGTTGACATCCTCGGCCGGCATGCGTATATCGCCCGCTCAGCTCAGCTCAGCTCAGCGCATTGCGTCCGTTGAGGACAAAACAGATGTGGCTTTTCCGGTTGAACGGTCCGGGTCTGTATGGGATGTGTGTGTGTGTGTGCGTGAGGGAGAAGTCGCCGCTGCTCTCGGCGCCGCCATCGTGCGCAAAACCCGTCCCTCTCCCGCGAACGCGCACCTTCCCTGGGAGCGCGCGCGGAACCATCGCCATTAATTCGGTGTCACGGACCCGGAAGCGGCAGCGGCCGCGGCTCTACTGGGACGACGGCTGGAACTACTGGGGGGTTCTCCCTCACACGGCACACGCTCGCAACGTTGCTAGAGGGAACGACCGCTACTATTTCCCACCGGAGCACTATCCTACCCTCGCCGTTGTGTTGGGCGGAACAGTCAGATCCCAGTCCGGCATCATCCATCGCTCCCATCGCTAGTCGCGACTTTCATCGATGTGCGACTTTGGGGGGAATTTCGTCGCATCTGCAGTACATATCTGATCGGAAGAGCCCCATGTGCGGGCCCTATTGAGAATGGTGGTGGATCGGGGACGACAGCGGCGGAAAGCACGTCGTCGGTGTACCAGAATCCTCACCTTCTCTGGCCGGCCCTCCACGCTGTCTCGACGACACAAAAGTTCGGTAGAGGACAACCTTTGACCCATGATGCTAAACACAAACCACCGTCGCCATGTTGTCACCACCGCACTGTATCCCCCAAGATCACCATCGTCTGTGTGTAGATGATCACCCGAAGATTCCTAGTCCCGCTGTATGTCCCCAGGAGAGAAATCAGTTGCGAGCCACCAGCCTCGCGCCACGCGCCCATCAAGAAAGCAGCGCTGATCATCGAAGGAACTCCAATACTTCTAGACCGACGAGATTCCCATACGTCCCACTGAGGAGCAGCAGCACCAGCAGCAGCAGCACCAGCAGCAGCTCCACAGGAAACCTCCCCACGACACGGCCTACCCACCGATCGCAAGACCGCCGGCGCGCTGTCAAAAGTCGCTCTAGTGGGAAAAAAAGCCTAAATTTCCAGTGGGACGTATAGATGGTCCGTCGTCCCATGCAGGTGTGGTGTCGATCACTTATCAATTGATGGGGAGGAGGCGGCGGCGGCGGCGGCGAAGAGGAGAGAGGGAGCTTTCCCCGCAAAAATTAGGGCCAAATCCGTCTGTCTTGTCCCTTGTCAGGCCAGGCCGTGTGGTCGATAAGCATCTTTTCTCTTGTCACCCATGTGATGAGATACGGCGATGGAAATCAACGAAGATTTCGCTGTGGCCGGGTATGTGATCGAGGTGTGTGTAGATGTGTAATAACTGTAAGAGCGGAGGAGCGTATGCTACGGGCATTGCGCAAATGCCCAGTCATGGACAGCACAGGAAGAGGGATCTGGCACGCTGGAGCTGAAGTGTACACATATCGTGACGATACCTGAGTGATGACATGGAGACGACCACCGAATTGGCCGCATTGTCTTGCACCGGAATAATCATACTAGGTAATTATAATGATTGTGTACCAGTGCTCGGTCTCAGTTTCCCTTCAATATACGAACATACTTCTGTCACCTGTGATTCAACCATTGTCCCATTGTTCCCTTATTACTACTCTATCCTCGTTCAGTTACTACTCTTCTTGTGCTTCTCCATCTCTCTTTCTTTCCACAGCACCACGTCGCGACAACATCATTTCCATCTCCTCTCCGGCGCCATCACCACAACTTCCCATTAATTCACCGCACCGCGCCACTCTCCACCGACCACCCAAACAAGAACCGACAACCCAACCAGAAAGAAACTCCCACCAACGGAAAGACCTCACCACCATGGCCGCCCCGAAATTCTCCTCCCAACCGCCCGAGACGCCCAACTTCCTCCTCACCTATCCGCTCCCACACGTCCTCCTCGTCACCATCAACCGCCCGCGGGCCGCCAACTGCCTCACCTACGCCATGTCCTGGGAAGGCGACGCGCTCTTCCGGTGGTACGACGACGAGCCCAGCCTGCGCGTCGCCGTCATCACCGGCGCGGGCAAGGCCTTCTGCGCGGGCCAGGACGTCGCCGAGCAGGGCATGAACGTCATGCTGTGGCAGCAGAAGAAGGCGGGCGAGGACGTCGATCTCCCCGAGGTGGGCAACTCCGTGTTCCCCTCGGGCGGCTTCGCGGGCATCAGCAGGCGCCAGGGCAAGAAGCCGATCATCGCGGCGGTGAATGGCGTTGCGATGGGCGGTGGCTTCGAGCTCTGCCTGGGAAGGTAAGCGGATCCGTTTTCGTTTTGGGTTCCTACACCAGTTTCTGGCTTGCTGGCGTGACTTTTCCCGCTCGTGTGAGAGCGGCGGGAGGGCCGTGGCCGCAGGATTCACAGACGAGAGACGTCCCCTCCTCAAGCCAAGACATGCACTGACAGTTCCTCCCTCTTTTTCCCCCTCACAGTGACATGGTCGTCGCCTCGCCCAAATCCATCTTCGGCCTCCCCGAGGTCATCGTCGGAATCTACGCCGCCACCGGCGGTCTCTCGCGCCTGGTGCGGCAAGTCGGGATGGTCGTCGCCTCGGAGATCGCCATGGCCGGCCGGAACCTCTCGGCGGCCGAGGCGCTCTCCTACGGCCTGATCAACCGCGTCGCCGCCAGCCCCGAGAGCGTCGTCGACGAGGCGCTGAAGCTCGCCGCCAAGGTCGCCGCCGCCAGCCCGGACAGCATCATCGTCACGAGGATGGGCCTGCGCGAGAGCTGGGAGGAGGCGAGCGTGGAGCGCGCGACCCAGAACCTGGACAACCTCTACAAGGCGAAGATGTTCGACAGCCCGAACGTCATGATCGGTATCCAGGCGTTTGCCGCGAAGAAGAAGCCCGAGTGGCTGCCGTCGAAATTGTAGACGAAGAGAAGGAGGGAGGAGATATTATACCAGTTGTTGTCTTATTATTACTATTATTACGAAAAAACAATTTAAGAAACCTTTCAATTACAATGATTTACTCTGCCACTATGCTTTGTTGTAGCATGTAATGCAGAAGACCTTCATTTGGCGAGCGCTTCTGTCTGCGATTACTGTAACGAGAGAGGACGAATCTATGGGGCTGTATATATCGCCTTGACCGCCGATTGCCAGTCCCGAGGGCTGTTATATATGCTCATAATTTTGAAGGTAGAGATTCATGTAGGAGTTTCAATGTGAGGGAATGAAAACACGCATTGGAGAGTTTTCATTTCATCCATCATTCGTTCGCAAGAGCAGAGACGAGCAAATCACGGCGCAAAGTTGCTGGACCCTCTTCACCGAGCGCCGTTCTTAACTCCGTCCTCCGAGCTTTGGGATTAAATTTTCCAGAGAACTCAAATTTCACGACTTTCGCGCGCGAGCTCGTGGATCAGAGCCACAATTCTTCGTTGCAAAACAATTCTCACAGTCGTCCGCCCGCAATCCAGCAAGAATCTGGGCGATCTTCCTCGTATCATTTCACACGTGCGCTGTCATCATGTCCGCCGAAGAAGTACCGCTCTCGCGGGCTGAGAAGAAGGCGCAACGAGATGCGGAAAGATTCAAAAAGAGCGGCAACAAGAAGAGAAAACTCGCCGACGCAGCTGGCGACGATGAAGGGAACCCTCCACAGCAGGACGACGGCGACGCGACAAATGCCGCAGCCGACGCGAACGGTGAGCTCGTCGCATCTTCGAAAAAGGTCAAACAGAGCGACGACGCCGCTGCGAAAAATCCTGGCGAGTCTCGCGCCGAACGTCGGAGGAGGAAAAACCTCGAAGCAGGCACGACGCTCGCGAGAGTGGCTTCCGCCGACGACAAAGCGACATCTACAGCAAACAAAACAAAGACCTCGTCCAAGCGCCGGAAAAAGAACGATGGCACATCCACCACCGCCGATGGTACCGCCGTCGCCGACGACGCCAAACCCAGCAAATCCCGCTTCATCCTCTTCATCGGCAACCTCCCCTTCAAAGCCACCGATGCCGGGCTCCAGGCGCACTTCGCCAAACTGCAGCCCTTCACGCTGCGGCACCGCACCGACCCCACGACCAAACGCAGCAAAGGATTCGCCTTCCTGGAGTTCGAGAACTACGACCGCATGAAGACCTGCCTGAAGCTGTACCACCACAGCATGTTCGACGCGGACGACGTCGCGAACGGCGGCTCCGGCAAAGGCAACGGCAAGCACGCCCGGAAGATCAACGTCGAACTCACCGCCGGCGGCGGCGGCGCCAAGGCCGAGGGCCGCAAGGAGAAGATCAAGGTCAAGAACACCCGCCTCGAGGAGCAGAGGAAGCGACGCGCCGAGGCCGAGAAGAAGGACAAGGAGAGGAAGGAGAAGAAGGAGGGCGGCGGCGGCGGAAAGGGTAGAGATGGAGAGAAGGGCGGAGCGGAAGACAAGCCCGCTGCTACTGCCGCGGCGCAGGAGCCTGAGCAGCAGCAGGCGGACCTCAACGGAATGCACCCCAGCCGGATGGCGAGGTTGAACGGATGAGAGTGGTCCATGATCTCAACCAAAAAAGCCCCGCGAGATCTCGACGATATCCGGTGTTTGCATCGCGGAAGGAGGTTCCTACCCGGGAAAACGGGGCGAAACCCCGTCCGAAAGAAACCAACAGTCCTTCCCCCCTCCCCATGGAGTGCAGTGAACGGAATCCCTCGGCCATCAAGTCCCGGCCGAGCTGGGACCGCGGTCCGTTCTGCCCGCCCAGCCGAATCCATTTCTCCCGCGGAAAAACCGCAATCCCACCATCTCCCACCCCGTGTTGCTAGCCGGCCCTTTCCCGCTTTCGGCAAACAAACAAAACGACAACAAGAAAAAACAAATCTTGTCGCTGCGTCGGTGGTGAAGCCCACAGTTGCGGGCGAAGAGAATCGGCGGGAGGACGAAAAAGGGGGGGTAGAGAGGAGGGCGGACTCCGATGTCGCACCTGTCCGCGGGCCTCCATCCCTCCCTCTGGCAAATCCCCTCCAGCTAGAAACAAACGAAAGCCCAATTCATTCCATGGGAAGATGTGACGACGTCGAGGGTTTCGCCCGACGACTCAGCCTTCGTGGTGGTGCATCGAGGAAAGCGAGTGTGGAGGGCAGCAGGAGGGCAGTGCTCTCTCCGTTTCCTTTCCATTCACATCTTCTTTTTTCGATTCGAGAGGCGGAGATAGGCAGAGCCGCGCTCTTCTCTCTCGTGGGAGTCGGCCGGTTTAGAGCAGGGAGGAATTGGTGGGGCCTTGGGTTTCCTGCATGGATGAAACAATGAGCCGTTGGTCGGCATAGAGAGAAAAGGACAAGGCTTCTTCTTCTTCTTCTTCTCCTCCTCCATTCTCGACTTTCGCGAGTGGGACGATGAAGCGGTCGAGGATTGTTTCATCCGAGCAGAAAGTTCCCTTATTGGTCGGTGAAGGGAATCTTCTCCCAATGTCAACGATAATAGATGCCATTAGAAACATGAAGCATAAAGTTACAATTCCCCCCAGCCCGACCCCCTCAAGGAACAACAAACCTCAGCGGAGAGGGAATCTCCAAGATTTTCTCGCCGTCCCGCTCAGTTCCTCTCTCTCTCCTCAACATTCACACCATTTCACTCGCATAAAATATATTTTCCTCCTCATGTGCTCTTCCCCGCCAGACCCTTCCTCTCGTCCTCATCGTCATCGTCGTCGTCGAAATCGCTCATTTTGTCCTCGTCGCCCACCGCGAAGATCGTCTCGCCGTCCAGGGATTCCCTCGGGAGGCCGGCGGGTTTGGTCGGCACGGGCGCCGGGAGAGGCGAGGCGTCGCGGCGGGCGTTGCTGCTGCTGCCGCTGGCGCCGGCGCGGGGCGCGTCGTAGGGCGGCGGTTGCTTGGAGCCGCCGTCGCGGGCGCCTTCGAGGTCGTCGTCGATGTCCATCGAGTCGCGGATGGAGGCGATCTCGAAGCCGTCGTCGTCTTGCGCGATCTGTTGTGGTGAAACGTGGTCAGCATGATGGACAGAATCGGAGAAGGGGGACTGGAGGGGAAGAAGAAACTTTATTCTTTCTTACCTCGTCGGACATGGCGAAGCGGCGGTTGTTGGCGGTCGGACGCCAGACGTAGGCGACAAAGGCGACGTCGAAGAAGTAGACGAGGTTGAGCCAGCCGTCGAGGATGAACCAGCGCGTTTGCCAGTGGTTCGGGACGAAGTCGACGTTGCCTTGGCCGGCGAAGGTCCAGCTGTTGATGAAGAAAAAGGCGAAAATGACGATAATGCTCATGAGGATCGCCCACCACAATTTGCGGTACATGGCGGCTTTGATGGTCTGCTTGCGCTCCATCAGGTCTTTCATGGTCAAGTTCAGGCTGTTCAGCGTCCAGACGTAGAAAGCGGTCAGAGTTCCGGCAAGGGGCATGACGACCAGCAGAACCAAGGGGCCGGCGTTCTCGGGTGTTACCGCCAATGAAGCAAGGGCGTAAATAACGCCAAAGGCGAAATGTGCTGCTGCCAGCCAGCGGACGTAGATCATGGTCTTTCCGAGGGTATGCTTCACGACGCCGTATCCCATGCAGACGATAAGCAGCAGGAAGAATGAGAAGCTGTTGCGACCGGCACTCAAGACCGACACGATTCCCATCAATGCCTTTGCGCCGACGTTGAGTCCATTTCGGTTCTGGTAATCATAGAAGAGCCAGGTCATGAACATTTCGATTACCAGGAAGACCAGAATTGCAGTGATGTAGTTTTGCACAGGCAGAATATCCTGGCGATTCATCCAGTAGAGAAATCCCCATCCCGCGGCGAGGAAGAAGTAGACGATAGTGATCGCGGCGTAAAAGGGCAATTTGGCGATCTGCGCCGCGGGTAATTCACCAAAGGCATTCCGGAACTCAACCACGCCATTGTATTCCACATTGCCGTATGGAGAGGTGCCGACGCAATAGTAGCCAGTCCGTAGAATAGGATAGTTGATGGGACCCGGGTTCGAGAGGTGCACAGCAACGGTCTTCACGCGTGTCGAGTTTGGCGCGACGATGAATGCTCCCAGGTCTGCATCTGTACAGAAGCCCTTGTTTTTGGCGGCTTCGTCGCATATGTAGTCGATCTGTTATGACTTGTCAGCTCTGCGCGCAAGATTTAACACATCTTGTGAAGTTCCGCCAGTTGCTGTCTGTCACTGCTGCCATTGTTTCTCCACCTCATTCCCCTACGCTTTGTCCCTCTCTTCTGCACACGCACCTTGTATGGATCATCCGGATCTGACTGTTTCCCGACCAACGGTCTATCTTGCCATTCGAATATGACCAGGCTCACGATCGGATCTTGGTTGTCGGCGAGGTTGTCGGGTTTGAGGATCTTGACGTCAATATAAGGGTCGACAGCGCCTCCCCATGACTTTCGCGAATACATGCCGGAGCATATTTGGCTCTCGTAATCTTTTTGACTCTGCGAAGGAGAAGCGTTAGTCAGTCCTTGTCGCTGACATGATCGTGATCGCGCATCACTTACAATCTTCATCTCGACGCCCTGCGCCAATCCAGCCAGCTGGAGGAGCATTACGCATGCTGCGGCCGCGCGCCATCTCCGCGCCATCGTGAATGGAGTCGCTGGTTCAATGCGATATGTGGGTAAAAAAGTATGCGACCCAGAGACGATTGGTTGTTTGACGAAATCGTGGGTGATTATGCGGGTGTTGCGAGGAGTCAAACGTGGTTGGTTGCGTTCACGGACATGTGTACAGTAGGTCAATCCATAGCCTAATCGTGCCTAATAATAATCCTGCATTGTCCAACTTTATTAGGTCAGTCTGTAGTCTGGCGTAGCTACGCGGCGATCCTTGGCCGGCCAACATGGAATCATCAACGCGCCTCAGGCATGTAATCTGACACGATACAAGTTATATATGTATATATAATGATTCTATACAGAGATTTCGCAAGGCGTGGCTAGCATCTGCTTACGATCATATGTTGAGAGGAAAGCAGTGTCTTGTTTATGTTTGAGAGAGTAGACAAATGTGTATGTTATGCTAAGCTGGTAGACCGTCGCCGAGGACCCTTGATGCTACTGTTCTGCATTCATTAACTTCAGTCGCGCATCGCGTCAGATCCAGATCAATTCACCACGGTCCACGAAAGTCTGTCGCAAGACTCCCGAGCAACCATCCACAGGAAGCGCGACCCGATAGAAGCAAATGTACAACGACCTACGGGGAGAGAAAGAAGTGCGCCGAAAATGAAGTCCGAAGAATCTCACAGCAACCCGCCAAAGGCGAATCAGCCAACACCACCGCAAGATGATCCGCCAAGCACAGTGTACGCTTCATACGTATCGCACGATATCAAATACAACGGCGCATTCGAGGATAGCATGATGGCAGTCGTTCTGGACGAATCTTCATCGACACCGAAGAGGAAGGGAATATCGCCAGAGAGTACCTCACCCGAGAGTCTACCCGTGGTCAACGAGGAAGACCTCCCACTGCCATTATCCGATCCTCGCCGCAAATTCACCAGTCCCATCCCAGGCGTCCTGCTCACCCATCCCGGCGGATACTTCGAAGGAGGACCTGGCCTGGACCCAGAGATCGACACGTTCGTTGAGGATTTCGTCGAGCGCAATGCAGGAATCTCGCCTACCTCCAGCGCCGCGGTGTTGCGATCGGCGGTCCAGCAGGAAGTCGATCAGAATATGGAAACGCTGAAGGAACGGATGGAGGCGCGAAGGAAAGCGCATGAGCGCAACGAGCAGATCGACAAGGAGCTCAAAATCATGACGGATCAACATGCGATGGAGATGAAGATCAATCGGAAATTGGCCGAGGAGAGGCGAGCGAAGAAGGAAGCAAAGGAGAGACGACGCAAAGGCGAGAGATGAGAAATACGAAATTTCGCACCTGAGCAAATAATTCTTGCGAATCACGACAATTTTTTGCGGACGACGCAAGTCGCAAGATGCTTGCTCAGAACATCACCTTTCCAGAAGCCACTGGTCATCCCCGATATTCCTTGACCACCCGACCAGCGCCTTCTCCCTTACTTCAGCCTTCATTCGCCCTCTCGCCGAAAGTCGAGGTTGATTCTTGACCTGTTCATACGTCTGACCGTCGGCACACGGAGAAATTTCCAGATTGACAAGCTGTGCCTTCAACACGACATCCAGCACAGATTCCCACATCCTCCTCCGACTCAACGAGCTAGCACCACGAGGGTCAAAAATCTTGCGACCCTGCAATACCCCATTGATCAGGACTTCCTGATGCTGTATCCTCCCTCCCAACACCGCGACCGCCGAAAGATTACTCGCGACCGCATCCTCACTCTTCTCCCACGCGAAGCTGCTCGTCGTAGTCGTGACCTCGAATGGGCGGAACCGGAATCCTCCGCTCGAGAACATCGCCATATCGCTCATCCTTCCGTCAGCCCCGAAAGCGCGCTCGATTGATTCACGCACCATAGCCCGTGCCGGTAGGACGAAACTGCTCAGATATGTGTTCGCTGTTGGATTCACCAGCAACGCTGTGAAGCTGGAGAGGAGACCAGTGCATTGCTTCATCGCGAGCTTATCGGAGCAGCTCTTGCTCATAGTGGGAGGGGCATCTACGCGGCCGGGTTTGCGCCGCACAATTCCCACGAGGGAGAAAAAGGCTCGGCCATGCAGGAGGTTGGTTGTCTTGGAAGAGGAATCTGCTTCTTCAAGTCTTTGCTCATTGGGGCTATTTTCAGTCGCGGTTTTCTCGTCCCTTGAACTCGGAGGACCCGATGCACTCGTCGTCGTATCCCATGGCGTGCCATCTGCCATGCCGCGTGCGAGAACTTCCATGCTCGCATCGCCACAGGGCGCTTCTGAGCAGTACATGTGAATCCGGACGTCTTCTCGCAACTCAAAGGGTCGCCGCTCTGCTTCATCCTCCTCCCCTGATTCATCAACGGCGCCATCGTCGATCTCATCACATTCGCCAGTGGGGCGATCCGCACCACGTCTCTGCCGTCCTCGACTCCGTCGTCGAACCCACAAACTCTCACCACCCTCTTCGGCAAGATTCGCACATTCGTCCACCAACCATCGATTGAACGCTCTCATCGCCAGGATTTCCGCATGGCAGTCATGCAGGACATTTCCCTTCGCCAGGGGGAGTTTGTCATGGGGGAGACATTTCATGCCTGTGGCGAGCGCCACGCAGGTCAACGCAGTACCGCTGCTGCTGTTGGGTTTGTCTTGGACAGCGGTCGGAATCATGCTTGGCCCATGGTGATCATCATCAGCAACGCCGGAATCATCGGAATGCTGCTTCGCGTCTGTTGCGTGCTACGTAGATTGAGAATCAACGTTCGGTAGTTCATATTATTATTCTTTCCCTCCTCTCAAAAACAGAGTTCCAAAACATGCCATACATCCCTCATAGACTCGCTGTCTTCAATACCATAGATACATAATCGCAAGGATAAGAATCATGTTGAAACCGGAATCTCACCTCGACTCAGCACCATTCCCGCCAACGGCACCCATTCCCGCCTCTTCCCATCAGCGAGAATGCGTGGCTTGAATTTATTCGGCAGACGACCGAAGGCTGCGAGGACGCAGTCGGCGATATCGTCGGCGACGGGTCGAGTGGGCATCTTTCTTCTTCGTCTCCCTCCGGCCGCGGATACTTTCAGGCCATGTGCCCGTCATGTAATGTATTGGATAGGATTTCTACACACGCAAAAGACTGCAAATTCTTTTTTCGATCTTCGTCAACTGATTTGGAAATAATAATACTGTCCCGGTCGAGTGGACTTTTTGCTTGGAGCTGTTTTCGCCGGTGCTGGCTTGTGGTGTTTTTCGTCGACTTCCGCTTGCGAAACGGGTCTGGTGTTCAATCTCCAAAGCTATTGTTATCCTTCCATTCTGCCACGGGAACGCTTCACTCTGCGAGCTTCCCAGGTTCTCACTCTACACTGCGTCGTTTTGCTCCGATTGCGGAACATGGGTGAAACACTGGAAATATTAGAGGTCCGCATGGATGATATGAAGAGCAGATATTTCGAAGACATGCGACGCCGTGAAAATGCTTCATCGAAGATTTCTGGTTGACTGGACCAGAGTGGTGAGACTTGCAAAAGAAAAAATTCATGATTTACGAATAACGCCCACAAAATATGGAAAGGCCTTTTTGCAAGGAATAGCGGAACACATCGCATTCGTCCACATCATTGGGGAAGAAGGAAAAAGCAGTATCCCTCCCTATCAGGCACGAAAATCCCATCTTGCCCGACCCCCTCTATCGCTCTCTACAACCTCGCCCGATCATGACCCTTCCAGCCCCAAGTCTCAGCGATCAACTCGGCCGCGCGCTCCCCGATCGCCAAAACCGTCAACATGGGGTTGATACTCGTCATCTCCGGGAAAACACCCGCGTCCGCAATCCGGACATTCTGCAATCCGCGGATCCTCAGCTGCGGGTCCACAACCGCCATGTGGTTCCTCTCCACATCTCCCATCTTCGTCGTGCCGGCGGGGTGATAGACCGTGTGCGCCGCGCGGCGGCCGTACTCGCTGAGCTCCGCATCCGTCTGGATCGCCGGGCCCGGCGCGATCTCCCGCTTGATCCAGTCGCGGAAGGGTGCTTGCTGGGCGACTTTGCGCGCGGCTTTCAGGCCGGCGACGATGCAGGCGGCGTCGTAGCCCTCCGGGTCGGAGAAGTAGCGGAAGTCCAGCGCCGGCTTGATCTTCGGGTCGGCGCTGGTGAGGTAGAGTCTGCCGCGGGAGCGCGGCCGCATGATGTTGGGCGTCATGCAGAAGGCGTTGACGGGGGTTTCGTAGCCCAACCGCGCGGTGTTGTAGACGAAGGGGATTTGGTAGCAGTGGCACATGACGTCGGCGACGTCGCCGTCCGAGCCCGCGGCGTTGGTGGCTTCGCGCCGGATGAAGAGACCTGCGTCGGAGTCCATGGTGGTTTGGTTGAGGGGGACGGGTTGGTTTAATTCCCAGAGGATGATGCTTTCCGGGTGGTCGACGAGGTTCTCGCCTACACCGGGGAGATCGTGAAGGACGTCGATGCCGACTTCGTTGAGGTGCTCCTTGGGACCTAAACCGGAGTGTAACAGCAGACGGGGAGTATCGATTGCGCCTGCGCAAAGGATCGTCTCGGCTCTTGCGCGAAGGGTATGTTTTGTCCCATCCTGTAATGTCACATTGACGCCCGTCACTCTCTTGCCGTCTAGATTGATCTTGCTGACCCAGGCATTGGTCAGGATTGTCAAGTTGGGACGCTTCTCTTCCTTCCGTAGAATTGGGTGGATGTACGCAACGCTGGCACTGCTCCGACGACCATCATCGGGGTTGTAAGACACCGAGAAGAATCCCACACCCTTTTGGATCTCGCCTTTCTCGGCGATCTGTTGGTTATAGTCCGGAATGACTGGAATGTCCAAAGCTGTCGACGCGCTCTTAACCCAATCCAAGCATAGCTGATTACGGTGTCGCTCGTGTACTGGCTGTACGGTATTTCTCAGGTTGTCCAGCACCCGCATGAACGTCTTGAAATCCCAACCGACACAGCCCTGTGCTTCCCATCGCTTGCAGTCATGCTCAAAAGGTCGAAAGCTGATGAGAGTGTTGTGGCTCGAGCATCCTCCTAAGACCTTTGCCCGCGAATGTCGAATGTGGCTATTTCCGAAAGGCTGAGGAGTAGTTGGATAGTCGAAATCGAGATCACCACCTAGAAGGCTCAGCCAATCTTTCAGCAATAGCACTCGATCGTCCATGAAATCCGAAGGTCCTGCTTCGATAAGGAGAATGCGCTTTTGGGGAAGATATTCAGCGAGGCGAGCAGCAATGACACAGCCAGCAGTGCCACCACCAATTATGAGGAAATCATAGCTGTCAGCATCCGATGCGGAAATGTGATTAGTAGTCATGCTGGCGACGTCAAACTTCAGCAAGCGGCTCGGCTGAAGTGAAATGAGAGGGTGTGAAAAATAGATATATGTGATCTATCTATCATTCTCTTTACATCCGTGAGTATGGTTCTGAGCAGTCCATTCGCATCGGGAATGAAATGATAGTGAAGCTCGAGGTACAGTGACCGTGGGAATAGGAACTGTTGTGATCAAACCGTTTTGAGGATGTCTGGCGATCCAATTCATTGATATACTGTGCAAGTAGCAAATCTATGATCCGAGGGACAAAGCTAATCTTGTAAGTTTTCGCTCCATAAGCATCAGCAAAAAGAGGCAACGGGCCGTTGATGGATCCAGAATCCTACGAGACTGCCACATGACAGATCACGATCGCCACGTCTGTGGTTGTACGGGCATTGTACCTTGTTCAGGCACTAGATCTGACATGCTTCTGCTCGGCGATCGTCCAATCCGACTCTATATCTCGCCTGGACTTGTCTAAAGCGGTAATCAGATTGAGGCAAAGGCCGATGCCATGCGCTATCCCAGCAACCGTTGAAAAGACTATACGCTTGCGGTGAATTGAGCTCAGCGAAAAAGGTCGACGACGACAGCTAAGATAATCATGACGACGTGCTAACTTTTTTCCTGCAATAGCACCGGCGTAATTGATGCGCCAAGGCTAACCGGCAGCGGCTCCGCGGTGAGAAACACGACGCCTCATTGACGGACTTTGACTGGTTCGGCGGGGATTTCTGCAGTGATCCGCCCCGCCGCCGTCGCTTGTCTCGGGAAGGCTGTTGTCATCTGCATACGTGGTGGATGTGTTGTCGTATCCCGCCAGACCGCGATGAGCCCATGATGGTCATGATGAGATGACTTGCAAGTCACGACCTTTCATGCTCGAGGTCGATATCAAAGAGACGACGCTGCTTGATCCTCTACCATGCTCCACCATGATGAGGAGGTGTCGTCGATCCGGCCATCGCTCCGAAAATTCAGACGACATGCATTGTCCATCTGTGCCGTGCCTGGAATTGGCGGAGAGATCACCCCGCCAAAAGTCACACTGACTCAACTCGTGATGCTTGGCGTGCGTCACACCGTGAACCGCCAATATCCGACAAAGGACACTTTCGGAACGGCCTAGAGAAGAAGTTAGACATCGATCGCCCGATCCCAACTTCATCTGGACAAATTGAACATTACTATACACATTCCTCACGTCTTCGGGCCAAGCGGTGTGAAATTTCTGATCAAAGAAGTTCGGTACTACTGTACAGCAGCAGCAGCATTGTGAGGCGGGTCATCATGCGGCCGATCAAGTTGTGCGTGGCCTTGGTCTGCATGCATGATGTATTGTGATTGTAGGTGCTCATGATGCATTAGGAGCCGCGACGTGCAGTAAGTAGTGCATCGTGAACCGCAATGGCCGTAAAACATGATCAATGGGTTTAGTAAGCTCTTCATCCCGAATGCTCCCTATTGAGTAGCCTTTGTTCACAGCACGTACGCTACAGATATCAATAGCCCATCTTCAACGGGCAGGTATCACACATTCCGCGAAGTAGCTCCGCGCGCCTTGGATCTCGACATCCACGTGACTAAGGTGTCAAGAACCGAAATAATTGACACGATCACGGGACGACATTCAAGCCTCTGCCATTGTCTTAGCGAGACAACACCCTAGACAACACAACATGGCTTCACAAGCTCGATACGACACGCAACCCTTGTATTACAATGGCCAGCGTCAGACGACCAGCGAGACCTTCCAGACCATCAATCCAGCTACAGGCGAATCCCTAGGAAATGTCTGCAAAGCCAACCAACAATCCGTTCACCTCGCCGTACAATCTGCGAAAGAAGCATTTCCGAAATGGTCCACGACGCCACCGATAGAGCGTTCCCGGATCCTTCTCAAAGCTGTGGCCCTGCTCCGCGCTCGGAATGACGATATTGCACGAACAGAGACCCACGACACCGGCAAGGCTTACTCGGAGACCAGCGTGGTGGACGTGGTGACTGGTGCCGATGTTCTCGAGTACTACGCCAATCTGATCGCATCCGGCGGTCTCAACGGCGAGACGACACAGCTACGACCAGACGCATGGGTCTATACCACGAAAGCTCCGTTGGGCGTCTGCGCTGGCATCGGTGCTTGGAATTACCCTATCCAAATCGCTCTGTGGAAATCGGCACCTTGTCTGGCAGCGGGAAACTGCATGGTCTACAAACCATCCGAGTTCACACCTCTACATGCCTTGACACTAGCGGAGATCTACGCCGAGGCAGGCGTACCGCCAGGCGTCTTCAATGTCGTTCAAGGCGCCGGAGATGTCGGTGCCATGTTGACCTCTCATCCCGACGTTGCCAAGGTCTCTTTTACCGGTCAGGTCAGCACCGGCGGCAAGGTCGCCGGTGCCGCTGCTGCTGGTATGAAATACGTCACCATGGAGCTGGGCGGAAAGTCGCCATGCATCATCCTCCCCGATGCACCGCTCGAGAACGCGGTCGACGGTGCCATGATGGCCAACTTCTACTCCACTGGCCAGGTCTGCACTAATGGCACTCGCGTCTTCGTACCACGCAGCATGCTCTCCTCCTTCGAAACCCGACTGCTCGAAAAGCTACGTAACATCAGATCCGGCGACCTCTTCGACCCAGACACCAACTTCGGCCCGCTAGTCAGCCGCGTCCACCACGAGAAGGTCCTCAAGTACATCCGACATGGCATCACACAAGACCGCGCACGACTCATCGCCGGCGGTCCCGAACCACCAGTCCTTCCCGCCGGAATCTCCTCACGGGGCTTCTGGGTGCAACCGACCGTCTTCTCTGACTGCACCGACAACATGAAAATCACAACCGACGAAATTTTCGGGCCCGTCCTCTGCATCCTGCCCTACGACGACAACAGCGCAGACTGGCAAACAACCCTGCTCCGCCGCGCAAACGCAACGAAACTAGGTCTCGCAGCAGGCGTCTTCACTCGCGATCTCGACGCCGCGCATCGCTTCATCGCGGGCCTCGAGGCGGGCATCACGTGGATCAACACTTGGGGCGAGTCGCCGGCGGAGATGTCGGTGGGCGGATGGAAGTTGAGTGGACTGGGTGTGGAGAATGGCCGCAGGGGATTGGAGAATTGGGTGCAGAATAAGAGTACGCTGGTGGAGATGGGAGGGAGTGTGGCGACGGCTTTCGTGGAGCCGACGACGGCGAAGGGACCGCAGAGTAAATTGTAAGGAGCTTTTGTCGGAGGATTGGACTTGATTTGTTTTCTCGCGCCGATATTCCTGCTTTTGTTGACCTAGTTTTGCGGAGCTAATAACGATTATTTCGGGCGTTACACGTTTCTTCCCTCGAGGACTGGCCTGCACTATTTCCCGTCCATCGCCTCGCATCGGAGTGCACTGGCTTCACTGCGCAGGTATCTCGCCTCGAGGGACGAGTCACCATACGTGACGAAGAAGCGCATGCCACGAGAGGTTTGATGAGCGTATGTTTACCCTTGAGCAAATCAGCCTGAACTTCGGACCACGTGCGCATTGCACCTACAGACTTCATACTCGGTCGCCGCGTCCTTTGACAGATGATGGGAATGTGGCTTGCTGAGCCCGCGCATTCAAATATATATGGTCTGCAGATTGCAACCTCATCTTGCAGGCGTCAGCTTTGGAAATCCGCCAAGCATTCGGAGCGTGCGGTTGGCGCGACGCCTCATGCATGCGACTTCACGCTCCTTCTGTTCAGTACCCAGCTGAGGTGCCCTGATGCCACGATGCTGCCAATTCTAGCTCGTTCCAATCGTGGGATTTCCGATCTAATATCGCGAGAAGGAGGGTTATTGGATCAAATGGTAATTTGATCTGTGCTTAGATCGGTAGATGTACCGATTGACTTCGCAGCTAGCATATGAGGTATGTGGGCTCGCTTGAACGTGCCATTTTTACGCCCACGCATGTACTGAAGCGTAGCCAGCCACGATGATGGACGCTGCTACGAGCGCGGTCTCATCTTGTGGTCAAAGGGACGGAGAGAGACACATCACATCACGCGTTAACATCCGGATTCGTTTCACTTCCCGATGACATTGAACAACACCTTCACAAGCTTGATCATCTCGATTAAATGAACATCGCTGGACCTGCACTACCCTGGCACATGTCAAGTACTAGTGTCACGACCCTTCGATATAGCCTCGTGGCTAGCTGAGAAAACCAAAGAAATGCAAAGGATCATGCATACACGCTTATGGTGTGTTACAATCTGAACACGGCTGCGTTCCAGGGCGTAGTTTGATATATGCATGAACATGATAGCTAGCAATACGACGTTAAGACCAAATTTGACACTATAATTCGCTCATTCATGGTATTAGCCACACTCCTTGCAGTGATGCTTAGGTACGAAAGGGAAGGCTGTATGTTTGGAGGCTGGCTGAAATATCGTCAGCTACAACATTTAGAGGGACGATCGACCGATCCATCTTATCAAGTTCGAACAGCGAGCACAAAGGCTGTCACCCCATTGCTGACGACGGGCCAGCGACTGACATGCCTCACCTAATCGCAGAACGCATATATAGAGGTCGTCAAGACCCAGTTTGACGGCATTCTCATCAACCAAGACCAATTTACCCAACACAATACAATTCTTCCAACGTTTCTATCAATATTCACAGCATTCTATTTCCTCCAAGATCATCATGTCGTCGGCAACCACATACACCGCTCACATCCAAGAGTTCAAGAAGGATAGAGAACAACTGGAAGCCAACGGTTACAGATTGCAATTGGCCAAAGCCGTGTCCACCGACGGCGCTCTGCCGACTTCCAACGTGGTCTATGCATCCAGAATTCTGGCCCCGGATATGAGCATTACCTGGGAAGAGAATTATGGTTTCAACTGGGTGCAAGATATGTCCAAGCCCGGGGCAAAGGTCACGTATTCGGGCGAGTGGGTGGCTGTCAAACTGGGCGAGACGTTCAACCTGGATAAGACAGGCGGCTGGGTCAAGCAGAACGGTGCTGCCTCTGATGCTAATGCCCTTAATATTGGTTCCAATGATTACAAGATTCCAGTCCATATCATTGTTGGTGTTAAAACCGCGGACAAGGTCACGCCCCAGAACCCGCAAGGCTGGACTCCTGTAAGTTACAAAGCATTCGTATAAAGCGATCAAGCTTCAGATGCTGACCCACGAGACTTTTGTAGATCTATGTCAGCCCGAAGCAGATCCTCGTCAGTGGAAGCGGCCAATACGTGCCCAAAGAGAACATCGAGATTTGGTACGACACCAAGGACGACAGTGCCACGATGATCAGCACCCAACAGACATACAAAGAGGAGTTTGACATGGCTGGGAAGCCTGAATGGTGGTTCCACTGGGACCACACCACTGGCAAATGGCAAGATCAGGGCTCAGCATTTCCAGTCCCGTCCACGCCGATCGCGTTGAACGAACTCGCCCTGGGCAAAGTCACCAACGAGGACGATGCATTGCACGCTTGGCCGCTGTTCAACCCGCGCGTAATTGTCCGCACTATCCAATTCACGCCCGCCATAGAGAGGCTTGCCAAAGCCGCACTCATCACCCAAATCACCACCAATATCGTCAACGCATTCGGCAAGGCACCAACCATCAAATTCAGCGCCGACGACAGGAGTGTGACCGTCTCCTGGTCCCAAAAGTCGGAATCATTCGCCGACGTCTTCAGCCAAATCATCGCCAATCTCTCATCATCCTTCGGGAGCCATCCCACCATCCAGCTCGAGACCTCCGAGAAGGCCACCTCGCTCGGCATCACTTGGTCACAGGGATCATTGGCATTTGCGAGAAATGAAATCTTCCGCTCGGGAGGCGTAGGCGATGCGGAGATTGATGCTGCGCTCAAACTCCTGCAGTCCCAGGGCATTTTGCCGGCGGACGAGAAGTGGCAGATTGATGACACGCAGAACTGAGTCGTGCCAGCTTTCAAACTCGGTCGTGAGGCGCCGAACTTACGCAATGTTGAGATGTTCGAATCTGTACATACCTCGAATCTAGTGTTTTCGTACGAACCGTCGTCAGCGTGAGGCTGTGAAGCAGAATGGAAATGTCTGAAGAATTATTCTCTTCTTCGAGTTGTGATTGCGTGACTGTCCGTCTGACGACTTCAAGATGATCGGTACAATGGTCGATAAATGCCCGACGTGCAATGTGAGAGAAATTCTTTGCACCGGGAATCAACAGGAGTACAACAACAATGTATTCAATCAGGTGGTGACCACTGACACAAATCTAGAGAAGCATTTAATATTCTTCAATAAATACAACAATTACCTCGAATGAAGCATGAAGTGCAATTTTTGACTACTAATTAGTGTTATTTCTCCCTCTCAAAACAGCCATATGTTAATTCCGGATGATGACGATAATTAGTCCGCATTGGAGCTACTAAAATTGGACCAGCAGCTTCACAAAGACCAGGGAGCTGTATGCACCACCACCACATGCATGACGAGCAGCATGGATCGTCTGATTCCAGCTGCTGAAGTTCGCATCACGCAAGAATGCAGCACTCGACTGTCATTCTTATTACGAGAGCCGGAACAGTGTGTACATAAGTGATGACGAGCATAGTAGCTTGGCACGCCAAGCAATGAGGCATATAATAAGAATAAGAATACAATTATACCTCCCCATCATCGTCACTTGCAATTCACTTGCGAGAGATCCAAGAGAAAAGGCGTGGATTTAAAAAGCAACAACCCCAGGAAGCACAAGAACTCCCCAAAGATCTAAAATCCTCAAGAGTTGCATCTAGCTCTTCTCAACGTCCTCCGTGCTTAAGGACTTCGATCAGCAACCATGAAATCACCAATCCCCGACTACCTGAAGCGCGTCCTCGAAGCCGCCCGACCCGATGATTCCGGCGCTCCAGCAGGCTACATCGACGTTCTCGCGCGAGCAGATACATCCCGGCTAGGCGTCGCCATCGCCATGGTCGACGGCAACGTATATTCCGCGGGCGACGACGAAGTGGAATTCTCGATCCAGTCCATCTCCAAAGCGTTCGTGTACGGGCTCGCGATCGAAGATGCGGGACTGGAGCGGGTGTTGGAGAAGATCGGCGTGGAGCCCTCGGGGGATGCATTCAACGAGCTGTCGCTTCATGAGGGGACCAATCGGCCTATGAATCCGATGATCAATGCGGGGGCCATCACGGCGCATTCGTTGGTCGTGGGACCGAATGCCACGGCGGAGGAGCGCACGGAACGGATTCTGAAGGTCATGTCGAAGCTGGCGAATCGGGAATTGAAGGTGTGCGAGGAGGTCTACGAGGCGGAGATGAAGGATTGGGACCGCAATATGGGGTTGGCGTACATGCTCAAAGCGGCGGGTATCGTTCAATGTGATCCTGGCGAGGCGGTGAAGGGGTACATCCGGCAATGCTCGATTAATGTTACGGTGAGGGATCTGGCATTGATGGCTGCGACGCTGAGCAATGGTGGCTACCACCCCATTACGTCCGAGCGGATCTTTCCGCGGAAGAGCGTGCGTCAGGTCTTGTCGGTCATGACGACCTGTGGAATGTACGATGCGGCAGGAGACTGGGTTTCGAACGTGGGAATTCCCGCCAAGAGCGGCGTCGCCGGCGGAATCCTCGGTGCACTTCCCGGTCAAGTCGGGCTCGCGGCCTTTTCTCCCAAGCTGGACGACAAAGGGAACAGTGTGCGCGGCATCAACATCTGCGAGCAATTGTCACACGATATGGGCCTCCACATGATGGACGTCAGTCAAATTGCTCGATCTACGGTCAATACGGCCATTGTCGTCATCAAATCGGCTGCCAACAGCAAGCATCCTGGGAAGGAATCCCGTGCGGCGATTTTCCATTTGCGCGGAGCCGTCAAATTTGCTGGATCGGAGATTCTGACGCGTGCCTTGACGCGAAATCTCGGCGAGCCGGATCCGAAGGACCCAGGCTCGGGTGCTTGGGCGGATGCCTGTGCCGTGATCCTTTCCTTCCGCGAGGTGTTCTCGTTGAACAAGGTAGCGCGACAGATCATCCACGAGGATATCACTCGCCTGATGGCGGATGACCGAAAAGTGGTCGTCATTGACCCGACAGATGTCTTACGGTGGGAAGAAGAGGGTAAGGAGAGCCATCCCAAGGTGGTGAAGAATCAGGATGAAGCAAGAGAGTTTGTAGGTGGAGCTGGCTGCTCGGCGACGATACAGGAGGATTGGTGATCGCCCTTTTGGGCTTAAAAAGTTGATGTTCGATAAATCGAGCATGTCCAGCATTTGAAGCAAGTTTTCGAGGGTTGTAAGTTTGTGGAAGCGATTCTTGACTGCATCGCTTCTCGAGTGTCGGGTGCGAAAGCGCAAATTTAAAAGCACCTTCTTGTTCATTTCTTCGGCGCCTCTTCCTCCTTTCCACCAGCCATGGCCATCTGCAAAATCAAAAACAGTCCAATAGCCCACCAGTACCTGCAGAATTGTTAGCGCGCTCTTCAAAGTCTCCGAGGCATTCCCTGTGAAACTCACTTTTGCAAAAACGTCTTCTCCGGCTCCTTCCCTTCCACCTGTCCATCCTCAGACACAACAATCGGCTTGTTCAAAACCGGCGATGCGCCCTTCAAAACCGTCACAACCTCAACCTGCAAATCCTGTCCCGCAGCACCGGCCCCCAAATCCCCACTCTTGGCCGCTTCAAACCCAACATGATACAGCTGCCCACCCTCCGTCACATGCAGACGGAGTTTCCTAGTCCTATCAGGGAGGAAATTTGACGCCGCCGTCGCGATACCCGACCACGCACCCGAGGCATGGTAGTATCCAATCCGCACGATTGACTCCTCGGCCGGGACTAGCGGTGCGGTGTATTTCTTCACAATGGCGTTTTGCTGGTCGTAGGAGATTTGGGCGAGGCTCTGGGGCTTTGCGACGCCGAGTGGCCAGGCGAAGATGTCTACGGTGCGCTCTTGGGGGTCGGAGTGGAGTTCGCTGGCCAGCGCGGTGAGGAAGGTCAGCGCGAGGCTGGGCAGGAGGAAGAGACGCATTGTTGGTCTAAATCCAATGAGTGACCTGTGTTGTTGGGGCTTGATGTGTGCGATGAAAGGTATATCCAGTAAGTGGTTACTTGAAGATGTTTTGCTTGATGGGTGGACTTGGAAAGTATGGAGGTTTCGGTGGAGCTTCACAGTTCGACCCAATTGCATGATTAGGGTTGTAGTTGGGCTTAATTCGCATCAAATTCCCTGAATCAGCTCTCTGCCACATCTACACATATGAACGTCATGTCACATCGCTCTTCTGTCGATAACCGCATGATAAGTAGGCAGTGATCGTGTGATATTGAGGTGATTGATACCCTGGATCGCGTGTACCAAAAAACTGAAATTTCGCTATAGGTTGAGAGAGCGGATTAGAACCTTGGAAGGCCACGAGCTAAGGGTTGTATAATGACAGTAGGTTTTGGGAGATGGAAATTCCGGTACGGGACTTCCCGTCGCTATTATTACACCGAAGCCCTTATAAACAAGGCGGCTGTACGGCTGGTCCCGACGATGCGGCTTAAACAGGTCGGACTGGTTCACGAAGGGAGACATTGGAATTGTTGGACTCTATAGTGTGTGTTCGCTCTGATTGTGATTCACCCGTGAGCTAAAGGTTGATAAGATAAAAGAAGGTCGACAATTGTTGAATGCCAGCTGCTCCCTGCAGCCGATATCGCTAAAGTATCAAAAAATCACATCCCTGATCAATACAACGGCATATTAACGCGATTGACATAGTCCACATTCTCCTCCTTGGCCTCAATGCGGTTTCCACAAGTGCCAAAGATGCGGTCCCACAGGCGAGTCTGTTTGCCGTAGTTGCAGCTTGTTCTCCATCCCTGACGGTGGTGGAGATCGTGATCTTCCACCACAAGCTCGCAATCGACCATCTTGAGGAAGATCGATGAAAGTCCGGGCGTTGAGGAGCAGATACGTAGGCCCGAATGCCCAAATGCCTCACTAAAAATTAGGTACTGGTGACAGACCCACCAGTCGTAGAAACCCATGGGGAAGCCAAAAGCTTTCAAAACGCCGTAGGTGAGAAGCGGGATCAGGGCAATCTCGATAATCTCCTGCTCGGTATCGGAGTAGGCGGAAAGGAGCGGGTTAGGGTGCTTGGTCAAGTGGTGAGTGCGGTGGTACTGCCAGAGGCCGTCAATCTCATGGCAGGCGCGGTGGTAGACGTAGAAGAAAAAGTCGAGGACGATCGAGTAGAGGAAGAGTTCTGCGGGCAACCAGGGGCTCAATGAGACGGATTGGCTGCTGTTATAGGCGAGGAAGATTGTGAAGATGGGACGGATGGTGGTGGTCAATTCGACTGAGAGAAGGACCTTGTCGACGCCTACGTCGGGAACGGGATCACGGCCATGCTTGTCTCCGTCGAGGAATCCAACTCTGATGAAGGTGCTGTTAGCGAGCTGAAACACAATCATGTAGGGCATAGCCATGGGATATGCTTACTTCTTTGCCAATCGTGACAGAACCTTGACTTGGTGAATGGAGTTGATTTGAAAGACGAGAGTGTAGAAAATAACTGCAGCTACAGGGTGGAAATTCTTGCCCGTGTAGTGATAGTATGCAGCCTGGACCAGCATTGGCCAGGCAGCGTGGTAGAGGATCCACACGTGTGTCGACCATTGTGTGAAGTATGGAATGGGATCGGTTTTCTGGAAGACGGGGAATTTCGTGCCTTCCCGGTCGTGCCAAGTATCTAGACGATTGAGGATGTGATGTCTCCATGTCCACTGGCTTGGGTCGTCTCTCCAGGTCGAGACCATGGAGTCTTTGGGGTTTCGTTGAACACCCATGGTGTGCACAGTGTTGAGTCACAGATAGATTGAAGATCAGACTTGGTTCGTGGCAGTATTGAAAGTAGTAAATCGACGATATAGTATATGTGGAATGATTGAGAAAGGAAGTGAGGGTTTACAAGGAGGACAATGCTATTACCTATATATTAATGTGGACATCGTAGATTGAGTGAAGCAATGAAACATGGTCGATGTGCTTGGCTAGCGTGGTCGTTCTCGCATCGCACCCAAAATCCTACGAGACTGAGGAGAAAAGACAGGCGCGGCGCGGCGAACCGTTGGAGGGAGCCGCCTGATGAGGGGGACAGTGACAGAGTGGAGATGCAAGGCAAGGCTCACGTGGGTGGCGGCTGAGCTGACTACCAGGGAAGAAAAAGTCCCTGTCTGTCCGTCTCTCCCGCGCAGCGGAGCAGAGACTGGTTGATCATCCGTCGATGGGGAAGTGACACTAGAACAATCGTAGTCAAAAATGTACGAAAGTCTTGCAGAGGGACCTTTGTCTAGCACTCCCCTCGCGTCTAGACTGTCATTGCGTCGTAATTAAGGTTAAGTAATTACAGTACCGTATCCCGTGTAGAACCCTGCACCAGAATCTGGGGTAGAGTGAACCCAAGATGACGGATTGGAGGTGTCCTGGTCGCGGAATTTTGCTTCTGATCGTTGGCACGCACAACCATTGGGCTGTGCAGTGGACTAGCATGGAAGCGCTTCAGTAGATGACACCCGTCGTAAATTGTAGTAGGCAGCAGAATTAAAACGGTGTAAATAAATTGCAGTGTTGATCTGAGTTGCTCTAAACATAGGAGGATCTTGAGACGTCATCGTCGTCTGTGGACAAGCCATGAGGCTCAAACGACAACGAGCTGTCCAGTCAGAAGGTCCAACAGAATGGGATATCCCACGATTCGCACTTGCCGGGTCCACCGGAAGAGGGAGAAATCCTTACTCGGAGAGATCCTCACGATCTTCGAGTCAGTCGTGTTCGTTGTGTGATTTTGCAGGAGGATCGATCATTGTCCAGGTGGGGTGCATATAGTTGTCCACTAGAAACGTTCTGTCGGGCCGTTTGATGGATAGATCCGAGTGGCGCTTACCCAATTCGTCCACAATTTACGAACTTCTCGTCTCATCCATTAGATAGTCCATTTCTTTGCAGACTCACGCGGCTCCCTTTTCCCATGCACCCCATCACCCCGTCACCCACTGTGCAACGCTCGTCATCGCTTCCTTCCCCGTAGTGTCGACTGACACACGCCGATGGCTTCCGTCGCATTGCTGGACATCTCGTGAACGCCCAGCGACCTCACCATTGGAATTGATCTGACTACGAACAGGTGGCTCATCATCACAATCCTCCATGCGTTCATAAGCTAGCCACGTCCCCAAAATCTTCACAAGCCAATTTCATCCCGCTCGCACGTGTCAGAGAGCCCCTCAAGAAATGATGCCAAGAGAAGCCTGATGCATCTGTCACAACGGCGGCGGCTCCATCCACGTCAGCTGGCTCGTCGTTCTCGCATTCACCTTCGCGACGCAACCCATCGATGCTGGAACAAGACAATGCAAGGACTTTCCATGTGAGATGAATGGCTGGTCATTTGCTATAATCAAAGGCTCTCGTCAGACTTATTGAACTTGTCGCTACGCGAATACGACAGTCCATGCAGCTCTGTTCAGCAGACATGTGACAGCAGAATCTTGGATCATTTATTATCCGTCCTTCAGATCGAAATGGTCTATCGCAAGCCAAGAGGCACATAAAACTCTTTCAGATACAAATGAGGGATATGGGGCCACGTCCTCAGGCCATTATCGATAGAGGTCTCTGAACCATTTGGCACGTCCTCTTCGAAATTCGGCTTCCGCCTAAAGGCTGACCTTCCGCCGACGAGTCGAGTTGGCGGATGCCCGCTGAACAATGCCGAGTGATGAGACCTTTTCCCCAATTTACCTGATTGCGGTATCAGGGCGGAACGTCCTGTAGGATCCTGGCGGTGACTAACGTTTCACGTGTTCCACCGGAGCACCTGCCATCGTTCATGGGTCGAAGCTGGACTCGACTGTGCGACGAAGCGCCCCACTTATATGGAGTTCAAGAATCCACATTGAAGGCTGGTTGAAGAGATCGTCTCGACTCCCTGCATCAGGACCCCTTTGGCCTGAGTGTCGATCGATTGCTCTCTGTCTCCAAAACGTCGAATTGAGGGAGAAGGACGTGCACGGCTGAACCGAACAGGGCGTCGTATTCGTGGGCGCCCCATATTAGACGGATAAGGTCGTTATCGCCATGAGGCCCTTTCGTCAAGCACTGCGCAGCGAATCGAGAGGCAACTATCGACCTCCTGACCATTCGCTCGAGGCCAAGGCCAAGGCCAACGCCATTCCAGATCCTATTCCTATGCAACCAAGCATCTTATCCGTACCGTGTATCTATGATGACGTGGAATAGGGGCGTATTTCCAAAGTCTTCGCCCCGCTCTTGGATTCTTCTGTGTGTTACTCACCGCTCCACCAGCGGAGGGAGCAGCGTCAGGCTAGTATGATGTGAGTGATCAACGATGCGTTTGGCGATGCTCGCTTCTCACACTGCGCCTGCGTCTTCAAGAAAGTTGTAAAAATTGCATTGGTTTTCTCATCTTATTCCTGCCCCTTTCGCCGAATTAAATGTCACAAAAAGATACATGAATTCGATTTCGCGGGACATGGCAATTGATTTCGACGAGATTGGCATTGTCGGTCAGCCTATTTTGAAGTATGCTGTATATCTTTGCTTCACAATGGCCTCTCCTCAATGCCCTGAGCAAGTCCTATCGATTTGGCAAATTCGCCCCTCATGTTCCCTTCAGCAGTTCACTCGCTGGTACTGTGACCTGCTTTTCCCCAGGAAGTAGTCGGGAAATATGAGAAACTCGTGATTAGATTTACTCAGCCTTCGACGCTTCAGTGGCGGACACGTCGTTATCTTATGGGCACGTCGTTGAAGCGAGCAGGACGCAAAAGCAAAACCATGTGCTCTTGCTGTTATGTCTCATGTCGGATGCCGCACCACCTTGATTTCGATAATGTACCACGCCTCGCTGCATTTCCGATCTTAAGACGTAAGATCACGTAGCTGCATCATGACGCAGTCAAGCAATGCGGCAGAGCAGCGTTGCTCATCAGTCCACTGTTCGCTCGTCGGCCGGTGTCATATTCGTCCATCTCCGACTTTAGCAATGCTACGCTTTGTTCTGTCTGAGAAGATCTATTCTCTGAAACGATCACTCGTGGTAGTTGGGTGAAGCAAAATCTGCTTCCGAGTGTTGGCCGTCGGGAGGGGGCGTTCGTGGCTCGAAGATTTCCCGAGGTCGGATGGAAATGGCCTCTGGCGGAACTTATTGAGCGATGCTGTGATAGACGCATCTGATCTCCCTAGCTCAGCATCCCAACCGTGTCGTCGAAAACTGCTAAACGCGACTCGCGGTCCGCAGCAGCATCATGAGAACGACCCCTTCTCTCCTATCACAAATCGCACGCGTACGTGAGACTTTTTTAAAACCCCGAAATGAGACCAACATCGGCTACACCATCCAACTCGGCGCCTCCTCTGCGCCAGCATCCTCGTTCTTCTCCCACGGCTTCCTCCTCCTCTCCGCCTGGCTGGTAGATTTCTGGCCTTCGAGGACGGTATCCGGGATCTCCTTGATCCCCGGGATGGGCTTGCCCTGCGCGATGAGATCGCAGATCTCCGCGAAAGACGCCGGCTTGGGCGCATCCATCAGTCCACCTCCTGCATCTCCACCAGCATCGTCGGCGCTGCTGCTGTTGTTGCTGGCGACGACCTCCCCCGATGCGATCGCCGCGGAGAAGGCGGGGTCCCGTGCGATCGACGACTCTCCATTTCCCTCCGACCCTCCTGCATCACCGTCTTGGTTTCCGTCTGGTCCGCTCTCGACCCACGCTTTGTACCCGTCAAAGTCCACCGCGGTGCCCGCCTTCCGCGCGTAGTAGTAGCATTTCGCGCGCAGGGTCAAGTGGGCGATTTGTTGCGGGTCCTGGACGGAGCCGAGGATGGCGGAGAGGCCGCCTTGGAATTCCGGGTCCGAGGACCAGGGGTAGCTGTCGAGTTGGTGGAAGAGGGCGGTGTTGCTGTTGCTGTTGGCGGGCGGGAGATCTTCTTGGGGTTGGAAGGACATTATTTCTGTTTTTGTGGGGTTGTGATGGGGTGGACGCTTCTACGAGGGAGTGGTACTTTTATTTTTCGCTGGAAAGCGCGATTGGACTCGATGTTTCGGTGGGCCTTGTCTATTTCGTGGATCTGGTGAGGTGGTTGTGTGTGTCTCGCGTGGCGCGTGTGGTGGTTTGTGTTGATAAATAGGTGACGTGAGGTGAGCGGGGTTGTTGTTTGAGTGACGGCGACGATTACAGGGACCGCGGGACAAACAGTGAATAACATCGTCCCCATCACGCTGATGAAGCATTCCGACACCGATGTATATTATTTGCCCAACACTGTCTAATAAATACAGAGAACATCCAATAGTCTCCGTGTTACGCACGTTTCCCAATATACTGTCTGAAAATATGACAAGAATTAATGCGTATGGATTTATCTTAGAACATCAAGTGTGAATCAACAATGAACAGGTGCGAGGCAAATAAACCAAATTTACAGAGCCGATATTTTCAATTCAACCTCGTCTCGAGCTGATTGAGAGATGGAGAACGGAGATATGCAATAGGCATACGACATATATTGACATGAGCCGTGCTCCAGCAGCGAAGGAGTATCACAACGATACGCCATCTGTACAAATCTCCCGTCCCACCGCCCCTCTCTCACTCCATTTATCGTGCCAACCTCACTGTCCCACAGCAAGAGCACCTCCCGCACCCGCGACGACCGGACGGGCAGCAGGTGCAGTAACAGTGACGTAAACCGTGGTGAGGCCCGAAGGCGGCGGGAGTCCTCCTGTAGTAGCAGCCATGGTCGTCGGAGGAGCCGTGGTCGGCGCTCCCGTCGGTACTCCCGTATTGGCAGCAGCATCCGTCGCCACAGGAGGCAAAACTCCCGTATTGGCAGCGGTTCGACCAGGACACGTAGGCGCCACGCTCCCGATCTGCGCGGCATTGTTACAGTCGACGTAAGCGGTCAGCACGCCGTTGACTTTGAGTGCGGTGCCTTGCGGTTCGAGGACGTATGTTGTCCCGGAAGCGGCGAAGGTTGCGCCTTCGAGTCGGTATTGCATGGAGATCGTTGGGGAGGCGGCGGCGGCTTTGATGTTGGCGAGGGTTTGGCCGGCGGTGATGATGGTCGGGGTCGGGGTGAGGGCTGTTCGGGCGGAGTAGTCGGACACGGCGGCGAGTTGGGGGTCTTGTTGGAGGATGGTGTGGATTGGGGAGGAAGCATCTGCGACGGCGGCACGGTTGGCGATGTTGGATCCTCCGCTGGGGGACTTGGCGGGGCTGGTGCCGATGTCAAAGTCCATGCAAGTGGTGTAGTATTCGTCCTTGCCGTATGGCGCACCGAGAGATCCGACCGCGGTCTGCCAGGACCAGACCCAGTAGACGGTGAGACTGGAGCCATCGACCTGCTTTGGTATTTGGATATCGGTCTCGCACCACTGTTCGACTTGGGAGGTTGGCTGGTTTTGCACGTGGTTGGCATTCGCTTGCTGTCGGAAGAGGGAAACGGCGGAGTTGCTGATCTGGTGGCAGCGGCCGTCATCGAAGTCCTGGGCACCGATCAAGAACCCTTTGCCATTACCGCCCTTGCCATCGGCTGTCCACTGGAGGACGTCCAGGATCTTTGCCGACGAATCTGGAGCAGTGGTACCATAGACATAGACCGTCCCACCACCGCTTGGTTTACCGGCTTGCACCCACGGTTGAGTGACATGACCATTCTCGAGATATTTCATCGCGACCCAATCTCCCGGTGCAACCGCCAACTTGGGGTATTTGGCACTGTAATTGGGTGTCCTTTGAGACGGATGACACAGCATGTCCGTTTGATCGATCCTGATTCGACCCGAGGACAAGGGTGGCAGGAGATAGTTGTCACTGTCGCCGGTGAAGCCTTGATCGGTTCGAGCGACGTACCCACGAGGATAGCCATAGTCGCCAGTGTATGAGCCATTTGAGCCGATGACTTGGAGCTGCTCAATCCAAGTGTGTGCTTGAGAGGCAACGGCGAAGAGCGCCGCCGAGGTGAGGAATTGTTTCAAGCCTTGCATGTTGACGAATGTTGAGTGCGATGTGTATTAGAGGAGGGTCACCTTGATCCAGCAAGGGCCGAACGATGCAACGAGGTCAATGATTCGAGCAAGAAGAAGAGGACGATGTCGATCAAGGTGTGTTGATGACGGTACGATATCTGCAAGTCGCCAGCGACTGTAACAAATGCAAACGAAAAAAGCAATAAGAACGCAATATACAAGCAAGCAAAGAGATAATCAAAGAAAAATAAGGAAGAGATCGACGAAAGAAGACAGAGATGGGCGAAGATGGGGATTAGTAGTACTGGAGTGAGAAGAACAATACGAGCAAGGGAATGTGTCGGACCCACTTACATTCTCACAAACACACACACCTGCCACGGGCCTTACGTATCACTTGAACAATGCGCTCTCGGAAGTCGGAACAATCATGACGAAGAATTCTCTCTCATTCCGGCAGATTGCATGGCAGCAACAGCAGGGCGCCAAAACAGAGATAGAGAGGGAAATGAGAGAGACGGACAACACGCGCCGAGTAGAATACCTCGCGTTCTAGAGTGTCGCGTGCAACTTGAGGATCTCCTACTTGGAACAAAAGAATTCCGACTTGACGCGTGCGCGTGGTCGCCATGACTGAAACCAGAGTGCCATGATCGACAGGCTCACGAAGGACGAATGCCGACGACACGAGGAGACGATAGTGAGACTGGGAACAACGCCAGCGCGAAACATGTCATCGGGAGTTATTTTCGGATCCTGCTTCGAGAGCGATGGAGAGCGAGATTCCAGAGCGTGTCGACCATAGGAAGTGGATTTGGCGCCCGAGTTTGATGAGCAGCGTTAGACGAATACAGGGAAGTGTCGTCGAAATGGCCTGTCGTGGACTTGTTTCACCGGCGCTTGCAGTTTCGTGGTGAAGCGCCGGTCTGGAGCTCATTGGCTGGCGATTGTCCTTTCCAGATCTCGCGGGATGTTAGAGTGTCCCGTAGTGCTCACCTAACATTTTCGTAGCTATAGTGCACCGTAAGGTTACCCTACTCCTGGAATTTCCATGAACCTAAAGTCCCTCCAACTCGAATAACTGTCGCTCTCTGCGTCTCTCTCCCTCTCATGTCTAGTAAAGTGCAATACTCCCAGACGGGTGTTGTGTTATGCTGCACTCGCCCAGTCGTCTGCTCCTGGTCACGAAAAGTTCAAGGGCTAATGAGCCGATGGACGATATTGCGGTCATCGCGAAGTGTCTCATGAAATACAGTACACATGACTGACGAGGGAAAACTTGTAGTGCTGTAAGAGCGACGTGAGGAACGACATGGTGAACGATGTCCGAGCGTTGATATCGAGTCGGTGGTGTTGGCCGCATTGGGAGTCCTTGATACTGTATACCTAGGTACCTAGGCATGTCACCAGAATCAATCTGATCACCAACGGATGGCCGACTCGATGTCACGGTTGAACGAGGATGCCGTGAAGAAACCAAGGTACTGTTTGTATACTTGAGTTAATCCTCGACATATTCCAAGAGCGTACATGTACACTGTGGATTGATTACATATATCTGCTGTCGTCCATGGATCATACGCAAATACGGGAGCCCTGACGCCGGGTTTGATTGTTGTTTTGGGGCCGTTGGCGGCCATGTGGGGAAACCCTGATGATGATGATGATGTTCGTGGACCCAAGCAGCAGCAGACGAAGAATCGCCGAAACGACCGAGGTCCCGCTGGAATTTCTTGGATTGCCCCATGTGTACAGCGCTGGATGTGGCAGATCATCACCATTCATTCGGAGCTCGCCCGCCTCACTGTTGACTCGTTCGTCGCCGGGATTTGACCGTTCATGGTAGATTGATGATGGTCCAAGGTACCGGTACTGCTTCTACAGTCTATGGTAGCTAACGAGAGAGATGTCTATGCATCGGCGCACAGTAGACATTATGCAGCCCGTAGGCGTTGTTCCCGGCTGACCTGGAATCCGCCGCCATCTGCTGCATCCATCTATGCTCTCCCTCCTTATGTGTATATGTATATGTACCGTCCTGTATCTTTCACTCTCCTTGTCGCATCGTGATCGCGTCGCATCTACATACGTCGTGTACCTCTCAAGCCGACCGCCAGTCACTCCTTGATCTCAACATCACCATCACTCCTTGAGCTATTGGATCTCTACCCTTTTCTCAGTGCTCCTGGACCACTCTTCTGCAGGACCATAGATATCGCTCAACCGCTGTCGAATCAACGGCCACCCGATTACCATCAACATGTCGGAGAAGTCTATCCAACCAAAGGTCAACGGCCTGTTGGCCAACACTGATCGCGTCATTCTGCGACTGAACAAGTACGCCTTCAACTCGCTTCTCCCATTGCGACTTACGATCCCGCGCATGCGCGTAAACAATTGATAATCCATATTAACCTTTTCCTTTCTGTCCACAGACTCATAGCGAGCCCAGGCGGCCTCAGCACCTTCCTCTCCACCGTCAATTACACCCTCTACTTGCTCACCTACCTTGAGGCCAAGTCCGGCCCATTCAAAGCGCGCCTCGACGCCCTCCTCCAACGCAATGCCGCCACCGCCGGCAAGACCGTCGCCATCCCCACCGGTCCCTCCAACATCGCCGCCCTAGGAAGCTCCATCTCCCAGACCCGTACCCTCCTCCGCTGCCTCGGCCTCTTCCCGATGTACGCCTGGGCGCGCAGCCTGTCCGGCGGCGCCAAGGGCTCCGACGCCGTCCTGCACCAAATCGCCGTGGTGCAATGCGCCTTCTACACCATCTACCAATTCCTCGAGAGCGCCGCTTTCCTCACCGACGTGAAAGTCGTCCCCGCGACCTGGTCCTCCCGCTGGACCGCCAGCTCCGGCGGCACCACGGCCGTCATCTACAAGTGGAGCTACCGCATGTGGATGTTCGGCATCGCCTGCGATTTCGTGCGCATGGCCCGCGAGGCCCAGCTCACCCGCGAGAAGCGCGCGCGATACACGTACAAGGAGAAGGACGACCGCAGCGTGGCGGTCGCGGACCAGGCGGCGGATGAGAAGTTCTACACCGATCTTGTGGTCCCGCTCGCGTGGTTCCCCATGGCGTTCCACTACTCTGAGTGGAACGGCGCGGGTGTGCCTGGGTGGAATTTGGGTTGGATGGGATTCTCGGGTCTCGTGGCGAGTTATACTAAGGCGAAGAATCAGTGGGCGGCTACTGCGTAGGTTGAGGGAGAGATGTCAGTTGAGGAGGAAGAGCAGGAGGAGGAGATATTGTGATGTCAAAGTGGGATGTAGAGGGAGCGGGTATGCGCTCTGGATCGGATCAGGGATGATTTAATGTTGTGAGATCTGGACATTTGTTTTTGGATGTCTGGTTTAAAAATTGGGAACTTGGGCAAGGATGCAGGTTTTTATTTTCATTTCTTATTCGAAGTTGTCCTTCAGATCTATCGTTAAGGGAATGTCTCGTCTCGTTGATCATTTTCTCCGTGTCTCAGATCACGTCTCCGTCATGCCGGATGCACCGAATTGAAAGGGTTCGAGAGAGCTACTTGGCGAAGATTGAGCTTATCGGATATTCCACCATTGCGAGCATACATGCCACTCTGTGCGGTGCAATCGAATAATTACCGACCTTATTAATAATAGTACTAGCGATACTCTAGCCGCGGTCGCTTATATCTCTACGAGCACGAGCCCGCTCCGCGCACGTTGCGCTCAAGTCTCAAAGGCAATCGCGGAGCGACCGACCACTGAACGCAGCGAGCCCAGATATGCGCGAACGATTCACCCGAGTTCGAGGAAACCAAATGGTCTCATTGTCCACCCCCATGGCGAGCGGAAGACGAAGCACCGCCATGCCGGTGTCTGACATCAATTGACGAAGTCCAGCGCACTGCCATTGGAATATCGCGATAACAATTGCGCGGATTCCAATGGCGTCGCCGCCAACATGCCGCTATGTAGTAGGCTGATAGATTTGCTTATTGCTGAAAGAGCATCCCGGCTAGCTCATCAAACAGGCACGCCAGAGCAAATGCTGCATGTAGCACGTGCATGCGTGCGTAACCATCGAAGACAGCGCTCGTGCAGCATCAACAGATTATTTGCCTCCACTAATGCGCATTAGCCGTAGTGAAGCCCATCGTCGACGAAGTCGATCGTCAATTATTGTCGCGATGCTGAACCCAAAATCAGGTCATTGGTTTAGTTTCATTCATGATTAGTGATGGGGCCGTGGTACAAGTGCTGCTGATCTCAGATACTACAGCGACATTGGATTTCCGCTTCACAGATAATATAGGCTATCTTCGAACCAATACCCACTCCGTAAGAACAACGGTACGGGTTTCCCACTCGATTCGTAGTCGTGCTCCGTGAGATGCTCATACTCGGGCCCCATTATCGTACCGGCGAGCTCGCGGGGCCACTCGACACTGTATTTTATACTCCCTTCGGAATCCCTCACATTATCGTAGATCTGTATCGATAAATGCTTGATGCGGCCGCTCAAATGCTGCAGGGGTAATACCGTGTTGAAGTAGCATGTCTTCCGATGCTCAAATTCCTCTCGGGATAAGACGGCTCTCCAGTCCGGCATTTCGCCCTCGATGTAATAACTGGTCACCCATGCGTTAGGAAGAAAGACCACTTTGATCGCAAGATTGGAAGAGACGAGATGCGGCTTAATCTCCTCAACTGTACGCTTCCAATCTATCAGCTCCGGGCTGCCAGTCGAACACCATGTTAAGTGTCCGATACCAGCGAATTCCTCGAAGACGATCTCAAGGTGGCGTAAGTAGCGAAGGACATCTTTTGGGACGAGGTCATTAAGGAAAGTCGAAATGTGCAATCGACTAGGAGCTTGTAGCACAGGATCTGGAGACAATAGCTTCCTCGTCGGCCAGACTACGATGCGGTTTTGTCCGAAGAAGATCTGTAATGCATCCTGTCGGAAAGTCGAGTTTACTAGAAACAATGGCGTCGGTGACGTCCAACAATTGAGCTTGCTATAGCTCGAGTACACTGTGTGCCGACTTTTGCAGAAACAGCCCCGCCCGCCAAGCTTCTCTTGACAGTATCTGCGCCTGTACGAGTTGCGATATAAATTAGCATTGTCAGTAAGATCACTATTGTCCTTAGCGATCGGGTGGAGATGCAGGAGGGGATCGTGTCTGCTTTCTGTCCACGTTCCTCCTGCTCCGCAGCGTCTGCGGTACCAGCCGTAATACGGACTCCACTCTACTTCTTTCCCAGGGGCGACGAGATCTGTATATGCGAGAATGTGTTGACGGACTTCCGCCGGAAGATCCATGAATGTGATTGAGTCGTTGGATCTTCTGCTTTCTGGCGACTCTAGATGTGACACGGTAGAGCACACAGTCCGCTGAACTGCTAATTGAGCTAGCCGTCTGAGCAGTTCGACCCTGCTACGAGCGAGCCTAATATTGCATTTGGCCATATAAGGCCGGCTTTCTGTCAGAAAAGGTTTCAAGGCGAGCTCCGCGGTCTCGACGTCGTCGACGTCACACATGAAGTCCAGCTCTAGTGTTCCAAGCTGGAGCTGTGGCCGAATACCGGCCCAAACTTGGTTCCAATTCTCAAGCACAGCCTAAAAGACTAATCAGGAACTAACATGATTATGAGTATTCCGCACTCACTTTGTGAAGTCGATTCGTAACTGTGAGCGACTGTGACCGAGAGTAATCGAAGATTGCTAAGGGACTGAGGTGGCCTTTAGTACGCTCACTGTAACTTCGTTGGGTGTTTTCTCGAACTGAGACAGATTCGAGAGGCTCCGATTCGTTGCGAATAGCATAATCGGGATCCTCTTCGCCATCGCATTCCCAGCCATCTCTACAAGAAGTCGCATTCAGGTCAATGGTAAGCCGCTTTAGAGCATGAATTGAGCTCGCTCGTAACCTGCTAAGTGCAGCGAGACTAGCGTCATCTTTGGCACGAATGACAATTTGCCAATTAGAGTATATTTGATGGGCCAGCTCGGTATAGACAGCCGAGCATGAGAGTAGAAGGCTTAGTGTGCTAGTATTGTGCGACAAGGAAGGGCGACGTTCTGTGGGCCGATGGTTGAGATTGACGTTGACGATATCCGATAAGTCCTTGCGCGTATGCAGTGTGCAAAAGCCAGAGTAAGCGCTTAAGGGAAAAGTCCCGTTGTCTTGCACGTTCGCCTCCCCGCAACAGTGCGGTGTGCCTATGCTGGGCGCACATGCATAAGTATAGATTGCTAGACGAACTTCTTTTGGCAATCGAAAGAGCGACATAGTCATCATTGTAGGACGGTAGAGATATACAAGCGAAACACATTAATGGAGATGGATGGAGCGTTATATGATATGTCTCATTCGGATTGCAAGGAAGACGGATAAGTCTCGTCGTCAGCCTAATACAAGCAACTATACTATTAATAACATAGCTGTTCTCTAATCGGCGTACACTTCGCTCCGGAGCTGCGCTTAATCATTTAATGATGTCCTCTGCTTTCTTTCCGCAGCACACAAAATACGATATACAGCTACGGGACGCGATAGGAGGGTTGTGATTACTCCGCGCGGTGGAGAAACACCGAAAGTTAGACAGCTGCAGGGATTGGTCTCGAATTGGCCGAGCCGAGGTGGAACATCACCACGCCCATGGGAACGTCAGCAGATGACAGACAGGCAGACAATATACAATAGAATCAGTAGATGTTAAGGAAAATCAATTTCCTCTTCGTCCATTGTTCGTTTCGCACCCTATAGAAGCAGCATCCACACATCATGGCGGACGACCACTCCGCCGCTCAAGTCGTGCAACACGTTTACGATGTCCTCACCCAGCTCCGCGCTTCGCCCTACCCGGTATTGGAATCGCCCGAGTCCATGAAGCGACGCGCCTCTGTCGCCCTGATCATTCGCATTTCTCCTTCCTCCGCCCATTGGAGCCCGACAAACCCAGAAGAGAGCCACGAGCTCGACTCATACTACGACCTCGACGCCTTCTTCCGTCAGGAGTGGGTCAAGCACGGCGACGCCGAAGTTCTCTTCATCAAGCGCGCCTCGCGGAAAGGGGACCGATGGACATCACACATCGCCCTGCCCGGCGGCCGACGCGATCCGGAGGATGTAGACGATAAGGCAGCGGCCATCCGCGAGACGTGGGAAGAGGTGGGAATCGATTTGAAGAGCTATGCATTGGAATGTGGAAACCTCCCCCAGAGACTGGTCACCACGCATTGGGGCAAGAAACCTCTGCTCGTGCTGTGCCCCTACGTCTTCATCCTCACCCACCACCAGATCCCGCCGATGAAACTCCAACCCACGGAAGTCGCCGCGACGCATTGGGTGCCCATCCGCAGCCTCATGTCACCACTGCAACGTACGGTCGCTTTCGAGGACGTCTCGAGCCGCATCGCGAACCAAGAAACGGGAGTAAAGAAATGGATGCTGAGCCTGATCCTCGGCAAGATGATGTTCGCCGCGATCAACCTCATGCCGACCGAATCCCTGCACAGCGTCGAATCCCCCGGCCAAGAGATCCTCCTGCAAGACAACCGCCTCTCCCCTCCAACCCGCACCGACCAGCTCAAATCCCTCGCGACCCGCCTCTGGCACTCCGACATCTTTAACCAATTCCCAACCCCGAAAAAGGACGGCCCTCTCCTCCTCTGGGGTCTCACCCTTGGCGTCGTCTCCGACTACCTCGACCTCATCCCTCCCCACAACGCCCTCACCCTCTGGACCTATCCCACCTTCACACCCCTAGACGTGCGCTTCGCAGTCTGGCTCCTGACCTACCGTTTCAAAGACCGCAAACGCGCCGAGTTACAAGCCGGCACGCTGCTATTCAAAGATTACAAACCGACCTTCGGCGCCGTCACGGACAGCGTCGCACATACCGCTTCCGCTCCCGCCACAGACCCTCCTGTTCCTGCTTCTTCCGAAGAAATCTCCGCATCAACAGTCCTCGTCGACCGGCCAGACGAGACCGGCTTCCACGGCCTCGGCACCGGCCGTGGCGTGGGCTCCGCGCAAGGCCGGAAACCTACCGTGTCGAGTATGCTGGAAGGGTACGTCGTCGAGCATTTCCTGATCCGAACTTTCCTCCCCGAGATTAACGACCGTCGCAGATATTACGACATCGTCCGGAGAGCGGTGCTCGTGGCCATCCTCGCCCGACTGGGTCTCTCGACTGTCTTGGCGGTGGTGCTGTGGAGGCGGTTCGGCCCCGATGCTGCTGGGAGAAGGAGGGCGGTTTTCAGACCGACTTGAATCTGTAGCTGGGTGAAAATGGACGGGAATTGTTTCTCTCTACCTTTCTATGCCTCGGAGATGGCGTGATGGGAAACGAAAGGAGCCGCGAGACTGCGTTCCGTTGCCGTTGCGCCACGGCGCTGACGACGCGTTGTGAAGCGAGGGAGGAGGCTCGGCCCAGCAGAACCCTGCCCTGACGCACGCTACGATACATTTCCAAGGAGTCGCCTCGGGGAGATGCCGAACTCACAGGCTGGGGATGCCGGCTTGAAAAAATCGGATTCCTCCTCGGTCTGGTTCCCACGCATCCCAGCGATTCCTGCGCCGCAGAATCACAGGACAACAGACGATGTGCGCAGGAAGCCCGCGGTGAAAACGAAGGCGGATGAGGAGATAGAAGGATTCATCCATGACCGATTGACGATCATAGAGCGGCCCCCTGAGAAGAGCCAGCTGCACTGTCCGACAAATCCTGAGGAGCGACCGTGTTCTTTGCAGAAATTCGGCGTCGGGCATACTCATGGAGGTGTGCAGGTGTTCATCGACGACGTAGCGGCATCATCATGCCGCCAGTCAGGATATAGATGGCAGTGATCATGGCAGGAACGCTTGCAGAGGAGGCACATGATGAAGTCTCTCTATTTTCCCGTTCGTCGAAAGGGGTCTTTTTCTCCCCGCGGTGATGGATGGAGGACGGAGTGAGTTTCGGATCTTTTTCAGGGAAGGACTTTTTCGTCCTATGAAGGACTTCACGTTAATTCGGTTCGCATGTCATGGTACGTTCGAGGAATTCCCATGTAGATTGCGGTGTGGTGTGATATCTGTTGTGTGGTATCAGAAGGCAAAAAAAGAAAAATCAAGAATCTCCCACGCCCAAGCAATCGTCAACCTGTGTTCCATGCCGCTCGCTTATGCAAATTTGCTCATGAATACAGCAGCCGGAGGGGAAAAAAACAGCTTCAATCAAAAACTTTGGAAAGGAAAAACATCCCGGAAAAAAATGCCATCTTAAAACGGTCAAAAGGGCACCCCATGCGCATTCCCATGCCCTCTCGCTCCCGCCATCGGCATTTGCTGCCCTTGGAATTGTTGTGTTTCTCGTTGCGGAGGTGGTGGAGGAAGTGGTGGTGATGGGGCGACTTTCTTGGCTGTAGCTGTGGTCGTGGTAGAACTCCTACGTGGTAATGTCCATGGGACGGCGCAGATGACCTATAAGAGAAGCGAGTTAGTGGGTATGTACGGAAGACGCATGCGCTTCTGTTACGGCAAGGCGGCTTTGGCCTTTTTGGCTTTGAGCGCAAGTTTTGGGTTCTGAAGTGAAGTGTATTCGAGAGTGGCCCGGCCAAAGAAACTCCGGGGACGGAGAAGGCGATTGACAAAAAGCGTTCGAAGGCGGAGAAAATAGTTGAAAGAAAACTTACCTCCCCATCACAATATGCCCAGAAATACACTCCCAGCCCCACAAGATAATATATCGCCGGATTCGTACTCTGATACATGAGCACGGCGAGCAAACTCGTCAGTGGCAACCAGAACAGTCTCGCCTCGAGGCTCTGCTGGACCGCCGTCCCCGCGACGAAACCCAGCGGCCATTCGTAGACGAGGGTGATGATGCCGCAGAGCAAGTTTAGAATTTGGAGATATGGGATAGGTTTAACGAAGCCGTCGAGGTTCTTTGTGAGGAAGTCGAAGAAGAATTTGGGCCAGAAGAAACCTTCTATTGAGGCAGCGATTTGGTCTGTGGGAGAAAGCGTTAGTTTGGGCAATTTTTTCGCGAGGTTGGTGGCAGTGAGAGAGGTGGTGATTTATGGCTTGTTCTGGATATCATTCGAGCGTGCGGTTGGCGCATGCTGGGAGGGAGATTGATGATATGATGACGAGGATCAAGATGATCAGAATCAAGATGACGAGATAACGTACAGGTCGCGGCGGTCATGCAAATTAGTCGCGCCCAGTGGTTCTTGATGAGTCGCCCCATGATGTTCTATGTGAAAGCGAGAAGCAGAGGCGAAGGCGCATGCGACCAGGATGATCGAAGAGGAGAGCCACACGACGCGAGCCTTATTGCGAGCTCCGCGACGTGGAGATCATGATCTGATGTCGTAGAGTAAGAGATGCCGGATTATCGTGATACGAGGTCCGGTTGATCGGCGTCGCCTATTTTGATGGTCGCGGTGAAGTGTTCTGGATGGAGCTGCGAGGTCGCTCGGCGATATGAGGAACAGTGTACAAAAAGTAGCAAGCTAGGCAGAGTGGCGTGAGAGATATGGCGGTCTGTTTCGTCGCGGGTAATGGTATCGAAAGTGTTTTGTTCTAGAAATGGCTGTAAGTATGTGAAGCAATTACATCCTAGTCCCCGTGCACGATATCTCCACCGGTACGATGACGCCGTCGAGATAGGATAGCCCTGGAGTGGGATGTGAAGACTCGGCGAGGGAGACTGCGAATGCGCGGCACACATACCTGCAGGGAACGTGCGATGCTAAGCGGGAAACACGGCGCCCAGAGATGTAGGCAGAGGCACGATAGGAATGGCGAGAGAGCTAAGAATGGAATAATACCCGCTATGAGAATTCCCACGACCACGGCGATGGTGAATGCTAGGCGGAGATGGTGGCGCTTCGCAGAGTCTTGGTGGAGGAGAACATGTCGAATGTTCCTCTGTGCATGTGGTACGTTCTGCAAGCTGGGCACACGCTAGAATACTGCTGCAGGACTGTCCCGTCTCGCCTCCTGTACAGAAAATCCCCAAGAAAAGGTCTGAATACACCCGACCGCTTTTCGCTTGTTCTCACTGCAGCATTGTCACGACCGATTGTACACACGACTACCTGTGGCTGTGGCTGGTTTGACTACACTTTGCTACTATTACAGATATCTCTGACCGCCCGTGAAAGGCTCGCTAGGAAGAGAAGCCGGCCGATATTGATTTCATCACGTGGAGAGAAATTCTGACCACTCCGGTCTGTATTTACAGCTTCGCCATGTGTCGCCGAGACCATGGCGGCTCCTTGGCGCGTGCAAGACGATGATATGTTAGGTGGACTTTGATGCATGTCGCACATATCACATTTCTTTCCCGATGTTCGCTATTCTGGGACCACCGGGATATTCAGAGCGATGGCGATACACCAGTAAAATTCGCCGATCTGAGACAGGTGCTCAGTTTGAAACATCTCGTGGGTTATTTAAATCGACCTTTGCCGCACCCTGAGTCTACGCCTCACCGTCTCTTGCCAGCGACACGAAAGCAGAGGGACAGACAGGCCGTGGAGCATTCCAGCCTAGCACGCGGCCGAGGCCTCGATCTTGTGGTTCCAAGCGCACCGATCGATAAAATCCATTTCCTTTTGATAGCGGCAAGGGACCATCTACGTGACAGGTCGCCAACGTGCGGCCAGGATTGGGCGCGTAGGAAATGCGTAGGGAATTATGGTACATATGACAGGGAGCGGCAGTCTAGTCGAATTGTGATCCCTTGACCAGCAATTCTGGGAAAAATGTGAGCAAGAGAGCAGACGAGGTCGTTGATTGGGTTGCGACTATTCTGTTGCCGCTGGCGCTAAGGCACGCCTCACCTTTAGGCACGCCCCGGCCCTGAGCCGAGGAAAGTCCACGAGCTCTCACTTTTACCACACACAAAGGCTGAAAGGAGAGACGGAATACATGGAATACCTAGTGACAAGACACATGAATCCCTCCCGCCTCCGTGCACTAGACAATACTGTAATGTGTGTGATTGAGCGGCACAAGGGTCCGCACACCATCTCTCTCTCGTCCTCTCTTTCCATCTCCCACAGATGGAACATTTCAAGGTTCTCGGGCATGTCGGCGCAATATAGCACCGTTCCTCTCTCAGCCCGAATTAGCCCGCAAATTACTGCGAGAAATCCGGAAAACGTGGAAGGTTCCAAAGCGAGCATTCTTAGCATGCAGATGAGAGATGGAGTGTGCGTCTGGACAGAACGTTTGTGTGGGTGATTGTGCGCGCGTCCACGCCACCCGGCTCTGATGCTCCCACGTGATGGCGGGCTATCATCTTCCGATATCTCGATTCGAATGTGATACATCGTAATAGCTGCCATTCCGTCGCATTCACAGTTCGACTTTGCCTTCGCGTTCGATATTCCATCGTTCTGTTGCAGGAGTCGCATGCATAATATCCATTAGGACACAGGCAACTCCCACACGAACCTCAATCTATCTGACCATGGACTCGTGATTCTGACTGGAACGACATCTTCCTGGCAAGGGCCCTCCTCTATCTTTACCATCGCATTTTCTGTATCGTTTTGCTAAAATGGTCATCGAAAAGAATGTCGCGAGGCCGGCTCAGAACAAGTCATGGCTGGCCGCACAATTGACTCCCCGGAAGCTGGCCTTCTACACGATTTTCCATGGATTTCACATCTCTCTCTTCGTTCTGGGATGGTATCTCCAATCCGCTGACGTACGTCTGGCCGGGCTCAACACTCTCACATTCAGTGTCTGGCTCTCGCGAGGAGCGGGTCTCTGCCTTACCGTCGACACGACTCTGATCCTGCTGCCCATGTGTCGCAGTCTGCTCAGGGTGGTCCGCCCGAGAATCAAGTGGCTACCATTAGATGAGAATGTCTGGTTCCATCGCCAGGTCGCGTACAGCTTGCTTCTCTGGACCATTGTACACGTCTCTGCACACTATGTCAACTTCTTCAACGTGGAGCGTATCCAACTCCGCCCATTTGCCGCCGTCCAGGTCCACTACACACAAGCTGGCGGGATAACAGGACATGTCATGCTGTTTTGTATGCTCCTCATGTACACGACCGCTCACGCCAAGATCAGACAGCAGAGCTTTGAGACATTCTGGTACACCCATCACCTATTCGTACCGTTCTTCTTGGCCATGTACACACATGCGACGGGCTGCTTCGTCCGAGACTCGGTTCAGCCATACTCGCCGTTCGATGAGCGACAGTTTTGGAAACACTGTATCGGGTATCACGGATGGCGATGGGAGCTCGTCGTGGGCGCGCTATATTTGAGTGAGCGCGTATGGCGCGAGATTCGATCTCGACGAGAGAGCCGCATTGTCAAAGTTGTCAAACATCCATATGGTAAGCTTTTGCCGTGACTTGATCGATCCGGAGAACCTCAGCGCTGATTCAAATTCTACAGACGCCGTCGAAATTCAGTTCGTCAAGCCCAGCATGAAATACAAAGCCGGTCAATGGATCTTCATCAACGTGCCCAGCGTCAGCGGTGGTCAATGGCATCCCTTCACCATCACTTCCTGCCCATTCGATCCCTACATTAGCATCCACGTCCGCGTTGTAGGCGACTTCACCCGCTCATTAGCCAACGCCATTGGCGCCGGCCCCGAACAAGCCAAGCTCTACAACGATCTCGATCCGAACGGCATGTACGAGGTCGCTCTGCAAAACGGCCAAGAGATGCCACGTATCCGCATCGACGGACCCTACGGTGCACCAGCAGAAGACGTCTTTGACAATGAAATCGCTATCCTGATCGGCAGTGGCATTGGAGTGACACCCTGGGCATCGATTTTGAAGAACATCTGGCACATGCGTACCTCGCAGAATCCGCCTAAGCGACTCAAACGTGTCGAATTCATCTGGATTTGTCGTGACACGAACTCCTTCGAATGGTTTCAGTCTCTGTTGAAGAGTCTGGAGGAACAGCACGAGGACCTCCGGTTGGGCGCATCGATTGAGTTCTTACGCATCCACACATACCTCACGCAGCGCGTTGATATTGATACGGCGCAGAACATCGTGCTCAACTCGGTCGGTATGGACAAGGATCCACTTACAGAACTCTCCAGTCGTACCAATTTCGGCCGACCGAATTTCTCCCGTCTGCTGGTCGGAATGCGAGATGGTATCCTAAATCAGACATATCTGCCAGGTGTTGAGAAGGGGGTGAAGACGGATGTCGGAGTCTATTTCTGCGGACCGAACACAGCTGCGCGAGACATCAAGCGGGCGTGCAAGACGGCGACGGTGAAGGAGGTCAAATTCAAATTCTGGAAGGAACATTTCTGAAGAACACAAACACAACGAGCCACGCAATCGCGTATAACAAACACAACGAAGGATTCACTCAAACCTTGGCCTCTTGGGCTTTCGAGCTTCCGCCGGTGGATGGGAAGCCCATGTAGATCTTGAACGAGTCATAGATCATCCACTGGAGCCCAGTCAAGGTGCCGACCATGACGATACTGCAGCGACAACAAATCAGCACGAGGCCCTCAGCACAGGATTTGCCAGGATAATTCACTCACCGGACCGGAAGACCATTCCACAATCCGCCAAAGCCAATATCCTTATAAATCCTTCCGACCGCAGCTCCAAAGGCCTCGCCCGGCGCCCGGGAGGCATTCAATTTGCTAACCATGACATCGGCCGGATGTGAGATAAACGCGCAGAGGATTCCCGCAATGTATCCACCGGTGAAGGCGACGCCGGTCTGCGCGGCCTTGGAATAATCCGCTTTGGAGCCTGGAAGACGGTGGTAGATCATCTCGACGACGGTCTCGAAGGAGGCGAACTTCATCATGGTGTAGGGGATCTGGCGGCCCCAGAGCGGGTAGAGACCTTTGTATAACCTGCAACGACACGCATACGGGTCGGGTCAGAATTCCTATCGCCTTCCTCGCAGGAGTTCTCAAAGAGAGCGCGAGAGAAAAGAAAAAGATCTTACTCACCCGCCAATCCCCTCGGTCGCAGTAATCTTCCGAATCCCATCCATTGTGCCCTTCGCAAACGGCGGCATCGTCGTCTGCATCCGAATCTTCACCGCCTCAAAAGGACAAAGTCCCACATCAGCAATGACCTCCGCGGACGCGGACCCCGCCAGATAAATCCAAGTCTTATACTTCTCAGCGTTGGCCTCCCCCGCGAGGTCCGCATAGAATTTCTTGAAGTACTCATATCCGCCATATTTCAACGCGCCCTGGATCGAGTAGCCTACGGCCGTGGGTCCGCCGCCGGTGAAAATCCCGGCCGCGCCCTCCGCGCTGATGATCTTGCGCCACCCGTCGAAGTTGCCTCTGTACAGGGTGCTATTGACTTGGCGGCGGCATTTCACAAGATCGAGGGGTGTCACGAGCCAGTGGGTTGCGCCGCAGGCTAAGAGGCCGCCGGCAACACTTTAACTCGTCAGGAATATGGACATCCGTCAGTGAGTTGGCACCGGAGGATGATGTGCACAGTGTCGAAAGAGTGTCGAAAGAGTGCTGGAGTTCCCAGTCTCTCCCTCCCTCTCTAGAGACTCATTGTGGTGGATACCTACGAGGTGGCATAGTATTTCGGGCTGTATAGCTCGATCTTTCCCGCGTTGGCTTGGGCTGCATCGGTGGCTTTGCCTTGAGCGTCATCGGCGATGGACCAGGCGGAGAAGCGGTCGGTTCGAGCTTGTCGAGGTGTTCGCAGAGGTGTCGAGGTGGGTTTGTCGTCGTTTAGAACGACGCGGTTGTGGCCGAAGGTGGCCTTGAGAGTGGTCGAAGATGGGAATAGGGGAAGCATTGAGGGGAGATTTCTTTCTCTAGATATTTGAATGTTAGTTGATGATCCTGTAAGGAGAGGTAGTTCGGTATTCATATCGATGCTTCCCTATCGAGGAGTCCTTGCGTCTCGACTCGACCAGCCATGAACTCAGAACTAGACCACTTACCGAAATGTACTAAATCAAGCCAAAGACATATGTCTACTCACATCAAAAAGTACCTTTCTTGCACTTCCAGGGACGTGTACTCATTATATAGTGCCTACCAAAACATGAACTCAACAGGAAGGTAGAGGCTGCCGCGCCGCATCGCAGGTGTCCTGCTGACGTCCCGCTGGTACGAAGTGTCCTTCGGCACAAAATCCTCAGCTTCAGTTGCTCCCAAGACTAGCGCCGGAGACAACGATTCGTAAATACGAGCACGGCAGTGCGGCATTGAAGCCGTTTGTAGAGTCATATGTAGCGTTTATGGTATGTATTGGTCTCTGTTGGCTCTCCCTCACTGGAGGTTATGCCTGCATATCATTATCCAATGCTTACGCCCAGCCGGACTGCGCCGATGTCAGGAACGCGGTCTCCAATGGGACGTGTTATTATCCATCCGCCGTTGATGTCCATTGTCTTGTGAGGCACGCATGAAATAAATGTCCGCAAATATGAAGAGTCGGCTGATCTGAAATGATCGGCGTGGCGCAGGGGAAAGGCAAGGGGATGAGGCGTGAGTCACAGCCATTGCGGCCGAATCTCACCTCATTACCCCTGCTTCGTCCATTGGCATCATCAGCGTTTGCGGCACAGCTCCGGCGAGCGCGAATGCCATGACAGGCGAATATGTGCGTGTCGATCCTGAACGTGGTGATGGATGCGGAAACAATTGCTCTTCATGGTTCGCGTTGCCCTAGAAAAGACATCATCTCCAGAACAATAAATAACGATTGTTCGCATGTGACGATGGGACCACAGCCGCCCAATTTGCTGGAGGCTTCTACATATAGACGCCGGATGACGTAATCGGCACATTGCCCGCGGTCCATTGCAGTGCGGGACCGCGAAACTTTGGTGGACAGTACACAGCGATAGCAGAGCTGCGGAGCATACCACAGACTCGCCACGATAATCACGCACCTTACTGTCTGTTAGACAACGCCGTCAAAGCGAGACCGAAAAATGGCGACAAATTCTGAGCCGTCCGCCTCCCCGTGGGCGAATCGCTATAGAGGCGTAAGTGAAGCCCAATGCCCGCCAGGCTGAGATAGAAACCCGCACGAGGGAACCAAAAAAGAAGAAGAGCGCGCCAACTCAAATTTATCCTCCTTCTCACACCCCCAGGCAGGCCACCGTTGAAGACCTCGAGCCTCCCACCGCCCTCTCCACGAGCCCGCAATCGCCCATAGCCCGGGCCGTCGACGCCGCCAACGAGCAACAATTCACGCATCTCACCGTCCTGAACCCCAAAGATAAAGCCTTGCTCGGCTACATCAGCATCCCGCGATTGGAAGAACTCCTCGCGTCCGGGCAAGTCTCCGGAACGGACCCGGTCGAAAAGGCGATGATAAAGTTTCAACGCAAGGGGAAGAGATATCGGCTTATCACGCTGGGGACGCCGTTGGAGGAACTTGAGGCTTTCTTTGAGGGCAGGGATACCGGTGTTAAGCAGGACTTCGCGGTCGTTACGGACGTGGCGAGGAGGTTTGTTTTGGGAGTCGCGACGAGGGATGATCTTGTGAAGTTTATGAACAGTCGGCCTGCGTAAGACAGGACGACATGGAGAGGGCTGAGAGGTGGAATTTTTAAGAGCGAGTGCGGGAATGTACTAGCATGGCCCCGATGAAGGTTGGTGAACTGTCGAGTGATGATACCAGTTATAAGCTCGCTATATGAGCTGTTGAACTTTGTTGATCGGGGCGGCGAAGTTGTCAGAATATGCAGAAATGAAGCAAAGCAGGTGCAGGAGCAGAGCTGGCACCACCGCCAAATACTACCTATCATCAGCACTCGGAAGAACTGAAGCCAGAAGAGAAGATGCATTTTCTATAAAGATCCCGCTATGCAAATGCTCCAACCAACGCCATCAACAGCCCACCCGCGACTACCGCGAGGCAAGCCTGTACACGCCGTCGTCCCTGTAATTCTACATAGCTGTGATCGCTCAAAAAGTCCTCTGCGATGAGCTGCACCAATCCCGCGTACAGCAGCAATCCGCTACTGATGCCATTAACAATGCCCACCATAAGCAATCCAAATTCACTAGCAGGGTCGTAGAGCGTGTGCACAGCGAGACCGATCGCCTGACCGATGGGCGTGGTGATGCCGTACATGAGACTCATGAGCCACGGCTTCGTGCTGCTCGTCGAGAAGGATTTAATGGCGGCGATTCGGGTACCGAGAGCCAGACCCTCGAATGTCTGATGGAAGCTGATGGCGAGAAGGAGCACGGCGAAGGCCGGGCCCGTGGAGACGGAGAGCGCCATGCCGATGAAGACGCTGTGGAAGAGGATCCCGGCTTCGAGAAGGAGACATTGGAGGATCATGCGCTTCTCGTTTGCACTCGCGTCCGGCTCGGCTTCGTGGTAGGAGGGCGATTCCGCGAAGGAAACTTGGCGGGATTTGTTCTTCGGTCGTTGATGGCCATTTTCGCTGCTCTCTCCACCTCGTGAAGCAGATCTGCCTGTCAGAGGTTGCATATCGTCTGTGATGGGATCGAGCTCGTCGAGATCCAGGTCGGAGTCATTGTCGCCATCGCCAGACTTTGGGAGCAACGGTAGAGGCTTGTCAATGCTTGTAGCACGAACCCTCTCACCTTCTTCCGACTCCTCCACATCGCCCGATATCGATCCATCCTCGTCCTCGTCTGATTTTAATGGCCCCTGTCGAAAGCGCATAAAACTTCCCGATCTACGATGCTCAAAAGTATGTCTCTCCGCTGATCTTTCGGGGCTCTTCCAACTCTCCACATCAATACTGTGACTGTGAACAGCTCCCTTGATGGCAAAAAACATCTCCACCCCGACCACGAACAGGACGCTGATCATCGAGATGAACCCGGCCATAGCCGGGTATGTCTTGTTCCAAAATGGTGGAAGACATGGATCTGTAAGGCTGACAAAGGCGGTTGGTAGAAGATGTACGAATGCGGTCGCGATCAAAACTCCAGTGCCAAAGTGTCGACTGATAAAGATGGCATGGTTGGGAACAGGTAGTCGTGGAAATCGTCGGACGATCACGGGGAAGGAGCAGGCGAGTGTCGAGAGGAAGAGAATGAGAAACAATGCTCCAACATGTACTGAAGTGTTGTAGGGATATTTGGTCTTGCCAGAACCGCAGGCTGGTCTTTCTCGATTCTCCTGTCGGCGCGCGAGCTCCGCCAGCAGGTAGGATGTCGGTATCTCCGCCCATCTGGTGACCAGCGACGAAGACGCCGACGGTGACAGTCCAGCGAGCTCCATAGTATGCGCTTAACAGTTTTTTATGGTTGAGTGTCCGGGATATCGCTGCAGCGCATCGCTATAACGATGCCTCGTGGCAGCGCATGGTGATGAATAGCACTGAGTCCAGAGGCACGAGGAGGACCGAGTTCGAACTGCATCACTACTGCAGGACAGAAGCGTGTCCCTTGAATTAGCTTGACGCCAATGGGCGCGGAGGTTATCAATTTAGGGGACCCTGAGCCGAGCCCTTGGTATTCATGCGACACGCGTCTACATCGCTGCTATCCGATGTCTGAAATGCTTGGGATTTGCATGTCGACATTCGTTCTCCATGGATGCTGCTTGCATATGGCTTATGGACGTGGATGTGAACGAGTCAATACTTGATATTAGTGTTATTGTTATCATTATTATCATTATTGCATTGCGACCATACGTCAGAATGCAGCTTGCCCAATACAAGTACTAGAGCCCATTACGAACGGCTTCATTTCTTAAGAGATGCAATCCTCTCAAATTTTCAGCTAGAAGAGATTACCTCGCCCTCTCCTGCCGAGCCTGCCTCCTTCGCAGCCTATCTTCATGCGTCAATCGCTGACATGCATTTTGCAACTGTAAGATGTTCGTGAATTGTTTGAACAGCATGCCGGGCAGACCAACCCCAACCACGATCCAAGGAATCTGGTCATTCAGCTTATTGATCCGAGCCGCCTCCATCATTGCGGCAGAACGGAATTCTGGCATCGTGAAGACCCACTCAGGGAGGAGGTGTTGTAGTGTTGAAGTTACAATTTCCGACGAGAAAAATGGCGTGCTGACCTCGGAGGAGGAGAAACATAGCAGATAGAGGCCGATGAAGAAGAGTTCATTTAGTGCACAGGTCGTGAACAGCACAGGCTGGAAATGAGTGTCAGTATAGGACTGTCGCTGGAGAGCATGGTTTACACACCTTTTTGTAGTAAAAGTTCAAGATCCAGCTGGTCTGCGCCGAGATATCTTTGTGGCTACTTCCACGTGCTCCCGTCGCCAGCGTGGCATACATGTGCACATAGTGACTGGCGAAGTCGAGACAGATGAGACCTTGAAATAACGGCGCCCATGCAGGATTGGCGATGGCCAGGAATACCAGAAGACAAGTCGTCGTGCAGCGATCTGTCATCATATCAAGAACACCGCCAAACAGCGTCGACTGTCGGAAATACCGAGCAGCGTATCCGTCCGCCGCATCGAGCAGGCAGCTAATCGCATAGAGACCACTGCATCTACGGGGATGCAGTGGCATGTAACTCAGTGAACATATCGCTAACACGATGCGAGCGTAGCCTAGTTCGTGCATCAGTGGGGTTTCGTTTCCAAGATGGTATAGGCTAGATTACCGATGATGTTTGGCCAGAAGAGATAGATGTTCTCCTCTCCGACATCGTCGACTCTTGCTTCTCCTTGATTCCTTGACATATCGCGATATGTATCGACTCAGACACTTCGATGGAAAGCGTTATCGCAGGGCTTGCAGGATCAGTGCGAAATCATGATATATATTGCCCTGCGCCCCGCCCCGATCGCTTGCAAGAATGTTGACCTGGCGTCCGCACCAGCCCCCTCTGCTTTTCTACCTCGTGGCTACACTCTCCATATCCGCCATGGCTGCACATGGCGAAAGTGTCGAGCCGCGCAATCCCACGCAGCTTTGCCCACCTACATGCTCCGGAAAGTTTGACCCTGATTGGCGCTTTGTTACGCTGAAAAAAGGTCGTACGACCAAAGACCATCAGGCGTACCTCGAGGAAAAGCATAGCAAGTTCAAGCTCAGCGATCCAGATGTTATCGTCACCGCACCTCTCGAGAAACATACGGCGGAAAAGATCAAAACCTTGCCCAAGACAGTGCAAGACAACTGGACCAAGACAGGGCCAACTTACTACGCTAAACACCTTTCACCCGACGATCTCAAAATCATCTGCAGCGACGAAAAAAATGTGTTATCCGTCGCGTGCGTACTCAAGGCTGATTACAGCATAGATGCCTAAGATATCCAACAGGTGATAGTAGCATGAAATTCATAGCTACGGATTTCAGGCAACGGTAGCTTAACATGCATGGCGGCGAGTCCTAGATAGCCTAACAATATTATCAATTTACGTCCCCCTCCAGACACCCGCTTTGCGCTAAGACAATACCGTGATCATTTCCGCAAGTCTATGTCATGCACAGTACACCTTTGGTATTCCTCCTCGGGTTGGAATGTCCCTTCGTGACAGAACGATGAATGACGGGCAGGGATTTCAAACCCAAAATAGGGTCGTTTTTGTCAGGTAGGCGCTTGGAGAAGTTATGCAAACACGCATGCACTGGCATGGCCGTTTCTACGAAGGAGAGGGACTACTTACTTCTTTGACCTGGCATACTTATATCTCGACAACTGAACAATGGCCAACGTCATGCTCGTGAGTGAGGTGGTCGGGATGGTCCAGGAATCCATGGATATCGAAATGCTTGGGTCACGGATGTTTATTTTGCATACAAAATTCAAAATCATTGACCAGATAATTATCGAGGACGCGTTGTATGCATACTGAATATGAGAATCCTGCCACTACCCAGAGAGGGTCTCGTAAAAACCGTCTCGTTCTTTCAATGCTTCCACCATGTCAACCGCAAACTGCTTTGCATGAGTCGCGAATCCGATGTGGGCTCCGGCAACGATGACCAATTCCTGCCCAAGGTCTTGTGCCAATGTTGCGTTAGCACGGTATTGAAATGTGTGAGTTCTGGTATCTGCTCCGTTTGCCAACAACAATTTATGTCGCAAAGGTTGAAAATCTCGGGAGGCATATTTTGTGAGCGGATAGTAAGGCAGCTCGCGTTCGAACCAATACTGCACATTCGCAAAGACGTTCGGCCCAGACCGTGGATCAAATGCCTTCATGAACAAAGGGAGTTCCTGCTCGGGCGTGTCGATCATTTTCGCAAACTCGGCCAGGGCAGGGAAAGTGCCGCCTTTGCGGTAGAGTTGGTAGATTCCGTCTTGTGTCCGTTCGAGTTCGTCGCGGTCGGGAAGGAAGCTAAATGCTGGCGGTTCATGACAGACAAGGAATCGAATCTCATCCTCGTGCCGTTGTAGAAGCTTCAGTGAAACGATTGCTCCTGAGCTGTTTGCCAACACGGTTGCTGGCTCGTCTGGCGAAAGGTGTTGGATCAAAGCTGCAGCATCGTCGGCATCGCGTTCCACTCGCTGGTCATAATCTTGCGCCCCAGTGAGATAGCTCTGTGAGAAACCTCGTCGGTCATACATCACGACAGTGAATTTATCTTTGAGATATCTGGCGATCGGCTTGTAGATCTCATGGCTGCCGCTCGCTCCACTGATACACAATAGCACCGGGCCTGCTCCTTGAGTCTCGTAGTGGAGCGTCGCTCCGGGCACGTCCAGTTCAGGCATGATTGAACTGGATGATCGGAATACAGGAGTCAGACTTTCACCAGGAGTATGATGAAGAACGACGAACCGCAGCTCGCAGATGAACACAAGCGGGCCGTATCTGCTTCTGCATTCGGCGTGCAAGGGTAAATCCATTCCGTTGGTGCATCATCAACAATCCTTCGGGGACTACAGCCTCCATTACTTGGAGCCAACTCAGTAATTGAGGCATCGCTCAATACAGGCTGTACACCCTGAAATTGTATCGAGACATCATTCTTTACGCAACATGGCAATTTGAGCAAAATGATGTCTACCCTCGTGGACGTTGGTACCCTAAGAGCTCAACTGCAGCGCTGAGGAAGCCGAATGAAGTCCGAGCGGAACAGCCGAACGATTCAAGGTTCCGCGCCAACAGCTACCATATCTCCAATGGCAACTCGAACGTTGTCGACAATCTGATGTTGCCCGTCGACCATACACTGATACAGCCGAGAGTGACGAAATCGGTGTATAAGGAGATTTAATATCTCCTGAGAAATACATTGTGAAAGATATAGACTGTGGTGATATCGATTCTCGAAATGTCCGTCGGCGCGGCCATCGTGGAAAGCGTCGCCGTTCTCTACGGTTGCCTTCTGCTCACCTTTGCGTCCGTGTACGCACTCACACTCAAGGAGACATGGGTGGGACCGAGTGAGGCAGAGAAGAAGAACACAGCAGCTAGTAAGCATTTCCATCAATACCCTCTGGCCATGAAGTTATCCTTGGCCAGAATGTTAAATACCTCACGGTCGAACTAATCTCCCATCGTACCAGGTTCTCACAAGCAATGGTCCCTCGAATATGATGCAGATCCATTACTAGCACACGACTTTCTTTCTTTACCTGACGATCTGCAGCTACACTACATCAAGACCCGCCCTGAACTACGCAAGCGTCCAGCTCGCCATCTTGTGATCTTCATTCACGGCTTTCCCGATTCATGCCATCTCTTCCGCAAGGTCCTGGAGTCCGATCTCTCTGCAGATGCTCAGTTTGTGTCGTTGGACTTGCCTGGCTGCGGAGGTAGCGACAGCTTGCCAAAGTACAGCTCCGATCTCGTTCTCAATGCTGTAGTCGACGCAATCGTTCTATTGAAACGTCAATACTTGACTCGGGATGGGATGAAGTGTATCTTGGTCGCCCATGATTGGGGTGGAGTCGTCGGCTACCGCATTGCTGCTGATACCCGCGGACTCTTCGATCGGATGATCACCATGAACGGCGTCTACGTAAGACATCTGTGGAGTTTCTCAGTGACACACCCTGCTGACCCTTCTATGTCAGGCAACCAGCGTCGAAGCTGATATCCGACTCCGCTTCTCTCAAGCAAGTGATGCTTGGTCTCAATGGTCGAAAAAGTCCCCGTTTGGAGCTACTAGCGACAAGCTTGGTCCTGTCTGGAGCCAGCTCTCAAAGTCACACTATGTATGTTGTCCATGATGTCTAGCTGGGAAAACTCAAGGACATTGCGACTAAACTCGTGCAGACATTTCTTCTTCAGCTCACCTTCCAATGGCCAAAAGCGATGCCGTCGGTTGCAGCAGCTCTCCTCCGCTACGTCCACCGTAACGGCTCACACAAATTGTACGTACCGAACGCGCACGAAAGATAGGAACCCAGGCTAATCTGGAAATAGCGCCTCATCAATCCCTGAAGAATCTCTCGCAGCTTGTCTAACATCCTCCTACGGCCCAAGCCCAGCCGAGCTCGCTTCGGGCAGCACCAAAGACGGCCTGACCTACGGCCCGACAGTCCACGAACGTGCAAAGACAACCCCACCAGGCGACTGGAACCAACGTTTCCGCCTCTACCGCGAAGGCCTCATCCTCGAACCTTGGACCCTCGCTGAAGTCCACGCGAGACATGCAGTAGGGACATTCAAGGACGAATCATCAGACGAGACCAGTAGCACACAGCCACATCGCCGGTTGGATGTCCCAGCATCTCAGCGCTTCAAGTATCCCGTCACGGTCCTCTTTGGTATTGACGATGAGGCGTTGGATCACCGTATCGTGGTAGACTCGCTTGACGATTTCTTCATGCGCAAGGAGGATGGACCGAATTTCGGCCCGTCTAAGATTAGGAAGATGGCCAAATGTGGCCACTGGTCTCCCATGACGGAGATAGGTACGGCGACTTTGATCGAAGAGCTCAAACCTCTGATCGCCGCCTAGACTTTGAAATAGTTTCATGTCTTGTCGTATAGTGTGGCAATGCTCTTCGGTAAATGCTCTTGTCATCATTATATAACATATGAGCTAAATCCTCGCGGTGCTGCAGCCCCGGCCTACATAGACCACGCGCCATCGACATATGTGAAAATGTTACCTTATTGCGCACATGTTTCCAAATCACTTTCATGCGACCGGGCAAAAATATGTTAATATTGATCGAAAAGCAAAACGATCATCTGCCCCCAGGCGGAATTGAACCACCGATCTTCGCATGTCGAGTGCCTCCAAGCGGAGTTCGTACAAGTGCGACGCGTTACCACTGCGCCATGCGGGCCTGTCAGGCTTTGCGCGACGCCATTACATTCATAACTGTAATCTTTCATATTGGTTTCGACGTATCACGAATCACCGTGTCTCCCCCTTCCAGCCATTGTCACAGATTAATTTCTTCTCGGAACAACATAGAAATTCCCCTCAGCAGGCTGTATGACTTTATTGGACAAGGATTCAAAGGATCGATTGTAACGGCTGTTCTAGAACCCGTTGCTGCGTAAGGCATGACAATGGAAGTACATGATGTATTCTTGGTCATCATCTCGAAACAAAAGAAAGTAATCGGAAAACAAAAGAAATAAAATCGTCATCATCATTCCCCATCTTTCATGATTCTTGCGTCGACGTGGGAAGCAGATACTTGCGCAATACACGCCTTGCTCGCGTGGCTTTTGTGATGCGCCCTTTAAGCAGTCTTGGTGACGGTGACGTACTCGGTCATAGTCGCATAGACATGGCTAGTCTCAGTAACCTTGATCCACACATTGCCAGCCTGGTCGGTGCTAGTTGTGGTGCACTTGTCGATCGTGCCGGTGCTGACTGGAATAGCCGGTGCGGCGGTCGTGTACGCAGCAGCTGCTGCTGCTTGAGTGATGCTGGTGGTTTGGTATGCAGGAGGAGCTGCGGCAGAGGCAGTAGCGTAGCCAGCAGGAGAGATAGCTTCTCCTGCGGAAGTAGGAGCAGATGCCACAGGGGTAGTCGGCGAGGCAGTCGCACAGGCAGAGCTGGTTGTTGCGCAGATACCGGCGTCCTTGAGGTTTTGCAGCCAGTCACCGGAGTCGAACTCGGAGTAGACGGTTGAGATCAGGAATTCGTATTCGGAGTCCTTGTTCGGGTTAGGAACGGTCTCGATGACGATCAGCCCAATGATAGGCCGTGGGTTCGGGATAGGTGCAGTGTTGGTCGTCTTCCAGCGGAAGCTCACGGATCCACAGCCTGGGAAGACCTGAAGGAGATTGAAGTTGATCGGCGGCTGTTGGCCTTGGCCGAGCTCGAACGCAGCGCGAGTTGTGAAAGTCGGATCCTCAAGGGGAAGAGCGACGGCAGCATCTCCCTGAGGGCAGTTGTTAATCAGAGAGTTGACGGACTCGGAGTAATCGGTAAAGTTCTCGACCAAAGCGAGTTCGGCGACTGCGGTCGAGTAGTTGGCAATCAGACTTCCCCAAGTCTCGGCAACCTTGTATGCTTGATCGTATGTGAGGCATGTGTTGTCCCGCTTCCTGATAACATTGGGACGTGCCAAAGCTGTGGCGGCCAACAGCGAGGTGATGATTGTTGCGGTAAACATTGTGTCGGTGGCAGACTTTCGAGTAGTCGAAGTGAAATGAAGGCACGATTGAAAAATCAAATGAAAGATTGGTATGAAAATGCACGAGCGAGAAGTGCAACGAATGACGGTAGGAAACTTGATAAAGCTTGAAAGACTGAATTGTGAGGATACAGCTTGATTGAGGGAGAAGATGTAGACTATTATACCAGTCGTCTTCACAGAAGATCCTTGCTCTGGAGTAGATTTCACAGCACGTGTCGGGTTGAATTCAACTTCGTGGCACCTCACGAAACTACTAAACTGCCCTGCACGCCCGATGAGCCGATATAAACATGCATGAAATGGTGCGCGCCATCGGAATTCAATTTTCGGCGCGGCATCTACTCAACTAAGCACGCACAAGCTCCACCATGGAAAAGCCTTGTTCTTGCTATAATCCCAGTCAGTTTGACCTTTCACCGCAGTTGTCCGGACCGGATGCGGGATATATGGAGGCGAGCCACTGGGGCAATTTCGCAAGGCTGTGCCTGTCTGCGGTGTTTGGTTGCACGATCCCGCAGAACAGACAGTGTAGGCTTGTTTTCACTCATCCTGGAGGAATATAAGTTTTGATCGCCTGGGTAGTGGTGTTGCACCGCATGATGAGACTCTTATAAGTAGTTCACGGCTTAATGTTGAGATGCTTGTGGGATATGAAAAGAGGAGAGTCTCGTCCCAACAACCTTGGAAGGCGTGAAGTGTTACAGGCCAGTGGGACTAGACTACATCGAGCTTCTCATCAGAAATATCGGGCTATATTTTCTGGATCATGCAGTTTAACATTCTCTCCTTGTTTCTTCCTGGATATGCTATTCCGTGATCCATGATTTCATTGCTTTTTGCGTGTATGCGATTGATCAACTCGGAAATCATGTCACAGAACTGCCCAATGCCACACGCCGAGTGGCGCAATCGATCCAACGAACACCTGAACCAAAATAGCCTCTGAGCCGAGAAGTTCGACACATGAGCAACAAAGCTGCTTCTGAAGACTTGGCTCGGATGGGTCGTTGAAAGCGACCCGTCTTGCCGACCGTGTTCCTAAAAGTGGCCTTCTCCGCGTGATGCGTGGTGAACAAAGGTGCCACGCGAATTTCGCGTGACGTGCTTCACAAAGGATCGATGTTTTGATGCGGCGATGGCAAATCTAGGAACACCCGATTCCTCGGAAACTCCACGACACCATCATCGGATGCATCACGGGCTGATGTGAAATCCTCACATCATGTGCGCAATAATGGAAACATGGCGGGGCGGATCGTTTTACCCTTCAGCCTTCTACCAGCGGAGGCCTGTCGTTTCAGCCGGCCGCCCTCTAATAACAATCCGGACCGTCTTCGATACATATCAGGTCATTCTTATGTGCGAAATGAACATGTTCATACTCGATTGTGCTCCAAATACTCACCATCATCCTCGCTTATGCTTCCAGACGCACCAGAATGGGGAATTAGATATTTTTATCTTTAGCTCACATACACTCGATAGTCAGGCTTACGTGAAGCACAGAGAGCGTGAAAGCCACGTGCGAGCCTTTCATATCTCAATATAAGATTTGTCCTCTCGAGTATGATCACCCAGACTCTCACACGCCGGACACAGCATGATTCTGGCCACTCCGCTCCAATAACGGCTCGCATGTCATCCGGGGCAAGCTTCTGGAAGGAAATGGTGGCTTTAAGAGGACCGTGGTACGGTCCGACGATCAAGCGTTACGCATGCGCATGGCGTTTATGTATTGATTTTGCTCTTTATCGAGTCTAAAAAGGCGCCTCGTCGGCGTGTCCATGTGACTACGAGACGGATCAAAGGTAAGAATCGAAGTCGCACAAGCTGTATTGCAAGCAATGCCCTCAGGATCGAGATCCGGAGGCGGAGAGCGCGAACAATTAGGAATGTGGATTCGTGTTATATTTCTCGTCGAGAGTCTCGTGATCACCTTTTTTCAATCACCCCAGATCCACTCGACAGACTCGCGAGGAAGTCCTTTCTCGTCTGTTGCAATGTTCCCAACAGCTCGTATGGAAATACGATAGTCCGTCAAGATATCCCAACAACATGGAACAATTCTCTTTCGCCAAGTAAGTTCTGATGGATCGCAGTAGCAATTCATTTCAATCCAGAAAAGTCGTTCGAAAGGCTTGGAGATATTTACCGAGTGCATGCCAAATGGATGTCGTATCGCTGATGATCCGAGGCCTCTTGATTCTGGGCGAGGGATTACTTTGCCGCAGGCGCAGCCTCGATTTCGAACTGGACTGCGCTCGAACCATGTCAGGTAGGCGAGGTATTATTGGGAACACATACTGGAACTCTTGAGTTGGGAAATCGCGTGGTCGGAAAAACAGTCGAGCTCCTCCTGTACTGTGGTATCAGACGGTCGTTGGCGTGACAAAATGATTCGAGACGCGAGTCGAAATTATTTCGCCTCAGCTTGGCCTTTGGTTGAAAGGTTGTAGCTTGTCATCGGTTGTCCAGCGAGACAGGCGATCGAGCTCTACCAGCATCTGCACAGGGGACATGCTTTCCACCATCGCGTATAGACACGTTCTGGCCAAGGGGTACCGCTCTGAAATGCCGAAAGTGTCTGTCGGCCGCATCCTGCTGCTGGTGCCATGAGGGCTATGACACGCCCAGGATCGCGTTACATTCATAGAGGTAGCGTCTGAAGTAGCCAAGTTGACTCTGGCATTGAGACTGAAGCATGGCCAATCATATTCAGTACTCTCTTGCGCGAGAAGGGAGATTGCGGCTTGAGCCTCCGCTGTAGCCGTTCGCCTCTTTGCCCTTTTTCTCAATAATGTCCAAGTGTGCAAACTCCTTTCGAGCAAGCTGGACATTGACCCGCGCGGCGTTGAAGGAGGCTTCGTCGCTAGGCATGATGACCGCAAGGTTGGTATTCTCCGTGAGCCGCGTGATGAAGAACATGAAAGCATCAGTTTTGATTTGCATCTCTGCGAAAGATACCTCCGATGCCGCGGATCCAGTGTGTCGGGACATGGATTGCTTATGTCGCTTCAACAATGTGCTGATCCGCTCGATGCGGTCTGTGAATGGGTTGTGCGTTTCGGCGCCGCGGGTCACATGTGTGACGACAAGACAAGTCAAACGTTCGTACAAGATTAGTTCCCGTGCATTGATGACTTCGGCAAGTTTCTGGAGCATGCTCTCGATTTGTGTAATGTGTGGAACAAGGAAATATATGACTTGGGTCCAGGCGCGGAAGAGGCTGTGATCCCAAATGGAGCTTTGGAAGAAATCCACCTTGCTGCCATAAAATCCTTCGCGCTCACAGGCAGCGCGGATTTCTTTGACCTTTTCAAGGTAGACGGGACTTTTGCGTTCTGGCGGGATGAGGTCCATTTTGTGGACCAGAATGAATATTTTGCTGCTTGGACTGAATTCACGAAGAGCCTGTATCGTCGAAACGAAGCTTAGGAGATCCGGTCGAGCTTCTGAGGCGGGAGAGGTCACGTCGAAGACGAAGATCAGGACGGCGACAGAGGTGAATACGTGTGACCGTTGGTTCGTGAGATAGGATTCGACAAAAGCATCTTGACTGCGGAAGTGAAAATTGCGACATCAGTACTGCCCATGCAAGACCACATCAGAGTTGATGCTCGATGGCAGGGGGGCTCACCCTCCACAATCCCAAAGGTTCAGCATGAGATTGCCCATGAACTTGATGTTGCTATGTTCCACATCCACGGTCGCTCCGAGTCTTCGAACGTCTTTTGCGACGAAGTTGTTGAATATGATAGATCTCATAGACGATTTCCCTGCGCCCGAACGCCCCATGAGGAGCACTTTGCGCTGCTTGTGGCGCCGGCTGCGCTCCGAAGTGCTCATGATGGCGAGGATGGTATGAGTAGTTTCAGAATCATTCGATGTTGTTGCTGCAAGACGTAGTCGTTGACATTTAATCGCTTCGTGAAATCTGTGTGACGGTGATGGGCATCTCTCCGTTGGAACAGTGAAATTGGTACAACAACGACGGAATTGACCCGGCGCGAGCCGAATGTTCAACAAATATATCCACCGACCGGCAGTCAGGTCGAGAAACTGATAGAGATCCTCGGAGGTTGATTCCGTTCGTAGCAATCGCTATCGGAGAGTTTTCCAACTCCGGGCCACATTCCTTCTGCTTCTGCAATCTGTAGACTGCAGGTGGGAAGCATTGCACTGCTGCTGCATTTGTATTTCCGTCTTATCTGCCGAAGCTCGCTTATTTGCGTCATTTGCCGACGTAATCGAACGCGCTTGTCCTGATTGGGAAACGGCCGCCGACACACGCAGCTTGCCCGACCTTCCAAGGTTGCGAGCAATTCATATCACATTCTTCTCGATCTCAGGTTGTTGTGTCACGAAAATCATGATTTGACGAAGCATCAAATCAGGTCAGTTTCGCGATACCGATATACGGATTAGTCAACATGCGGCTGATCGACGCTGCTCACGCCCCATCGCCTATCTGAGAGACCAATTGCAAGGAGACCCTCATAGTCATGCTACTCCGACATCTTCATCTGCCAGGCACTACGCCATATGCTCATGCGTCGGACATACAGCAGCGCCTCGTATCCGCGCTGCTCGCATACAAAGCCAATCCAGTGGGAACCAGACCGCCGCCTACCATCATCACGGCTGAATTCCGTCCAGTGTACACGTGTGGCCGACGCGAGGTCGGCAACGTCTCGGCAGAGCAGATCGCTCATCTCACTGCCAAGACTCCTCATGGGCGAGCGGAGTTCCATGAAGCCTTACGAGGAGGCCAGACGACCTTCCACGGGCCTGGTCAATTAGTCGCCTATCCCATCCTCGACCTCAAACAACACGGTCTGGGCGCACGTGACTATGTCTGTTTGTTGGAGAAATCAGTGATTCAGCTTCTGCGGGACAAATACTCCATTGAGTCGAAGACGACGGATAACCCAGGAGTGTGGGTCGATGACGATCGCAAAATCTGTGCGCTCGGAGTGCATTTGAGGCGTAATGTCTCGAGCCATGGAATTGGTCTGAATGTGTCTACAGAGCTGGCTTGGTTCGATAGAATTGTCGCATGCGGGCTGGAGGGCAAGCGAACCACGAGCATGCGAGACATGGGAGTTTTGGAGCCGGACGTAGAAGTGATCGCTGAGCAGTACGTCGGTATCGTAGCGAATCGTCTGAGTGGGGTTGAAAAGACGGAAAGAATACAGGACATATGATGTACTCGAAAGGATGACATTCACGATCATCAACGCATAGTCGGTGATGATTTGGAGTATGCGTCCACGCAACTTGAGCATGCTTGCCGGCTAATACCGAACACACACTGGTGAAGCTCTTCGAAGACGGTCGACTTGTCTCAGGCTACGTACCTTATGCCTCAGCGGGACTAACTTCACAAACACAGAACTCTATACGCACCTCGCAATATTCCTCAAATTTGTCCAAATGCATCGTCGCATCATGCTCGACCGAGGGAAAAAGTGCATAGAAGAGCCATTGTGGCTAAGTATAGAAGCCGCCAAACAGACCGCATTGCCCTGTGCTAGCTGGATGTGGTGTAGCTTCCACGCCTCACGAGTGTAGAATGAGCGGCAGCATGCATTGCATTGCCTCGTAGTGTTGCTTCCGAGAGCAAGGACGTCGCTGTGGCTCCCACAAGCACAGCCTCCTCGATAATCAAGCTCATATTCATATTCACCTAGGCATTCTTGGTGAGCACAATTAATATAATTTGAGCCGTGATCTCTTGTCAGGCCACTCGTATTGGACACACGGTCATTCGCGACTTCCTCCCTGGAGAAATCGCCGCATAGAATCTCCCCCGCGGAAACGCCCCAGAATCACACGTCCAACAGAGACGGGACGCCTAATCGCTACACGAGCACGTCTAGTCGCCTTTCAATTGTCTCGTGTCGCACGCACGAGCGCAAGTCTACTTCCTTGAAATCCCAACTATCCTTCGAAGATTACGCGACTCCGTATATCCACCACTAGACCCACGAGCGGCATTGTCAGCACTACTGTTATTGAAGAGCGGGATCCATTGACACAGAAGCTTTGCGCCAATCAGAGTCAGCGCAAAGCTGTGGAGGACTGGCAGCTGAAATAAAGATAAATCTAGGCTGGACAGCGGAGGAACATCACCACCAGACTGGATGCGTTGAAGCGGCTCCGGGCTCCAATGCGACCCCGGGCGCAATCATATCGGACACTCGATGGACTCCAAGCAGCACGCGACAGCGTGCCATGGTATTGGCGATTGGTGGCCGTCAGCGCGACGGTGATGCAGCTGGGAGGGTACGTCTGCTATCAACATAGAGCGGTATACATGTGTTGGAGCATGTGCTAACGTAGTGCTGCTAGATACATGATTCTCCCTGCGGTCTCAGAGACCAATCCCTCGGCAAAGATATCAACGGCTGGACTAGGAATTTTTGGAATCGCCTTACTGACGGCCGGCTTCTCTTTGACTGCATTGTTATGTTTTGCTGTACGGAATCCTCTTTTCCAGGTCGATGCGGTTTTCGTTCCCTCGCTCATCGCCAGCTTTCTCGGTCTCGTGACGGTCTTATTTGATTTCATGGTCTTTGATCGATATACTTGGGGCACACCATCACTGCTATTAACGATCGCTGGAGCCGTGACAGGCCTCACATACGGTAGCTTTTTAATCTTGGCTTTGCGACGAATTCGCAGTATCAAGAAGGGTGCCAGTGCCGCAGGCATGATGCCCCATTCCTCTACGACCGGGTTAGTCCTAGAAGAAGTCGAAAATGGCCGCTGGCAAGAGCCCTCATACTACGACAACTACGTCAGGAACATGTTCCCGACCTCGATCAACCCACCGGGTGGCCGATCTGGAAACAACAACAATCGCAGCGGTGCCAGCCACAATCCCAACGTCAATACCGCCTACGACCCCAACTCCATCACTGAAGAGGAAATGCAACGCCAACAAATGCTCATGTTGCTTCTCCAACGCGACCAACCCGCACGTACCTCAAACAGCGAACGTACCTTTCACATCGACTGGCAACAGGGTCGCGACGAAGATGACGGCAGCGGCAACAACACAGCAAGCAGTACGCTCGCCACCGGCCCACCGCCTTCACGAGGCTACTACGCGCCTCCACAGCCGCATCACGGAGCTTCACAATCCGTCTCCTCGATCAACACAACATACGCGCCACATAGTACTTCGTCCACGATGCAGCAGCCGCCACCTTTAATACGGAGGATCACGAGCGATTTACAACCTTGGGATGGTGTATGGCGAACGGCGGCGCCTGCTGCTGCGCCAATTTGGGAGCGGCATGGACGAGAGGCCAGGAGGGCGGAGATCGAGCGAGGCCGCTGAGGAAAGCGGCCTCTTCTCTACTTGATGGCATGTCTTTGGGCGCTTGAGGATGTGTGGTCACACTGTATTTAGGCTTTTGTTCTGTAATGATATCCCAGTATTGCTTTCGGCGATGTGTCCACTGGTCTGACAACCAAGTATTTCACTGGAGAGGAGCACATCCACCGCGCATCCCGCCATTGTGACCCTCTGCAAAAACGAAAGAGATGAATCTAGGTGGCTTGAAGAACAATCTATGAGTGCGTCGTATTCTGTCTCATGGAAGCATCACTCATGGGCTTAAATTTGTGGTGAGACCTAACGCACCAGAAGGGACCTGTGAACCGCCGCAAGTCGTATTCGAACTTGGCCAAGCGAATCTATACTCACAAGTACTCTGATGAGACGATCACATCACTGCTCCGACCGTCTGAAATTTCCATGAGGAATTTCCATTCTCTTCTACTTTACAAATGCATTCAATCTTTCCTGGAATCTCGTGTTTAAGTTGCAAGTTGAAGCGATCACGGTTTCAAGTCCCATGGTCCAAGGGTTGGATCGGTTCTAGGGTTACCGTACCCCAGGCAGCACAGTCGCCTTGAAAAGAAGCCGCCTACGACACTTCGTATCCAGCACCCATTCCAGCCAAATATAATTTTTCGCACCCGCAGATTCATGCGTGCACCATCTCTTGTTGCATTCCTTGTTGCCCAAGACTCATTTTTCAGCATCATAGCCGGTCGCAATCACGACTTCTGACAGACCGATGCCTGTGAACTGCTAAACAACCAATTCCAAGAATCTAGACCTACTCAATGGTAATGTCCATTGATAGCAAGATGGAGCCAACAGTTTTTCGATTTGTATGTTTTGCCAGCAACAGTTCCCCTGCTCCCTAGCTTCCTGCAGAGATACTTGCTTGTACATATAATGGCGCCACCGAGTTCTAAGCCAAATCATGATACATAATTGACTCTACATCGGCATCATTTTGGCGGCAACGCAATCGTGCGATATATTTGGGACAGCGCGCACAGACTTCCATCCTCATCAAGTTTTGGTACTCGTACAATAGAACGCAACAGGTCTGAGGGCAGCGTTGACTTGACTGTGACGCTGCTCTCTAACACTGCACGCGTCTGGTTGCGTACATCTCGAAGCATCAGGCATTTTTGTAGTTGACTCATTGATCCAGCACACCACAAGAGAAAGAGACTCGGCCGAGAAGGGCAACGACTGGGATCGAGCTTGTCGCACCGAAAACCCCTCTCCGAACACGAATCGGGCTACTCTTTACCTACTTGAAGAATTTGAAGACTACGATTTGTATGGTTGTTAACGGAACCAATCTAAGCATTGAGTTCTCGGAGCTCTGCATGGGAGTGAGTCAGAACTTGCTTGCGCCGCCTTCTACAGGAGCCTCCCTTTCCGTTCGAATGGACGGCGCAACGCATTGTGCTATGTCCACTGCAATCGCTATGATCCAGCCACAACAACAAGAAGGGCTTCGTGCTGCCACATTCAAACCAGACGATGAGTACTGTTCACGTCTGTCCACGGGACGCATGAACAGGGGAGCCTTTCAGCTTGCATCACCTGGTATACTTCAGCCAATGAGACACTGCGGCGTTCTCGCGCCAATATGCGCTGGCAATATGAATGCCTCCACAGGGTAGTGAGGTTCAATTGAGGCCTTTGGGGCGGAGTACATCCTGCAGGATCACCGGGACACCATCATCATGTTTGCCTGCGCCGCGATCTTTGCAGACGGAGTATTAAAGCTCTGTAGGTGGTATGTTCAAGAGGAATGGTAGGAGCACTGCATATCTCTGTCGTGAAATTGCTATTTCTGAGATATCTGGACATCTGAGGACGACAACGAGTCATGGCGAAGAAGAAATCTGCTGTTCTGCGACGCTTTGATACCGATTACGGTCGTGACGAGAGCAAACTCGATGCATGTCTGTATCAGCACACCATTTCTTCATCATCCTTTGCTGACTCTCCAGCGACAGGGCAGCGACTGTGCGCCGACGTTGGTGTCACGATGGGATCATCGATCACACAGTGCAAAAAGGTTCGCAACGAGTTCATGCCACGCTTTTTCATTTCTCTTGCAGATCACTAAAGCACAAAGCAGATATTGCGTGGGGTTCATATCAATCTCGTGGACTTTGTCCACGCAAAATCTCGTGGAGAACTACCACACCGCTTCGGATCGCGAAAGGAAGTGGCGCGATATACGATGGCGAATCGCAGCAAATGTTTCCCTCTAAAGAAAGCGAAGGAAAATGGATTTCTGCGAGTCTTCCTGGTGGAGTTGTCCTAAGCAAGAGAGAAACCAGGCGATTGCAGAGGATGCTGCACAGGGGTGGGTGGAGGCTGTGCGAGCTCTGGGCAGACTGCGCGTATCTAGCACTCTACTCCTGTTCCTGTACACCTTCCCACATGCGTCCTCCAAGATGGTGACGCGAGCTCTGTGTCAGAAGCTTGTAGCCAAGTTGTTGTCTTGTTGTCTTGAAGTCGAGAGCTTATCGTACGAAAGCTGCACCACCAGCTGTGAAGAGATAGACTTGCACAGATAGTATACCATTGCCGTCTTTGACGAACGCTGGCGTGGGAGCGATTAGGTTGTGACAGCGCGCGCGGCGGTCGATGATTCACGCGCCGGGAAGTCGCAGCGCCCCTTAGCGCGGCGCTGTGCCAACCCAGCAGTCGACGGTCTTGCGGGGAGCGGTTGTGCGTGTGTCACAAATGTCGGCAGAAGTAGAGAGGGTTTGCCGTCCTAGAGGTCAATTCCACAAGCATAACGGGATATCATTGTCTTACTTAGGGGGACTACAATAGACAACCATCCATAGCCAATTGCGAGGGGTGGAGATGTGCTGGCACATCGTCTCGGAAGTTTGAGATACTGTAGGTGCGTGGAATCCGGGTAGATCGAGCATCACTTCTGTTGTCCACAGGTGGGCCCTTTCCAGGTGGGGCGGAGGAGATTCTCCGCTGTGAGCAAGCCACGGCAACGTCCCATGCCGTGACTGCCGTAATGTGCCCCTTGTAAGTCCCGTGTGCCGTCGAGCAAAGACGAAGTCACTTCACGATCAAGCGTCTGGGCTGGCGCAAAGTCGCTCGGCTCATCCGATGGGGTAGGTTTTATGCACACTGATCACGCCCGATGCCTGCCATGCATGAAGGATTCAGGCATCTATCTGATAGCATGCACCTTATTATGCTCACACGAGCGTGTGAGAGGCGTGTGAGAGGCGTGTGAGAGGCCGGGGATTCTTTTCAGCCCCCACCCCAGGAACGTTTGGCTGCACGGTGATTTCCACATAGAGCGACTGCTGCTGGGATGAAAGCCAACAGCCAATGGGCGTCCCGCTCAACCAACCACCTGTTGCCGAGCCATCTCGTGGGCCCTGTTGCATCAAAACAGTACGAACTTCGCGGGTGAATTGATTCTCAAAGCGGGACTCAGCAAATCTGCGAGTGTTCGAAACCTGATACGAGGCAGCAGGCGGCGTGAGATGATGACGACAGTGACGGCCGCCATACTTCCAAAGTTGGTGTGAAAATGACGCGGATGGGAGACGTTTCTAGACGGCACGGGAGGCGGCAGCAGGAGCCGTCCGCGCAGTTACCGTACAGCCTCATTCCTGAAGCAGACGACACTTGCATTTGTTGCACAAGCAAACACTCTCAGCCAATTATTGCTTTTGACAACACCACATTCACTCTGGAGATGTCGTTTCCTATGCCTGCCAGCCAACAGCGGGAACCCTGTCAAGATGTTACTTGAGGCGGCATCGACACGTGCTTGTATTTGCGCTCCGAACATGAGGCCGCTCATGACAAAGAACAGTACAGCCCTTCGCCTTCAATGTCTCGACACGTGCTTGTGTTTGCGCGCCCGAACATGAGATCGCCCATGAAAAGATTCTGTACCTCAGCCTCCAATGAGTGCTTCGCAGCCGTGTAAGAACCAGGTCAAGATCTTGGAGTGAGCATGTCACTGCAAGCTCGACTTCGCCATGTGCTTTTCATGTGAGAAAGTAAGATTGTGTGGGCTGCAACATGCCGCATATGGCATGCGGCAGTCACCACTCTGCAAATATACGTACAAATCCGTGATGCAATGACTGTAGGCTCGGTCAGTCGTCACGTCAGGCTTGGAGGAGCTGGCGGCTCTGGTCCATTGCTAATTTGTCCGAGAACCTTGCAGCATTTCTAGACCTTCGTCCAAAGGTGTCTGACACAAGTGAGCAACCTCTATTGAGAAAACCCCAGGCCTCTTTGCGGCGCATCTGAATTTGCGGCAATGCACCATCAACAAAAAGACTGGTTGTGTGATTCTTTGTTCGAGCATTTGCTGAATACTCGGGTCAACAACATCTATATTTCACTTGCTCGGCTCCTAGAAGTTGCGCCCATTTTCTTTCTTTCTTTTGTAGTGCCTCATATTCCCTCCAACATTCTTGATCATTATTATACATGCACAGTCCACTAAGATCACCGTCGAAATCCTACATCTCATACGCAAACACCGAAATCACTATCGAATGTCTACCCTCCAGAGACGAACGCAAAGAAACAAGATCACCTCCGATCGAACAATGGCCCCTGAGAACGATGTCAAGCGTCTCATGCACCATATGTTCCTACCCCCCAAGCTGCCACACAGCGCTGACAGTGGCAGCCATTTGTTCCTCGTGCGAGCCACTCTGGCAGCCTTGAAAGAATGGCAGTCAAACAACGACGATGAGAAGCTTCTCATTGACCATGCGATCGGGTCAATTGAAAGCCTCATTCTTATTCATTCCCTACAGGATGATCGCATTGACGAAGCTCGTACTAGTCGCCTTCTACACGAGTTGAAAGTCGGCAACACAATCGCCTTACACATCAAAGCTCAGAACGCCGCTGTGCTGTTCACTCGTCACACAGACAGCATCTTAGTCGACGTGTTCGAGCTTTCTGCACGCAACTCCGATGTCACCGGAACAAAGGGTCGTCTTGTCCGAGACTTTCCAGGCCGCTCCGTCACCATCCCTGCAAGCACCCTCGACGATGCCGACTTCACGCCGGCACTTGTAAACGCACTTTCAGTGATGGACGCAGAACCTGTGCCAGAAATGCAGCCCAAAACAAAGAAGGGCGGAGTCTCTCACGGCGAAAATCGCGACTCTACAAAGCCTCTCATTGTGTCCGAGCTGCTTGTTGGATTCTTGTGCAGTGTTGGAAGCCCCATCGTGGTCGAGGGTGTACGTAAGCATACCAGGGACGAGATAAACTGGGACAGTACTCTTGAGCCATGGCGTCGATCGCCCATGTGGCTGCTCGTTCGAGTGCTACTCCAGCTTGTGATCGAGCGGGGATCTTTTCGCAATTCTCATGACCTATACAAGAAAGTGATTCTATTCGTTCTCAGCCGCGTCCTTGATCAAGCTCGCAAGGAGAAATTTTCTAGCGATGATCTCTACTGTATGACCGCCAAGCTTGATCAGCGGCTGAAGAAGATAGTGAGATCTTCCGAGAATGATCTCGGCGATGACTTGATTGTGCAGAGAGTCGTTGAAGTACTCCACAAGGTCGATGAGTACCTTGACAAGAAGTGGACAGAGGTTCAAGATGCTGATGCTCGGATGATCGACTTTTCTCATTTCAAGAACTTCAACCCTACCGCAGACAGTCATGTCCACCTGCCCAAGCTGAATGAGCATATCGACAAATTGCGCGCTCGCCAGCGAACTTTGCAGATCGCTACCTTCCATCCTCAAAAGCAATTGGCAGTGTATAAACCTTCGCAACTTCCAGTGCTGCCAAGCTACAATCCTACAGACTCAAGCTACGCGTCCGCCAACTTGCAGGCTTTCGAGGATTGGGTTCATAGACACCTCGAGACTTGGTCTGCTGGCGTTACAGCACTTGAGGTTTGTCAGAACATGCTGACGCTCGTGAGAACCTATCACAATCTGGCAATGGGACACTACAATGGCAACCCAGAAGCAATATCAAAGATGCTGTTGACTACGTTTGAGATGTGGGTCGCATCTGATCAAGCGATCACCCAGTCTGGACCCTTCCAAATGCTTGCTGACTACGACCCTGGAATCGAAACTCGTGTCTTGCAAAACCTGTTGTTGTCTTCCGCGGAGCTGATGCAACGCCTTGCCAAAGTCGAGACCTATCTATCTGCTAGAAAGCAGAAAAGCTCAATGAGTGCAAGGCGCATGTTCACCACAAGAGAAAGCAATGGTCTACCCTGCCGCTATTCTCGCTCTTCACAAGAACATATTGATCTTCTTCGTACAATTCGGGCCAAAGGAGACGCTGCTCGAGACGCCAAATTTGCAGAATTAGCAAGGCTCCAACAAGAGCATCGTCGTCTCGATAAACTTGTCCAGCAGACGCCTTGCGAATGGAAAGAGCGAGTGATAGATGACTGGTATGGAGTACAGGAGACCGAGAGATATCATTCCCCACAATGCAGCTCGTGCAGGTATAAAAGCCAGCGCGATGGGCTCGGCATCAAGCTGTTTGAATATCCCGTTCCAGCTTCGCAGGTCGAAGCAGAGTCGATCGTGTTCGAGCTTCGCCTCCCGCAAATCTTTGCCGACTGGCGAGACTTGAGAAGTTTCCTTCTCCATGAAGTGCTAGGTGGCAAACTGCCGATCGCCTCTGGTAAAACGGAGTACTTTCTCAGCAAGAAAGATCCACACTTGAGCTCACATCACTCTGGAGCCCGCCACGACCGACGTATCGATCTCTTGTCCACGGTAAAGCCTGCAATTGTCACGCACTACCAAGTCAAAAAGATCCCGGCTGCAAGCAGAGAGAATATCTGTGTCCCCAATGCCCTCAGCTACCAATACTATGACACAGCCGCCCGTGCATATGACGGCAATCCAGTCTTTGATGACAAGACGGCAAAAATGTGTATGTACAAAACATCGCGCCCGAGCTTGCAGAGATTTTTGCATCGTACTATTGACGCTCCGGACGGCTGTCCACACAACGAGATCATTGCAAGCCAGGAAAGCTGTCCCGTCGACATGTCACTCGAGGAGTTCGAAGCTCTTCTCTCCCTTCCATTGGGACGCCACGTTCAATGGCTGAACATCGGCCGGGAATTGGCCATGCCTGCCATCGACTTCCGCAAGGCAGACACCTTGCGCTTCTTCTTACAGTGCATATATCAAAGCGGCCCGGCTGGCGAAAACTTTTTGCGGCAGTCCCACGAGATACTGGATGAACCTGGCGTCGCGGAGATGCTGATTAATCGCCTCCATGAAGCTTTGCAGCGAGTTCGTCAGAATTGGGGCCTTGTCCATGCTTTAGCCGTGTTTGTCGCAATCGCTGGGCGTATTGCAACACTGGTCAACACTGCAAAACCTGGCGCTTTGGCTTTCTTGGCCGAGGCTCGAGAAGTGGCAGCAGTATGGACGCGAACGCTACTGGAAAAGTCCCATGCTGCATCCGAACGTATCGATCGCTTAGGATTTTCTGCAAAAAGCCTCGAGAGTGCACTGGTCTGTTTGGCGACTTATGATGTTGACGACGAGGACGTCCAGACTCTGTTGGCTTCCACCAGCGAAGCTGCTTTGTTTGTTGAGATGTCAATAATTATGCAGGAATGCCGAAAGGCTTCAAGCGGAGATGGCTCTTTGATCGACATTGAACGTCTACGAATCGAGCGTCTCCTCCAGCGGTCTTACAAAATTCTTTTCAACAATCCAGAGGGAATAAATCAGGGAATCAGAAGAACGTGGGCTGGCTTCCCAAGTGGACGAATCACCTGGACGCAGCTCACGAATGGATGTAGCGAATGGGTTACTGCTCGAGCAGCTGACATACATGCCGACCTACATTACAACCTCATCACTGGTGAGCTTTTGGTCAACGGAGAACCGCTCAATGAGCCATCCAGTTCGTACCGGGAGCAACCACTGTTCAAGGCATTGTTTGGAACTCAACGAGTCGAAGTGATGCCGTCAATGGAACCTGGATTTCAATATTCCACCAAGCGACACTTCGGTGGGTTCGAAGTTCTCCTAGGAATGGATGCTAAGGGCAGCCTTGTGGTACAAGCGGTCAACGATGCCGGAGCCAAGTTTGAGGTAATCCCAAAAGCCTTCTTTGATGCCGTCTATCCTCAGCACTTCGTTGATGAGTTCATTCATTGGTGCAACTTGGGTACGGGAATGATTCATCTGGCAAGCAAAGCGACGCGCTGGCCAATCGATCTCGACCAGTCTTGGAACATGACGCGGTTGAGCGGTGGACATGAATGGGCTTTGCACCGAGGGGATGATTATATGATCCACCTGCAAGCTCCTCTCGCGTGCGCCGTCAAGGCAATTTTGTCACCTCTGGCTACGGAGAAAATCATTCATACCAGCATCTCTCGTGTGACCGGCCATACCAGCATTGAACTACCTCTTTCCAGGCTGAAGTTCTTCATCGAGCCACAGGGCATGCGGCTTTGTTCGAGGAATTACCAAAATATGCACGTTTCGAGCGACCAAAGTCTCGGAACGTTGATCGGGCTTAAGAACAAACTCATGCTCACGTCGGATCTTGGCAGCAAGATCGCTCTGGTCCCCGAAGCAAGCTTGAAATACTCTCAGACTGAAGACCACATTTCAATCATCGTCGACGTCAACGGCCCAACACGCGTTCATGCCCTGGAGGTAGACAGTGTTCTTCACCGTCTGGTCAACAAGAATGATATCGGGTGTCAACTGTATCTGGCGTATTTGCACGCTCTCACGACATCCTGTCTGCCAGATCCACTGTTACAATGTTCGGGGACAGAGCGCGCGTTAGAGATGTTGAGATCCAAGTCCATGTTGTCATACAATGAACTCACTCAAGACCACATCACCATGATCCAAAGAATTGCAGATTTGAGTCCGAAACGCCAGTACTACCCAGAACACCTTCAAGTGATGCAATGCACGACCTGGAATTCTCGACTCTTGACCATGACTCAGGCCGATGACTTTGTCACCGTTGCAGAAGATATCGTTCGGCACTTTGAGCAGCAAAAGTCGCTCCCAATGTCGCAACTTGAATTTCGAACGCCCGAAATCGGTCGCTCAAGTACTCGTGCATTGCGTTTTCGCGCGGTCAATCGTATTTCGTATCTTCGAACGGCAGGCCACGGAGCTGAAGTTTTCACTACCTCGTTCGACAAAGTGTACGAAGCGCGAGATGACGGCTGGACCGCTCAGGCGAACAACTCCTACCGAATGGCGGTCTTACTATCGCGGCCTGGGGCGTCTCCGTGTGGGCATACATTCTCGTCAGGAGACTTCTTGAATACCTTTCTAAAGATCTCACCAAACGTGGCCGGTGCAGTCAAGGGTATCAACCCAGGACTGATTCGATATAGTGCTGCATGCCTGACATCCGAGAGGTTTGCAACCTACCTGACACATTTTCCAGCGTTACAGTCATGGATGAACAAGTCCGGCAATATCACACAGCGCAAGTTCGCATTTCGGATCTGGGTAGCGTCATTGGCATTTGCCGAAGAAGCGAACCTGACAATGCTCCAAGTCCTTGTGCTTTTGTCCAAACAAGCGGCTCCAAACGAATTTCTGCAGACCCCAAAGCAAGAATTGTACTATCTGAAGGATGGCACGCAATGTACCCGTTCAGTATTGGCCAATATTTTGGACAAGCATAAAAATCCCTTTTACGCCTGTCCTGAGTCCCGCCTACCGCGTGGGCAGTCTGAGACGAAGAGCCAATATGCTGATCGTCAGCACCAAGCATGGCAAGCTGCGAGTACAAATTCCGTCCGTGCCTTCCTTGACGCAGTGGTAGCACAATGGCCATGCCGACGACCGACGATGCCCATGATTGAGGGCACATATATAGATCTCAGCAAGGCACTGGACGAGGTCGCAAAGCAATTCGAGCGATGGTTCGACAATGTGCAATTTTCAGAATATCTCCAAAGCATTGAACAACAAATTCATGGACCCGCACACCAGCCTGTCGACAAGATCGAGCTTCGAAAAGTCACTTGCTCGGATCCACCGCGTCGGCGTGGTATAGTCTCCATGGCTGATCTCCTTCTTAAAGACTCCCCAGTGCTGTCACCTCGTCCTCAAGCATTGGGCCCAAAGGATTTATGCTCTAGAAACGAGCATGTACAGCTGTTCCGTCTCCAATCCGTTCTTGATGAATTGAAAGCTCAAAACACATCTCTTTATGAACAGAATTGGATTTCTGACCTTGGAGAGAGCTTGCAAGCATTAAAGCAGCAACAAGGCAGTCGGAAATTGGACAAAGAATTGTTGTCAGAAGCAATTGACCAACACGTCAAGCAACAGCAAGACTACGTCCAAGAAATTGAACACACATTGAAAAACGCTATGACAGTCGACAATCCTCTTCACACAGCTGGTTCTCGATTCCGTTGGCCACGGATGCGGACAGTTTGGTTTCTTCAACAGCTTTCTATGCGCCCATGGGGAAATCTCCCAAAAGCCTGGAAAACAACTTTCGTGAATTATGCGATGGCGCTCTGCAATCTCCAGCGTGCGTTACGAATGAAGAGATTCTCCCACAGCATTGAAGACCTCGTGGCTGAGATTCAAAATGTCGGGCATGAAGCATGGGACCCTCTCCAGTACCCAGAGTGGCTGTTGATCGAGGTCGAAAGCGGCTTGACTATCCGGTCGGTCCAGCGCGAGATCGCCGGAGAGATGATGCTCCCTGTCTCCAAGCGAAATTCTGTCATGCAGCTGAACATGGGCGAAGGAAAATCCACGGTGATTGTCCCCATGATTGTGACTGCACTCGCCGATGGATCGCGGTTGATGCGTGTCATTGTGAACCGTCCACAATCAAAGCAGATGTTGCAGATGTTGATCTCGAAGCTTGGCGGTATCATCGACCGACAAGTTTATCAATTACCTTTTGCAAGATCATCACGACTTGATAGCACATCAGCATCGACAGTCAAATCGCTGCTTCAGCAATGTATGCAAAGCGGCGGCATCCTCTTGATGCAGCCTGAGCATATCCTGAGCTTCCAGCACATGGCGCCTGAGTACTTCATCATGCGCGACCCGACGCTCGGTCAGACCTTGCTCGACATTCAAGATTTTTTCGACGAGAATGCACGCGATGTCATCGATGAGAGCGATGAAAATTTCAGCGTCAAGTTGGAACTCATCTACACTATGGGCCAGCAGCAAAACATTGAGGCTAGCCCGGACAGATGGCGACTTCCTCAATATATTTTTGGTGTCCTACGCGGGGTCCTGCCAACGATTGCTCTAAACCGGCCGCACGATTTCGATGTCACTGCTGGAGAACCTGGAGGCTTTCCTCGACTTAGACTGCTGACGGCTCAGGGAACTAGCATCCTCACTGAGTGTGTTGCGAAGCATATCAGCAACCATGGTGTTCCAGGCCTACAGCTCTCCAAGCAGCCCGAGAGCATACGCTATGCATTCAAGCGCTACATATGCGAGCCAGTTCTCGAAGCAGAAGACGTGGCAGCCATTGAGTCGAGTTCCCTCTGGACGGAAAACACCCGATCTTTGATCCTGATCTTACGAGGCCTATTTGCCAAAGGACTCCTCGCGTTTGTTTTCGGGCAGAAGCGATGGCGTGTCAATTATGGCCTGGCAGATCGGAAGCCTCCAACACAGCTGGCCGTGCCGTATCGCGCAAAGGATTCTCCAGCGTTGCGCTCGGAATTTAGTCATCCCGACGTGGTTATCGCCCTGACTTGCCTCTGCTATTACTACAAAGGGCTTTCAGACGTCGATCTGTTCACTGCAATCGCTCATCTCTTGGACTCGGATCAGGCTGATATCAACTATCAACTTTGGGTAGCCGACGCACCAAATATTGATCCCGCCTTCAGAGTGCTGCAAGGTGTCAATCTGCAGGACCGTCCACAGTGCTCTAACAAGCTCTTCCCAAAGATTCGGTTCTCGAAGGCCGCTATCGACTATTTCCTATCACAGATCGTGTTTCCTAAGGAGATACGGGAATTTCCCAAGAAGCTTTCGGCCTCTGGGTGGGACATTGGAAAGACGAAGAGCCAAATTACGACCGGATTTTCGGGTACCAACGACTCCCGTCCAACACTACCGCTTGATGTCAAATTCCTCGATCTCGCAAAGCAAAAGCATACCAATGCTTTGGTCCTCGAGCACATCCTACAGCCAGAGAACTCGGTTTACGCGTTGAGGCCACGCCCTGATCTCACCGATGCCGAAAACATCCTACAACAAGTGCTCGCGTTGCAGCCTCCGGTCCAGGTGATCCTTGACGCTGGCGCACAAGTCCTTGAGGACAATTTGGCTTTCGCGAAGTCTTGGCTGGAGTATGACCAAAGCGGCAAGGATGCCGTTGTTTTCGTGGACCAAGCCGACAATGTCAGCGTCGTAGATAAGAAAGGCAGAGTGGACTTGCTGCACGCATCGCCATTCATCTCTGCACTGTCCTCATGCCTCGTATTCCTCGATCAATCTCATACCCGTGGCATCGATTTGAAACTGCCACGAGACTACCGGGCAGCGGTCACACTCGGACCCAGACTGATCAAAGATAATCTGGTTCAAGCATGCATGCGAATGCGCAAGCTCGGCCACGGTCAAAGCGTGGTTTTCTGCGTACCGCCGGACGTCCTAAACAAGATACAGGAGAAGTCATCGCATCGGCAGAAAGTCACCACCGCTGAAGTGATCGAATGGTCAATTCAAGAGACATTTATTGACAACCGGCGGAGTATGCCTTTGTGGAAGGTCCAAGGTGAGCGATACATTCGCCAACGCGCTATCTGGACTGCCGGCCTGCAAGGAGTGAATGCCGATCAACTACTTGAGAAGGAATGTCAGGAGATTGAACTCCGCTATCGGCCAAACTTCGTCGACTTGGACGCTATTCGGGCTTCCGAAACTATCGCGGATGATCCGGATAGTGTGAAGATCGCTAAGCGCTGTCGTGAGTTCGGTAACATCAATCTCGATCTCTCTGCTCTCCAAGAAGAGCAAGAGCGGGAGCTTGCGCCCGAGATTGAGCAAGAGTCTGAGAAGCAGAGGGCGCCTCGTATGAAGGCAGCGACCCAAGAACTCCATCCGGATGTCGTCGCTTTTGCAAAGACCGGCAAGATATTATCGACGAACGCATATATGGACGCATTTATTTCACTTGCCAACACTAGCGCAGCACAGCAGTTTCCACTGGCGCAGCTCGGAACAAAAGCTCTCAAAGTGACTCGAGATTTCGTACAGACGGTGGAGGTCCCTAGGGGAGGAAGATTCATTTCCGACCGTTTCCTCCGCTCAGTCCACTGGCTCCTAATTGCGACGAACGGCACCGAGGTGTCCTCAATCATGGTCATTAGTCCCTTCGAAGCGAACGAGCTACGTCCTAAGATGAAAGGCTATGCGACATCTCTGCAAGTTTACGCTCCACGCTTAAATCAAGGCTACCGTCCTATGGATGCGCTTGACTTTCATCCTGTGCCAGACGCTACGCCACCCACGATTCCACTGCGCCTCGCTGCAACATTGAACTCCTTTGCCGGACAGCTGTACTTCAGCACATACGAGCACTACAAAGCTTTCGGCGAGGTTTTCGGCCTATCGACCAAGCTCGTCACTGAGGCGATGGAACGAGCGGGCTATCGAGTCGATGCGCATGGGTTCATCTTGTCCGACGAAGAAGGCTGTCGAGGCGGAGCATCAGCTTTGACGGAGAGCCCAGTACGCTTCTTGCGAGATTTCACGTTGATTCGGAATGGTGGAAGAGCTTTTACTAGAACGCATTTGGGCGATGTTTTGGATGGACGTACATTCTTTCCTCAGGACTTTGAATAATTGTGGCTGAGGGGAATTTGGGTACTGTAGTAGCATAGCCTTCTGACATACATCAAGAGATTGAATTTACAAGCATCCCAGCATGTTATTAGTCTTCGAAGTAAAAAGCATCAGGTTAGTCGTCGGAGCGCCCCTTCCGAGATGGAAAAGCTTCATATGCATCAGCTCGCCTTCTTGCTTTTTGTGCCTCCGACGATTCATACACCTGCATGACGTGAATTGCGGTGGCTTTGGCCAACTCGCAATGTCGAACATTAATAACTTCCGGCAAGAAGTTCAAGATGAGCGGCAGCTTCTGGTACTCATTCCGCCGGAGCGCGTGAAACTAGAGCTCTCACGGCACGGGCCTCTTTTGGCCTCTTTCCTAAGAAATGAAAAGCCAGGGCCCTCTCTCGTTCTCGCATTCGCCGTCGGCCAATGGCTCTCGCTCATAAATTTATTGTCCATCACGAGCTGAATACACGCCGAGGAGGCGCCGTGTGTCCCTGAGGCGTAGCTACGGTTCTCTCACATGAACGACGTCGTATCCTTCGTCAATTTCATATGCCAAATTGTCCTCAACCGTAAACGCGCATTGGTTCGGCAGTCAACTTTAGACGAAGACCCTGATCAGACCGCCGGCGGAGAACATCTGGGCATTTGCACTCCCTGCTGCTCATCTTTCTTAGCTCGTGAACAGTCTAGGCGCCAGGATAGATTGACGTAGCGTGTACGTTGTGAAGACATTATAATCCGATCTACTCTTGCATTCCTTCAACTACATCCCGTAGAATTACTGCTATTCTTCACATCGACCTTCTCCAAGACTCCACATCCGAGGTACTCTAACAACCACAACAATGGCAAGCTTCTTCCAGCAACTCTTCGCCGGCGAGGTCAACCTCTCCATCGCCTCGCTGCCCTTGACTCTCCTCCTCGCCGCCATCCCGCACTGGTACACCATCGGTCTGGCCGAGAAGAACAAGGTCCAGGGCGGCTGGACCAACGAGAACCCGCGTGCCTTCGTCGCGCGATTGAACGCGCGCGCTGCCTCTGGCACCAAGCTTACTGCGCTCGAGGAGAAGATCCTGCGTGGCCAGTCGGCGCAGCAGAACGGATTCGAGTGGTGGGCCCTTTGGGCCGTCGCGACCGTAGGTTCACTTTGTTTCTCCTGTGGTAGCCTCGAGTGATCGCACGGACTAACAGGTCGATCCTTCACAGGTCTTCGGCTACCTCGCCAAGGTCCCAGTCGCGGACATGAACCGCTACACCATCATTCACGTCGGCACGCGTATCGTCTACTACTACCTCTACCTGAACACCTCAACCCGCGCGTCAAGCTTGTTGCGCACAGCCGCTTTCCAAGTTAGCTGGTACCCGGCTGTGGCTGTCATCTTCACTGCTTCCAAGGTGTTGAAGTACTAGATGATCGTTCGATCCGCGATTGATTTGTTTGTTTCTGATTCGACTTGAATCATTCGAGGTCGATAGTGCAATGCATTCAATTATCCAGCCATGCTCTCATCACAGAAATAACCTTGGAACCCTCCGTTTCTGATTCTCTGAGTGAATGCTGGCCAGCTTCGGGATTTAACTAATTATGACATGGAAATTCGAGAATGATTTTTCCACCAGACGTGGGGAAGGCTCACGACGTATCTTTCACGTGTATAGAAACGGAATCGACTTGTCTTCGAGTTGACACGCCTCCAATACTTTGAATCCGCACACAAGTCATGGTCAGAAACAATATCTTGAAGAGTAATTACATAATCATGTTGTTATGTATCAATGAGTATGCCCTGCTTTAAAAATGACGTGCCTGACACGTGCAAGCCCTTTGCCCTTGACATTGATGGCGAGGGACTGCTGCGGGGCCCATGAAGTTCACTTGAGTTCGAACAAGTTTTTGGTGGGGCAACGATGATCATCATTCAGAGACGAGGCTCATTGTTATGATTTTGCGATCTGCTGCTGTCAACCTGTAGCTATTTTATATTCCAGCCATAGCAGCGCTGCTGTCGCATGAATCAAGTTTTGAAACCATTCCGATCTTTTGTACTATCAACGAGAAGACTTTCATATCAAAGCTCTAGAAACATACACATTGGTTTTCGCACCATGGCCAACATCGCCGACCACTTCGACGGTATGTTGAACCTCACAACGGCTCGACACCAGGACCCAGAAGTACTCGCCGGGAAACGTTTCACTGTGAACTACGTTGCGCGAGTCAATCATGAAGTTTGCCCATTGACATTGTCGTCACAGGACCCGTCACGATCGCCGTCATTGGCGGCACCGGTCTCCAATCCCTCCCCGGCTTCACACATGTCGCGACCGTGAAGCCGAGCACACCCTGGGGTGCTCCTTCTGCACCAATCTCCATCCTCCAACATCCATCGCCTTCCACCGGTAAACCCATCTCGATCGCTTTCCTCTCCCGACACGGCCTCCACCACGAGATCGCGCCCCACGAGGTCCCCGTCCGCGCCAACATCGCCGCGCTCCGCTCCATCGGCGTCCGTACTATCATCGCCTTCTCCGCCGTCGGCAGTCTCCAAGAGGAGGTCAAGCCGCGAGATTTCGTTGTGCCGGACCAGATCATCGACCGAACCAAGGGTATCCGACCTTTCACCTTCTTCGAGGGCGGGATGGTCGGCCACGTGGGATTCGCGGACCCCTTCGACAGCGGTGTCGGCGCAGTGGTGCGCAAATGCGGACAGAGTCTCGAGGGCCAGGGCGTAGTGCTGCACGACAAGGGCACGGTCATCTGCATGGAGGGCCCGCAGTTCAGCACGCGCGCAGAGAGCAACATGTACCGCAGCTGGGGCGGCACCGTGATCAACATGTCGGCCCTCCCGGAGGCAAAGCTGGCGCGCGAGGCGGAGATCGCGTATCAGATGATCTGCATGAGCACGGATTATGACTGCTGGCACTCTTCTGGCGAGGACGTCACGGTGGAGATGGTCATGGGGAACATGAAGGCCAATGCGGAGAATGCGCGTCGATTCGTGGGCGCGGTGCTGGATGAGCTGAGCAAAGAGGAACACGCGGACCTTGTCGCGGCGAAGCACCTCGTCAATCAGACCAAGTTCGCGGGGAGCATGACGGCGGCTCCGGGTCGGAGTGCGGCGGCGTTGGAGAAGCTGAACTGGCTTTTCCCTGGATATTTCCAGTAGAGAAGAAGGATAAAAAAAATCGTAAAGGAAGCTAGGACTTCAACAGCTCCGTAGAAACAATAGAAAAGTATTCATATCCGCGGTCCATGGTTGCATAACGGTGTCGCCTTAAAAGCCGTCTGTCCTCTCTCTCTTTCTCCTTTCCCGAAAGGTTCCTGGCGCCGATGGCCGCGCGCACGCCTCACTACACGCGAATCTCTCAAACGGAAGAATATTGTCCCAGCTAGTATTGGGATTCCCGCACAACCAGAACTCAATCCAGCGTGCCCAGGGGATGATGAAGCTACGACCGCACGTTGAACAATGTCTGTTGCCGTATTCAACACCTTCGAGAGTCAATTTCAACGCGGCCTGGATTTGTGGTGGGGAGTCATCACGCAGACTAGCGATTTGAGCGGGGAACATATGTTTCTGAACGGACTGTAGAGAGAGCTCAAGCAGGGAAGGAGCACCCGGACCGGTGACTCGAACAGGTTCCGTCGAGGATAAGGAATCGTGGTCGTGGTCTCCGAAGGACATAAGACTGCCCTCATCTTTCGATGATGAAGGTGATCTGGCCAGGCGGTGTTCGGTCTCTGTAGCCGCAAAGCCTTTTTGCAACTTTCGTACTGTCGTGGACGCCACGAAGATTAGGGGTGAGGCGCTCTCGTATTCAATTCGTCGTTTATGCTCACTATGCATTGCTTGAGCTAGCGCTATTCGCAATTGCATCTCGGTCTCAAGGTCCCGAACACCTGCTGCCCGACATTCCGAACGTATCGCGTGGTAGGTATTCTCTGCTAAAGTGTCGACTGTTGACTTGAGCCTTAATATTTTGAGTCGCATGGCTGCGTCGGGATCTGTTTGTGACGACATGGAAATGCGAGACGTGCTCCGCAAGGCATCAATATCGGCTTCTGCCAGCTTTGGTCGAACCAAGGGGTTCGGTCGCACGACAATCTTTTGATCCTTTTCATAAAGGCGTAATAACTCCCACGGCAAGTATTCGAGAGCATTACTGGAGATGTTGAATTCTTGCAACTTCTGCAATCGGGATATGGTCGGTGGTATTGATGTGATTAGATTACTTCTTAAGCTCAACACTGTGAGATTCTGCAGCTCGAAAAGATCGCCAGGCAATCCGGTGATGGAGTTGCCTGCGAGGAACATCTTGATGGAGGGTGTCAGGGCGCGAAATTCATGTTCTGAGGGAGGCTCTGCTCCAGCGATGTGTGCTTGTCGAATCAAGTGATGTAAAGGTTTGATCATAGCGGGCGTTATACCGGCCAAGCCGAACCCTGCCAGGTCGATTCTTTCGTTTCCATTGTCGACACAATCTTCAATCATGCGAATCGCCCGTTGCTCAGGTCCATCTTTGACAATGGGTGTATTTTGTGCCGATTGCGTTGGCCGTACCGTTCGCGGAGTCGAAGGTAGATCACAGCTCCCATCGAAAATACCCTCATCTGCGCTGCTGTCCTCCATGCTTGCATCGCTACCCATGAAAACGCCGCTGTCCTTGCCTATGACTGGCTCTTTTTCCAGACGTGACCTCATGCCTAACTTCCACCACGGCATTTTCAGCATGCGCTTCTGTTTCGGGCCTTCATATTGCGACCGGTCCTCTGCGCCGAGATTGTCGTCTGAAAATAATGGGTCACTTGACGGGTCGTCAAGCACCGGCCAAGGACGTTTCCGGCTGGGGACTGTCACTTCGTATGTTGGGAAGATTGGCGGCGAGGACGGTATATCGTCATCTTGGTCATCCGCGTTTGGAAACAGCGGCGGCGAGGAAGGTAGAAATATGGAAGAAGTCATACTTTTGAATGAATGATCTGTGCTGTGTTGGTGTGATCGGATCGCGGATCCGTACAGCGACGGCTTCACTGTGGAGGAGGAATCACGGTGCCCTGCATACGCTCGATTTGCGAAATGGGTAATGGTGTCGCGTGTCAGGATTGTGTTGACAGGATCCCAGGGAACACGCGATCTCCCATTTGAGTTAAGAATAGTGCAAGTGCCAATGGAAGGTGTCCCAGATCTGAGCGCGAGTTCAGGGCGAGTGGGAACTTTAATGCCGACGCGTGTGGGGAACGCGCCGAATCAACACACATGACGACATTTCGTTTCGGCTGTGCGATTTGTTTGCCCCGCCAAAGTTTCGCTTCTGCGATGGGCCGAAATACGCTGGTGTGATGCGAATTGGATTGGATTCTGCCCCAGAGTTTCATCAGAACAGTACAGAAATTAAGCATATACTACGTACAAGACCGAGTCGGGAAACTTCCGTGGGGAATATGTTGATCCATCATGACAGTGGCAGCAAATGACAGCCGAGAAGTCCACGGCCTCCCCAATCCCGCTGCGGCGTGAGGTGAAGTTCGATCAGTGAGGGTGATGCCTGATCTGTTTCTTGACGAAGCACCTTGACGAGGATAGGACGCTACAGTACCGTCAGTCGCTGAGCGCCATGGCAGAGCGGAGAGTGCATAACAAAACAACTTACGTTCTCGTTCTCTTGCACGACTTGCGCAACTTTCCCAAGCCGTTCATGATTCGTGAAATTCACCGAACCGAACACGACCAGCCGATCTTCGGGTCGGAGGCCTGCCTGCTCGGCTGGCCCTCCTGGAATGACTGTATTGATCCTCGCGAATGGCGGTTGATGCGCGATAGGAGCTGGAGCAGATACTGACGGGGCACCAGCATCCTCGTTGATAGTACGAGGAGCATCGCTTTCCGCCTCAACATCGAGAGCTTTGCCTGATGCGAATTGCTTGTGTACCGCTTCTTCCAGCTGTTTCATGGCCGCCTTGTGATCGTTCTTGAGTTGAATAATACGTGCTCGCGTCATGCGGATCTGAGCAACATCGATGTCTGCTCGAGGGAATCCATCAAATGTTAACAGCGATGTGTTCATGTTGACGTTGTGCTGCGTTTGGTCAGTCTCAGTCCTTTTTTTAATGGCATGAAATCAGCAATACCGAATCCAAAACGGAGCCGAGAGCAGATAATTCTGCTTCCAGATTTTCCTTTCTTTTAATGAGTTCCTGGAAGCTTTGTGTAGAATCTGTGCCAGTTTCGTTGTTGGCTGACGTAGACGATCCCACTGTTGGTAAATGTAGATTGTCCATTTTGAAACCCATTGAAGTGTATTTTGTGAGAGCCAACTTCTTGTTGGAGAAGGCGGCCAGATCACGGCCACTAGCTTGTCGTATGACTTGGTGATGATATATGTGCTCGACTTGCAGATTAGTGGATTGAGGCTTTTCAGGCGTTATGCAATCATGCAATCATGTCCACCTGAGGTGTATTTGGGTTCAATGAGCCCCAGGTTCTTCACCATGAAATGCCTGGGTGAGGCTTCGTTCACATGTTCAAATACAGCGGGGCGGAGCCGCTCCTTCACGATCATCAGCCAATCAATTTTGCCCCGCTGCTGCAGTCGAGACTCCGGATGGTCAAAATAATCGTTCCTCGACCCTTCTTTGTCCTTCACAGGGCAAATATACTTACAACGGCGTCCATGACAACCAGTTCATCATAACATCTGGTGCTCGCGACCAAAATTGCATTTTGTTGTCGATGATCTGACAAAAATAAATAAGCCGAGTCTCTGCTTCTCTGGCTGTTTTCTTCCTCCGGCATGAGCGGCAGACCAGGAGCTCCTAGTGCCTGGGACGACGATTGGACGGCCAAAGCCAGCGTGTGTAACCAAGAACATTCGATAATCGCAAATGATGACTGACGTGATCTGCTTAGTCGCCAGCGACTCAAGCACCACAGCAACCAGCCCCGAAAATTTCCAAGGCTGAGCGGCGCGCACAGCATATCGAACAGCAGCGACAACTCTGGGATTCTGCCGACAACCCTGGTCGAAATTTATGGCTGGAAGCTCAGGGTGCCGTGCCAAACAGACAAGAGATTAAGCCCGCAGTCACATTACTCAGTCGAAAACCCCCTCAGATCGCAAAGCGCACAGTCGCAGGTGGGATTGGTGGTTTGTCATTAGAGGATGACGAGGATAGCGAGGAAGAACGGTTGAAGAAGCAGGCCCTGGAGAGAGAAGAAAGACAACGCCGTGCTAAGATTGAGCATGAAGAGAAGCAGAAACGCTATGCGGAAGCCCGAGAGCGTATCATGGGTTCCTCACAGGCTTCTCTAGCCTCGAGCTCTCGTGAAAGCTCGCAGGGTAGGGACCAGCGGAAACAGAGAGCGAGGCCGAATAGCAATTACAACAATGCCAGTAATAGCTACAATGGTAATCAGCGTCGCAGTCAACCCCAGACACCCGGCGATCAATCTCCGGCCATACAGACCATGGAAGGACATCTCTTCGATCCGGAAGAGACGAGTCGCAGGCCAACACCCAAGCGAGAGTCGTCGACGCCCATCATCGCCCAGGACAAACCTATCAGACAACCGCGCGGGCCTGAAATTTCTGGACGTGGAGGATTTGGCTTTGCTGGTCGAGGCGGCAATTTCAATGCATAGAACTTTGTGCCAATTCCGAAGGGCACGCCGTCATTCGATACCAGGATATCACACTCACTTCATAAAATCAGTTTGCACATGTGATCGGGATTTTGAATCGGTGCAGCAGCAGGGACCACTGATTGCTGCTGGACCATACGGTATCTGGTCATCATACGAGATTGACTACACAGAGCACTTCGTTGTGTGTTGCGACATCGCTCTCAGGGCTATGGTTGACAAATGCGGGCTCGTCGACTTGCAGGTGTTCGGATCGGTTTGCAGCACAACAAGTTCATTACGTGACATGTAAACCCATGGGAACAATCTCAAAACAGCAGCAAAGCCGATATCGATATCCGAACCGGATGTGGGCACGTCGTCGGAGGATCACCTAAAACGGAAAGCGAAGTATGCTGCTGGGTGGCTGGGCAGCGCAGAGCACTTCACACATAAAGTGGATTACGGCACCCATTCGTTGTGCCGGAAGAATGTGCAGCATCAGATCGGTTATTCGTCTAGCGCATGGCCAGAGCTGGAACGGAGTTGTGCTGTAAGATTGGCTCGACACGATCTAGTTTCTCTCACACAAGTTCCCCGGACGAGGCAAACCAGCGAGCTTTCATTTGAAGCATTTAGGATACAGCTTCGCATAAAAGCATTCATTTCTGACGTAAGGCCTTCATCACTTTTCGCCTCTGTGCCATCATGTGCGTGAAGAGAATGTACGATCCTGTGTTGAACGAAGTCAGCAATGAATTCCAGCATCTCGAATCGAACACGGAATGGAAGTCTCACCTGGAACGTAGACCGCCAAAATCGCCAGATACGCGTACTTGATCAGCGGGTTCGTCTTCTCCGCTGGCTCCGTCGCCTGCCACACAAGCCAGCACTCGCTGCTAATGCCAAGCGGGTACAGCACGAAGAACGTGTTGTACCGCAACCAGGTCATCCAGCTCGGTACCTTTCCAAAGGATAAGTTAATGGCGAAGTAGCTGTATCGGATAACCTCGGTGACACTCCAGGCTAGCAGCATGGTCGAGTATGCTGGGTTTGGTCCGGTAGCGGCAGGGAAGAGGTCGACAACACCCCATACGAGGAGGAAGCGCGAGGCGACTTGCATGACGGTGGTGAGGAGAGGTGCGCGGACGATGCCTGGAGTGAAGGTGATCATTAGTATAAGCAGTTCGGATGAGGCTCATCTCCTCCTTTTCCCTTCCTCTGTCCTTCCATTTTTCACATGCGAAAGCTCAATTTAAGCTGTATTGATGAGAATATCAACAAAACCACATACCCAGAGCCGCATGTACCACTTCCAAGCCCGCCAGTGTTTGCACCCATTTCGTATATTCTCCCGCGCCTGCATAGACCTTCTCATGACCCTGCGTCGCATTCAACTGAATGACTTGCGCCAGTACTCCAGACCATAGTGCCGCCGAGATGAAGTTGTAGAAGATCAGGTAATTGGATTTTGAGCTTTGCGAGGCTGATTTCAATGGCTTGCTGGTCTGTCGGCCTTGTGTTGAGGGCTTTTGGGCATCGCCAGGCCGGTCCATTGTGAATGATGATCAAAGATTGAGCCGTGGATATCTTGCTACCTGCCCAACGTCGGGGAGAATGCAGGCGCGTATGTCGGATAGGGAGATGGAAATATTGTGTCGGATGAGGCTACAAATAATGTCGAAAGGTCGCGCTATTCGGCTTGCGCGTGGGGACCCTGCATCGCCCTGACGACTGGGGAGCATTGTCTTGACTGGCACCGCATTCTGCCTTCGCTTGTGAAATATTATTGCTCTTCCTTATAAGAAAATTGATTAACCGATCACATTCGCAAATAGTACAACAACATTCAGTGACAAGATGTCTGGACCAGGAGTTATCCGCCTCAAGCGAAAGCGTGACCAGCAACCTCCGGATACACTTATCGTGGAACCTCAGCGGAAACGTGTACAGGGCGTGGACGGGGAGTTTCGTGCACATTATGTACGCCGTCCGGAGCCTGCCTCGGATGGCCAATCGACTTCAGCAGGAACGGTTTTCACAAATCAAGCTACATCTACAAGTGGAGGACCGATTCAGAATGAATTGCCGAAGAGAAGATTATTCAAAATCCGCCCCTTGATAAGTTCAGATCGTGGTTCACGAGCAGGAAGAACCGGCGGAAATGCAGTGGCCACCATTGTCGAAACCAGAGTCAGCTAAACATTTCATATGACCGTAGATGCTTTTGTACTGATATATGAGACACAGACACCTCAGAAGCAAAGGCCAGCAGGGCCACTAATGCCTGCCAATGAAACTCTCTCACCCGCGCCTTCTCCTTTGAAGAGACCCGGACGAGGTGCCATCACGCCACGACCTCAGCCGGAAAACAACGGCAATTCTACAAGCACTGTTAAAGACGAATCTCAGCTACAAGCCATCGCGGACGCTCTCTCGCAATTTGCCGACGACGAACTCGAGAAGAGCGCCAAGCCGAAACTACTTGCAACTCCCAAGCTGTCCGGCCTCCGAAGTCGCGAAATTCACGCGCAAAGATCCGCCAGTGCAAACATATTCCCCAGTCAAGGGGATGCTGGTGACATAGACATGGTTGATGATGACCACGACTACGTCTACGACACATACATTCTCTCCTCTAAGCCGGACGCCGAGTCGACGCCATTCTCTGAAAGCCTCGAAGGCCGGCCCGCGAATGTCGGCTACATCGTCATCACGGACGAAGATCAAGCCGTATGGGATACCTTCCTAGCGGACGAGCATGACAGCGACAAAGAGGTCAACGAAGACGACGAAGACGAGAATGCGGAGGATTGGTACGGGGCGGACTATCCAGAGGATGAAGTTGCGTCGGATGATGAATTCGGCAGGAATGCGTATGGGTATCGAAGAGGAAATGATTCGGACGACGAACAGTGGGACAAGAGGGATGGCTCGTGGAGTGATAGTGAGGTCGAAGGTGTTGATGAAAATGGGATGAAGCTCGATCCATTAAACATGACGACAGAGCAATTTATCAAAAGCATGAGGGAGGATGGAAAGAATTGAATAGGCGCTCGAGATGTTAATCGGATCTCAAATTCTCCAGGGCGAGGAACCGAGCGCGCGAGCATTGTCGAATTCTCATGACGGCAGAGCCGTGGGAACTTTACCATCTATCCGATCATCTGTCTCTTCTTTAGCCTTCAATTCAACACCGCCATCTTCTCGATCATCTGACGCGTCCAAATTTTCGTGATCATCACCGTCAGGCTCTTCTTGATCTTGGTCTTGATCATCCTCGTCATCATTATCGTCCTCGTCCTGGTCGCCATTCTCATCGTCCCTGTTTTCTTCACTTCCCTTCAGCTTTCCTCCTTTCCTTTTCGGAATCACTAAATCAAATGCAACGCCCCAATCCCGACACTCCAGCCACTTGAGCATGATCTCGTTGACATGATTCGTCGCGAGAACCTTCCGACTTGTCATTTCCATGAATTCTCCGATCGGCAGTCTCGCCGTCCGCATTCCTCGCTCCGTCGCCCGACGATGGCAAATGCCCTTTTCGCGATTCTTATCAACCAGTCCGCCGATGATATACGTGCTGTAAGGTTTCAACTCGGTGAGATCCTCGTCTGCCTCGGAGGAAAGGTAAACGATCTCGCCAGCATCTTGCAGCGCCTGGAGATTCTTTCCACGCGTTTCAACATATGCCGACCTTTCGACATCCAAATCGGCAAATGCCCCCCGGAGAACTCCGCCTTCTCCGTTTCCCTCGCGCATCCAATCTGTTGCCTGGTTCGCGACAGCCACGAAATCCTCATCGAACGTCCGGACACCCTTCCACGCTTTGTAATGCGTGAGCACCGTCTCGAACCGCTCTCTTAAGTGCCCACCGAAAGATGCGATGGCCAAATGTGCGCGGAAGCGTGATTTACCATTGTCCGAGTAGCAGCGGGTAAGTTGGGAAGCGAGCGAGATGCGTTCCCGCTCGTTCATGAGGGCGTCGAAGTCGCAGTCGAGGATGAATGTAATGGGAAGCTGAACGGCTTTGGGTTTGAAATTACTTCGGCTTTTTCGCTGCGCTGAGGTACTTCCATCGTCGGCGTCGTCGTGTTGCTCTTGCTGTTTGGCGACTTTCTTGCGTTCGCGTCGGGCTATGCGCTTTTCTTTCTGCAGGGCCTTCCACTGAGGTCGTTTGGCTTCCCATTCGGCCTTTTTCCGCAGTTTCTTCAATTGTGATTTTGACATCGGTGTGCCGTCTTCATTTTTGGTATCCGGCAGGGCTTGGGCCGTGGTACTTGTCGCTGGTTCAGAAGTTCCGCCATTGCGATCGAATTGATTATCTTGGACCTTCTGTAATTTGGTTGGTCGTTGGTCGAGATCCTGTTCCGAGTCGTCATTCTTGCTTTGCGACATTTTGCTCTTGAAGTTTGGGTTTATTTTCACGGAGAGGTTGACATGGGGTTTTGGGTGATTTTCAACCGATCAATGACTCCCGCAGTCATATTGCATTGGCTTTTTGCCCACCAGCGTGCGTCATGGCTCGGTCCGACAGAACGCGTCTTCCCTGAGAAATTTACAAAGCGAGACCGCGTCACACTCCACGCATTCACAATGAGCGATGAGAAACGCTTCAGCTGAGGGACGAAAAGTACAGCAGTCACGAAGAAATCTACCTCCCACAAAACAGTCAAAATGAACAATCCTCAATCAAGATCACAAGCCAATCGACCATCAAAGCAAGGCCATCAAAAGCTCCCACCTCTCCCCCAAAGTTCGTCCACCTGCAACCAAATCTTCAATATTTGATTCGATTTCTCATACTGACCTTGGCCCATGTGCAGATGCGAAAGTCACCAAGCGTCCCCTCCACCACCCTCCCATAGTCTCACCCTACACCTCCGCCTCCCCGAGCACACCGAAAATAATCTACATTGCCCCTCAAACGCCCTTCCTGTCGGCGGCGAAACGCTGCGAGAAACTCCTCCGGCTGAGCGAAAAGCGCGCGGTCCAATCCGCCTCTTCGACATCAGCCTCTTCTGGCTCGCGACGCAGCAGACCGGGTCAATCGCAACATGCGAAACGGAAACGTGACGATGATGACGGCGGAGGATGCGGAGACAATATCGATGCGCTCGCGGAGACAGTCGAGGAGAATAAGGTAAAGAGGAGGCGCTTAGGGCAGCCTGCGGGAGAGGAGGTGGTTTTGATGGGGAGTGGAAGGGCGATCGAGAAGACATTAGAACTTGGCGTGTGGTTTTTGAGGAGAGGGGAGGAATTTATGGTGAGGATGGAGACGGGGACGACGAGGTCGATTGATGATGTACGAGTGGAGAAGGTGGAGGCTACAGAAGACGACGGTGGTGGTGGTGGAGGGGGAGAGGACGGCGGAGGGGGAGATGGTATGGATATAGATGTTGAGACCAGCGTTAGGACGGCTGCGGGAGGAAGTGATACTGGTCAGTCGACGACGGTGAGCGAGGAGTTCTCGAGGATACGGCAGCTGAGCGTACTGCGAGTGTTCGTAAGTTTACGGTGAAACAATCAATGTTGCTAAATGATATGTTAGACGATACTCGTACTGCTACTGAGTGCGATTTGCCTCCCAATACGCGCGGTATATACAAACAAAAGGGCGGTCAAACGGGATAGCCAAAAGATGTTACGACCTGAAACATCCACTCAGGACTTCATTGCTTATTGCAACAACCCAATTCCTTTTAGGTCATGACATATTTTGGTCCCTCGCCACCCTGAGGTGTCTGCCATGTAATGTCCTGACCAGGAACCTTGATGTCGCAAGTCTTGCAGTGCACACAATTCTGCGAGTTGATCTGGAAGCGTACGCCCAAAGGCTTGCTCTCATCCTCAACATACTCGTAGACACCCGCGGGACAGAAGCGGTTCTCAACACCTTGGTACTTGGGATAGTGCTCTTCAGCGTGCTTGTCCCAATCAGCGACTTGAAGATGGCAGGGTTGATCCTCCTCATGGTTGGTACCGGTTCGCGAAACGGAGGTCAAGATATCGAAGGAGATTTTGCCGTCGGGCTTGGGGTATTCGATTTTGGGGTATGCGGAAGCAGGCTTTGTGGCGCCGGAGTCGCCCTTCTTGCCGTGCGAGAGGGTCCAGGGCATCTTGCCCTTGAAGAGGAAGGCCTCCAGACCGGAGTAGATGATACCGCCGTAGAGACCAAGAGGAGAGTGGAAAGAGGGTCGCATGTTGCGGACTTCTTTCAGTTCAGTCCAGATGCTGCTCTTACGGAGAGAATCTTCATAGTCGTAAAGGAACACGGCGCCTTCTTCGTCGGAGCTCTTGCTGACGGCTGAGAATGCGGCCTCGGCGGCCAGCATACCACTGCGCATGGCGGTGTGGGTTCCCTTGATCTTTGGGACGTTCAAGAATCCGGCAGTGTCACCGATGAGCGCACCTCCAGGGAACGCACACTTGGGAATACTCTGGAATCCACCCTCGTTCAGCGTGCGTGCACCGTAGGAGATGCACTTGCCACCCTGCAAGTACTTGCTGTAAAATGGATGGTGCTTCATCTTTTGAAATTCGCCGTACGGCGCCATCCACGGGTTGGGGTAGTCCAGGCCAACGACAAGACCGATGGAAACCATGTTTTCGCCGAAATGGTACATCCATCCTCCGCCGTAGGTGTCAGATTTGAGCGGAAAACCCATACTGTGGGCGACAAGACCCTTTTCGAATTTGGCCGGGTCGATTTCCCAAACCTCCTTGATGCCCAGGCCGTAGGTCTGAACCTCGGAATCTTTGCGGAGATCGAATTTCTTGATGACCTTCTTTGTGAGACTACCGTGGCAGCCTTCAGCAAGAAGAGTGCATCGTGCATGGAACTCCATACCACGTTCGAAGCTGTCCTTTGGCTTTCCATCCCGGCCAATTCCCAAGTCGTTGGTGGCGACACCCTTGACCGCGCCGTCGCTGGTGTACAATACTTCCGAGGCGGCAAATCCTGCGTAAATTTCAACTCCAATCTCTTCTGCTCGCTCGGCAAGCCATTTCGTAAGCTCGTTCAAGCTGATGATGTAGTTTCCGTGGTTGTTCATCTGAGGTGGCGCCGGGATCGGGATGGCGCTCTTTTCGGTCAAGAATCGCATCTTGTCGACAGTCGCAGCGGTGATGTTGGCGAAGCGGTTAGGATTATCCTCGGACCTCCAGTCAGGCAGTAGCTCATCAAGTGCTGAAGGCTCGAGAACATTGCCTGACACGATGTGATCTCCAATTTCTCCCGCCTTCTCCAAAAGCAATACCCTGAAGTCTTCATTGCCCGCCTCGTTCGCCAATTGCTTTAGTCGAATGGCGGCACATAGTCCAGCTGGTCCGCCGCCCACGATGCACACATCGACTTGGTCGGATTCTCGCTCGATTTCGAAAGGGTTGAAGTCTTCCTCCGAGGCAGGTGTCGCTTGTCGCTTTCTCGATGTGCCTGAGATTGCTCGTCGCTGGCCAGCAGTGATCGATGCAGGCCTGTAGGCTCGGACTGAGTTTCGTGACGCGACATTGACCCTTGAGAGCACGCGAGTGGCGTGCAGTGACGGGACGTCGAGATGTGATCGGGAGAAAGTGTTGGCGGAGGTTGCAAGCCGCCTCCGGGCAGCAGCGGCGACCAAGCTGGGGACGGCCATGATGATGATTGAATACGGAGGTCGTGTTGGTGATCCAATGCCCAAGTGGAGGGAACTGAAAGAGATTGTGGGTGCGGGATCAGCAGCACATGTGAAGATCTGCCTCTGCTGGATTCGGCTGGGTCTTTTCTTACTAGTCTGTACCTCTCTCTGCACATGCACACAAAATGGCGTCCTCGGCTACTGCCCGCTGATCTCATTCCCAGCGAAGTCATTACTCCCGCACTTTTCGCATCGCTGTGATTGGATAATTCCTGGCTCAATGACGGCACAATGCATCTACCCCTAACAGAACATGCATATTCAACGTCAAGGCATTGGAAACGTTCCCAAATGAACATTGTCAATCTGCGAAATTATTTCCATCAAACTGCGCAATGCTGAGCCTTTGCATTGTGTCGGCGGAACGAGGCGTTTGCTCTTCGGTTTCTGCGACAATACGATATCATTTGAAGCTACTTTGATGGTCTACATACCATGCCTTTGACGATGCTGTATCTGCGAACACTGGGTAGCTCGGTAAAGCTCTGTATATTTCCTGGAGCACCATATGCCAAACACGTCAATACGTTGGCAAAACCCTCATCCGTATCACCTTGGATGGTGTCGACCAGGGGTATATATCTGCATAGCGAGCAGCTTTCGTTATGGGCGACTACTTTGACCTTTGCAGCCATTTCGAGCTCTTGACGCGGCTCATACCTGCCGCGGTCTGCGTACAATTGGGGAGTTTTATCAATCTTGAAGCGACAGTGCTTCAACTTGACAGGAAGTGAAGTGAGGTCGATCCCAGCAGAAAGTCAGGTGAAGCCAATCTTGGCAGAAGGTGAGGTGGACACAATCTCGGCAGAAGGTGAGATGAGGTTGATCTCAGCTGGAAGTATGGTGAGGTTGATCTTAACCGGAGGCGAGGTGAATTAGCTCTCTCGGCAGAAAGTGAAGTGAGATTGACCTTAAAAGTGAGTGTGGTGAGAAGTCACAGCTGGTAGTGATGGCTCCACTTACGCGTGTGTCCTCAGCTGGGCAGGCAGGTACATGTCACTTGCAGGCTCCGACGTTGGTGCTCACACAACAATATTACTGAACCTTTGAACTCTGCCAAAGCACGCTCTTCTTCGCAATTCAGTCACCTTCCAACGGCAATGTCTCGGCCCTTTTTCTCGTACCTCCACCGTCATACATTATCATGCTGACCAGGAATGCAATCCCAGTGGACACGACGCTTATCGAGTTTAAGGAGTGGCTGCTCGATCTTGTCCAACTCGGTCGGTTTGACAATTTCAATGATAAAACCCTTGCGGATCTCATCGTTCGCTCCGCCGAGCTCTATCGTAGCATTCACCACAGACTTTCGGCCCCGGTGACAGATGTCCGTCAAGCGCTCAATCTGTTGTCGGCCAGTGTTCAAGACGCCGCTCTCCTCCCGAGTCATTGCCAGGACTTCAGCTTTGTTGCATCCAGTAATCAGGATCTGAACCTCTTACGAGCTATTCGGCAAGTCGTCACCAAACTGCCAACCGCTGGCCGTCATGCTCCCCAGCTGGCTATTCCAGATTACTTCGCGCGTAATGGTCTTGCGCCAAGTCCCTTTGCTCTACTAGAGTCGAAAGGACAACAATTTCCATTCAAGCGTGGGATAGGAAATGCGGATAGCTCCGAGGATGACAACACAATTTTCAAGAGGCAAAAGAGGTCCAATGCAGAAGTCGGGCTCGTGGCTAAGCATGGTTTTCAATCATCCCTTGAGAAGCAGACGAGGCTCAATGCAGACGCTGGGATCGAGGCGGATCATGACGGTCATGCATCTTCTGTGAGACAGAAGTGTTCCCATGCGGATGCAGGACCCGAGGCTGGTCACGATTTCCCAAATGGCGCGAGACATGACAGCAAAGATCTGAATCAGTTACTCGATGCCGTGCCAGCTACTTCACACCGTCCTGTCCAGATCACCGAGACGGATCGTCCTCTGCCAACCATCACAATTCAGCACAGCGTAGCACCGCAGGACAATAGGACGCAGATCCCTGTATTATCTCTGCAAGCTGCTATACTTGACAACATCAAGGTTGACCCTCGCTCGCTGTTCATTGCATGGCCAAATCTGTACTGTGGAGGCAAGCAACCCTTTAACGCGCGTGATATCATTGATGGTCTACAGCAAGCCAGCCGTCCCTCCGGGAGTGGCTCTCGCCATCTGCCGATGCCGGTAGAGATTCAAGAAATCTTGTTCGGGTTCAAATTGACCTGGCCAACACCGTTCGAGGTCAGCCTTGTGCGTGATGTCCCGATTGTGGTCGGAGGGGTTGAAAATACATTTCAGTCTTTCAGCTCAAGCAAAGTAAATGCGACCTTGTCCCTCGCCCCGGGCCATGGAACAGAACAGGGGGCCATCGCCTTTCTTGCAGGGCTTTATGGCGCCGGACAATTCTCGCTTGGTCGTTGCCAATTTCCTGGCATGAAAATCGACAGGTATTGGGTTCGCATGCTCCAATTCCCCAAAATGAGGAGCACAGAGAGAATCAATTCCGGTCCAAACAATCATATCTCCCAATTCAGGCTCACTAGAATAGACATATGCAATGTCTGCGGAAGATCTTTGAAACGTTCGCATGTGCATTGTTACATTCTTCCGATGATGCATCGTGACTTCTGCTCGAGCTTTCTCTGAGCGAAGCAGACTTTGCCGCGATTGCTCGGTACCTGACAGAGATGATGATTGAAAGCGATATCAACATCTGTTAACACTATTAATTTATCTAACTCTGTTACAGATTGCACGTCATGATACCGATCGAACAAACTTTGCTTCCTAACTCCATTATCGATGCTTGAAGTTCCGATTTGTTGTCGTCTTTGTTTGCTAATCTGCTTATTACGGCAGCAAATAGTGAAATCCGTAATTGAATCTCACTGCTCTGGTTCAGGAAGGTTCCTCTGGTTTCACTTTATTGCACATCAATCACAGCATTCCAAGACCCCTGCCTCAATTCCTAAAGAACATTTGTGCCGCCCAGATATGCAGCAGCTTAGTCACCGGCCAGACATCTGACAACGGGGCCAACTTCGTCGCAGTCTCGAACGAACAAATTGTCAGAGAGTTCAAAGACTGGATCACTCATGTTGTTCATCGGGGCGACTTTGATCGAATCGACGGTCGTACACTGATCGAGATCGTGACACGATCGACTGAGCTGTATATCCACACATATGGCGCACCTCGGCCTGTTCATTCTGTGCTCAAGTACCGATCGGTCGAGGCTGCTAGAGAGGAGGAGTCGGCTCACGCGGAGCAAGACGAACACCAAGTGAAGATTCATAACAAGCGGAAGGCCACGGATGGAAGCAATCTTGCTAGCATCAGTAAGGTTGAACTTGTTGAGGGAGCTCATCCTCCCAAGAGGCAGAAGACCCTGAGCAAGGATAAAACCACTATCAAGAGGGAAATTGTTGAAAGCGATGCCACTGGCATCAGCGAAAGCGGCAGCGGCAGCAGCAGTGATGATATCGATGACAGCAATGTCGAATGCGGAATTGACGATGCCGACGACAGATCCGATAATGGAGATGGCAATCTAGATGATGAAGAGTCCTCCTCCGATGAAGATGGCGATTCAGTTGACGAGGACAATTCCTGCGACGAAGATGATGCATCTAACGAATCTTACCAGACAGTGCAGCTTGATCTCCAAGTTGCTATACCGCTGTGGAAGGTGAAACCCGGAGACGGATGCAGTCTGCTCATTCGCTTTCACGCTCCGCCCGGAAGCACCAAAGTAGTGGCGCGATCCCTGAGGCCCAGTGAAGCTGATATCTTGCGTGCCATAGAGCAAGACGATCGCTTTCCGACCGACAAAAACGGTCAGCCATTGCCTCCGCCACTCTCGGTTGAACAGCACAGGTCGGGTTTCTTGACTACCTGGGCCTCTCCTGCCACGGTCGATCGCATTCGCTGTCATAAAATCAAGTTTGCAGATCGGGGTCAACTTTAATTCTGTCAGATCCATTTTTCCGGCTTTGCTGATGCCATCATCGATGACGCCCGCGATGTGTCTGAATATCTCGTACGAGAGGCGCTCGTCAAGGCGTATGGTCGCAAGCATTTTCTCCTGTGTCACAAATTCCATGGTAATTTTGACACCAAGCAGTACTGGGTTCGCTTTCCCGACAACCGTCGACTACCCACTTACGTGTCATTGGATCTCGGCCTAGACGAAGCGGGGAACAGACGCTACATGACCTTGAAAGCATTCGACTGGGACGAGTGCGATATCTGTGGAGCGTTGACGGGACGGGGTTCGTTCTGCGATTCTTGGATGCAACCCGTCCTCCACGAGGATTTATGCTCCAAGTTCAGTGTTCGGCAGTTACGGCAAGAGGTCAAGAGAGCGCAGAGTCTGAAGTTGCGCGAAGGAAACCCGTCATGAGAGTGGAATGGACATCAAGAATGTCATGAAATATGCACTATCAGATTGCACGCATGAAGCAGCGGATTTGAAATACCGACCGTCCTCGAATGTCAATACTTTGCTTGAGATTCTCGTGTCTTTCGTTACTCGAACATGGTCGATTGAGGTGATGTGATGGCCAGTAACCCTAAGCGAAGCGGGACACATAATTATCTCATTAGTCATCAGCGGGAGTGAATTTTGGATTAACGTCAAACACCAGAGCGCGGTCCACCCCACGGCGTGGTCCACGAATTACGTGTCCATAACAACAACAACTTCAACACGCGATGGCACCATCAAAACGCGTCCAAAAGAGCTCAAACGAAGGGAGTGTACTGCTTGCAATATCAGCTTTCAGATCAGGTGACATAGGATCTGTAAATGCTGCTGCAAAAACCTACGGTGTCTCAAAATCAACGCTGCTTCGGAGATTGAAAGGAAGTCCTGCTCGAGAGGACTATATGCCACAGAATAGCAATCTCACTCCAATCGAGGAGGAGATCCTTCTTAATAGCATACTGAAGC